CATATACATATCTATTTATTTTTTTTTGTTTGCCTGTAAGTGGTCGCTAAGGGACATTAACATTAACATTTTTATCCACAAAAAGGCAATAAAATATAAATTAAGTTTGAAAGAAATACTCGTAAACTAAAAACGAATCGAAAAGAATGGCATAAAATGTTATATGAGTGCATATATCGGTTTAAATTCAAAATAAAGAACAAGCCATTGAGAGGCGAAGGTACAACAGTGCGCACTTATTTTATTTTATTTATTTTAATTTATATTACTTTATCTTTTTTTATTTCATTTAATTTTAATTTATTTTTTTTTTTATTTTATTTTATATAATTTTATCTTATTTTACTTTATTTTATATTTTATTTTATTTCATTTCATTTCATTTTATTTTATTTTATTTTATTTTATTTTATTTTATTTTATTTTATTTTATTTTATTTTATTTTATTTTATTTTATTTTATTTTATTTTTCTATATTTTAGTTTTAGTTTTTAAGTCTATTTTATTTGATTTATATCATTTTCACTTGTTTACAATTTGCTAGTCTAATTATTTTTTCCTCCCATTCCTGCACTTGAAATGTTTGGCAAATTGCATGTTGCAACATCGCAACGATATATATGAAACTACCTTAGTTAGTATTTAATTGCTGTATTGACAAAGGAAGAATACCGCCTGAATTTGTTCTTTTTTATTCGCTTTCTTCAATTCATTGTTGTATTCAAACACATAACAGCTGAATTTTAGCGTGCCACGCGCAACATACAAATAAAATTGCATGCGTGCACATATGTATGCATGAATATATGTACATATATATACATATATATAAAAATTACCGCACGCTACAAAGCCATCTGTTGGCTTGACTACCTGCTAATACAAATATATATATCAAAGTACAAAGGCATACACATACGTAACTACAGATGGTTTCTACAAACTGTTTATGTTGCCAATTGGCAGCTGTCAGGTTACCCCTGCAAAAGAATTGACTATTTATAAGTACAACAGGAATTTCATAATTTTTCTGCTCTGCACAAATACTTTTATGTCCATACCTGCATATGCATGTGCATAAAAAATATTTTTTTTAGCAACAGTAGCAAAAAGCGGTATTAGCAGTTGTAGCGCAATTTTTTTTTTTTTTGTTTTTTGCTTCACAAAATTTTGAATTAAGGCCAAAATTGCAAATCATCTTGTAATTTCAATTTCAAAAACAAATTCCCTGCAATAATTTGGAAATTTAAATAAACATACAATGTACATACATATATACTCGTACATACTAGAATTGTGCTCAATAGATTTCCGATTTCTTCGAAACTCGTTGCTGCACTTTGGTTATCCGTACTCTTGATCGTCTGATTGAAAATAAGAAACAGTTTTGCTCAAACGCTGCATATTTTTTTATTTGTGCAGCCAATTGTTTCTGCCGGCCAGACGCCAAAAATTTTCGCTCAGCCGCAATAAAATGGCATGAATGCCACAATGGCGCTTTATATGAAAAACAAATGCAGATATGTACACATATCAGTGATTGTGTGTGGATATACACATGTACACGTATGTATGTATGTATGAGCATTAATTCTACTTAAAGTTAAGACATCAGACAGTCGTATGTGAAATATAAAATGTTTACAAAAATTTATTCGAATTGAAGCAAATCGCTGACTCATCAGAGATGTGTGCACTTTATTTTATTTTATTTTAATTTACTTTATTTATACGAATACATACAGATGTATGTATGTATCTGAATATGCAAATTCATTGCTTGAAAGAAGAAAAACATATTTTGATTGTTGCAAATAAAATTTGGACTACAAAAGAAAAGTGCTAGAGCAAATAAAAGTATTTAATTGTTTTTAAGATATGTATTTTTAGTAAAAATAAGTAGATATAAAAAATTTTAAACACTTAAGCTAAGAAGCCAAATAAAAACAGTGCAAAATAACGAAAAATAAATTACTTAAAAATTTATTTAAATTATGATATATTGAAATAAAAAGTTTTACAACAAAAACACACCACCTGCTAAACGAAACTAAGTAGTTACCCCAAAAATACACACGCTACAGTTTTTTTTAACTTTCTTATCTGCATACATTTAATCATAAAAAATATGAAGATAAAACTGCTCAAGGCATTTATTCATGATACTTAGGCTTACACGGCTTATACGCTTATTTATGTTTTTAATTAAAAGCCGTATAAACAGTTGAGTTATTACGAAAATTTTATAAAAGATTAATAAAACTCAATAAAGGGATTTTAATAAAGTCTTGAGTTGGAATTGTTATTATAAAATAACTCATTATTAACCATTCACGCTGGAGTTTGCGAAATCATTACAAAGCAATCGCAAGCGTCTACACCACGCTTATTACATTATTCGTAGAAATCTACGTAAAAATTATCACACTTTGCAAATGCAAGGAAAATAAACAAACAAAGCTTGCAGCATAATAATTTATAAATCGTATGAAGTGCAAATAAGTTTTCCTTGTAGGAAAAATTTAGTGTGCAAAGCAAAGAAAAATTGACAACCTCACAATTAGTATATATGTATATAAATTACGAACGAAGCCCGTTCTAAAAGGGTGTATAGTTTATATTATTTTATTTCAATTATTTTTTTTAAATACTATATTTTTCTACTTAATATTTTTTTATTTTATTTTGTTTTTTGTACCTCATTTTATTTTGTTTTACTTTAATTTATTTTCCTTTTTATTTTTATGCCTATTGTTTTATTATATTTTATTATCTTTTTTTGAATTTGTTATTTTTTATTTTATTTTAATTTGTTTTATCTTATTTAATTTTTTTTTAAATTTATTCTTTTTAATTTTATTTTAACTTACTTTACTTTATTTTATTATTTTTATTATGTTTAATTTTTTTTAATTTATATTATTTTATTTTATTTTTTTATTTTATTTTTATATATTTTATTTTATTAATTTTTATTATTTTTTTTAATTTAATTTAATTTAATTTTTAATTTTTTAATTTTAATTTTTTTTAAATTTTTTTAATTTTAGTTTATTTTATTTATTTTTCTTTTTAATTTTTTATTTTTACTTTTCATTTATTTTAATTTAATTATATTAATTTAATTCAATTTAATTTAATTTAATTTTTTTTATCTCTAGAGGGCAAACATGTAAATATACATATTTCAGTGCATATAAAAGTATACGCAGGTTATACATATTATCCCTACCCAAACAAACAATCTGCAAACGTACATATGGACATGCATATATAATATATATATGCATATAAACATTGTAGGTATGCCCTCAGAACCCTTACACTTGTTGCGGCAAAGTAATTCATTTGTTGCAATCTTTGCTCTTTTTAAATTGTTTCCCTCTAAAAAAAAAGAAAAGAAAGCAACGTTAACTCTGTCTTGCAATTAGCGCCAACTTTAAACATCATCATCATTATAATGTTAATGAATAACACCCGCAAATGTGCGAACTGGGGGTGGAATGACTTTCCAGCGGCTGTGTGCTGCTGGCCTCTCGTCTCAGCTCAGCTGTTGCGAATTCTGTGCTAATGATTATTACTTTTTGCTTCCATTACAATTATTATTTTCAATTTACACAGTAGCAAGGAGCCACTCATGATTTTAGCCGCCCCTTAGCTTTCTTCTAGCTTTTTGTCTGCAGTTTTTGCGTTTTTTTTTTGCGTTTTTCTGCTTTTAATTACACAGTTCTTTTCGGTGTGGCTGGCCAACCATTTAGCAAAGGTGATAATTTGTAATTTTCGCCTCTTTGCGCAGAGCAAAAACAAATTGCAATAGAACTCTTGCGAGCATTTCACACTCGGTCGCCGGTTGGCCTGGTTTCATTAGTTATTAAGTTATTCTCACTTCAATGAGGTAACAATGGCGAAGAGTGTCGAGTGGAGCCGGCGATAGCGGGTAGGTGGTGGGGTTATACTGTTGTATAGCATTAGTACTGGGTTTGTTGAGAAAAAATTAATTGAATATTTGTTGCGCATTTTTTTCCGACATTTCGAGTTGCCGACATAGAGTGTGCTTGAGCACGATAAGATTTTAAAATGACTTCATAGCTGTGCGCGATTTTAGTAAATAGTCGCCGCTTGGCAGTCTATTTCACTTATGTATGTACAGATGTACGTATATATGTAAAGGTGTGCACATTAAAGCGAAGATATGTTAAAGATAGTATGTAAAATGAACGTTCCGACATTGAGATAAGATTTTATCATTTGCACTTGTTTGCGGCGCGATAACAAATTAATTATTATTTTTTTTTAAGAAAATATAAAAAGTACCACAGCACAAGGCGAAGAAAAATATTGACATATAAACATAAGTGTGTGTTATTGTTTTTTTAAGAATTTTAATACACTAAAAATTATGATATTAAAAGATTTTGTTCCAAAAGAAAAAATTATCCCCAAAATACAAACTTTTGTATGAATTTGAGTTGAAAAATATATAATGTAGTAATAACATTTTTCAAATTTATTTTATATATGTATAAGATTTTTCTTCCTTGAAAACCGTACATTTGTTTTGGGATGGAAACATTTTTTTTCGCTGCAGTGTTTTCTTTTTATGTTAAAAAGCGGGGTTTTAGTGAAAGACAATTAAAATTTCTTAATGTTTCGAAAATATTTATAAATATCTTATAGGAACTACTGACAATATAAGAGCGAAAACCCAACAAGCAAGCAAACAGCTGATTTAAATGCACTAGAATCTCAATTGATTCGATAATACGATTATTCTTAGATTTATCGATTTTCCACCCGTAAAGGTGCTGTCAGTCGAAGCGATTAATTAATTTAAAATGTAAAAATTACGAATTTCTTTATGGAAATTGTATTTCACGTTTAGTTATTTTATAACAATTATACACATATATATGCATTTTATATATGTATATATGTATGTATTTATTGATGCACTAAAAAAATAAGATAAAAAGTGAAAAAAGTCATTCATAACACTTACGAACTGTGACCATCTTCGGATCGTAGGCGGTGACGCGCTGCTCAACAGTTATAACCTTCCTTTGCACATTACGCGCACGCTCGCCCACCGACAGCAACTCGCTCTGCAGCTCATCGAATATATCGCTGGCTAATAGCACCAATGATGCCAATTGGCGTAGAGCATTGCTCAGCGTTAGATTGCTAATTGATTCGAATTCATGTCCGGATACAATTTTCGCTGCTGTTGGCGATTGTGTACGCTGTTGTTGTTGCAATTGACGTTGTCGCTGCAAATGCTGCAATTGCAAATGTCGTTGAGTTTGATGTTGTTGTTGTTGTTGTTGACCGTACATATCACCAGCGCTGGCACTGCGTGTCGGTGACGATGCTGTGGATAGGAATTCCACATGATGTTTAAGTTTTTTCAACGAAAGCACCGGTGCAGCTGGTGTGGTTGTTGTTGCCACGGATATTTCGTCCTCCGTGTCGGTGGCATAGCTGAAGCTGCATGTATAACCGTTCGTTTGATTATGCTGTAGTTGCTGTTGCTGTTGCTGCTGTCGATGCAGATAATGGTGCGTACAATCGGCAACATCACGCATTGGTGTTGTTGGCGCTGATGTGGCAGTTGTTTTTGTAGCTGAGAGACCGGGTGTAGTCGTTGTATCGCCGTTTTGTTGCGACACATGTATTATGGCTCTGGTCACAGTGGTGATATGGTTGGCGGCACCACCAGCAGTGGGTGTTGCTGCAAGACTCCTTGAATGTTGCTGAAGCTGATGCTGTTGCTGTTGTTGTTGCGCTGTGTCCTTGGCAATGAGTGTTGTCCTTGAAATTACACCACCATTCTCAATGCAAGCTTCCTCTCTCTCATGTTCTACGCTCAATTGTGGTGTTTGCTGTTGTTGTGTACCTTGTTTATTAATGCAGTTGTTGTTTTTACATTTGCCGGGTGTGCAATGGAATTTGGCGGTTCGCGTACGCTCGTCCACACTGGAGGCGGAAGCTAACGCCAGCCGCGTCGGTTGTACGACGCGCTGTACGAATGGCATCTTCGGCTCTCAGCTTGCTCGAATTATAAGAGCGTGCGTATGTATGTATGTATGTGTATTTATGTCTATATTATCTACGTGTGATTTTTGTGCTATCAAAATGGGTGGTGGCTGGCAGGCTGGTTTAGTTTTTGTTTTGACTAAATGTTCTTGCTCGTTTAATGAAATTGGAAACACTATTTATTGTTATGCATCAAGCAATTGGCAGTGTGGTTTGCGGAATAGGAAAATTATTTATTCATTGTAGGCACTGTGAGGTTTAATTGGCACTGACACTTTCACATATCCTTTGCTTTATTACACGCCACTTTATATGCTGACTTTCTTAAACACTTTCGCAATACATTCAACCGCATATTTTGCATTTTATTCTTTATATATATTTTATTCTTTAATACTCATTACACTTACATATTATTAATCTTTGCCATTGTTATGGTTTCATACTTTATTCATTTATTTATTTTTATTTATCTATTTCTTCTTATTTTTATCAACTTCAATTACACTTTAAAATAATTTCTCTCACACATTTTTATTTCACCTTTACTGCTCTTCTAGCACTCTTTTATCTCTTATGTTTTTGTGTATGTATGTATTTGCTTTGATATTAAACATTCTCTTCATCATTCGCCGGCACTGTAAATATCTTCAATGCCCGTCGTGATTTAAAGCAAAAACTGGAAAATCAACTTTGGACACATATTCATACAATAAATCCTCAACACAAGCAGAGGCAATGAATGCGCCTTTGCTTCGCACTCTGGGTATTCTTGGCACATTGGCCCTTTCGTCTTCCCGCTGGTTTTGAGAAACAAACAGCTTGCCTTGAATTCTTTATGTTGCTGACACGGAGAGTATATATTCCCTTAATTTTTTTTTGAACTTCACTATAGAATTGCATACATAAATATATGTATAAATGTAAGTACAAATATACGTTTGTAAATGAACACATTAATGTTGATTTTATTATTATTATTATTAGAACATTTTTGTTCTTGCTACACTAAGCTGTTCTTATTAATTTTAAATTACTTGTCATTATTTATTTATTATTATTAATTTCTTTTTGTTGTTAATTTATTTAAACTATTCGTTAAATCAAACAAATATCCACATATATTTAATTATGTTTGAAATTAGATATGTATGTAGTTGCATATGTGTTCATTTAGACGGCGTTTATGAGGAAGAAAGCCAACCATTTCGATCGTCACTAATCAGAATATAGCACAGTCCAGTTCTTTCACACCGAGTTCAGCCCAAGGCGTTCTCTTCACATAACACAAATCAAACGTCAAACAATTGGTTTAACAACTATCATCTTCGACTCTCTACAAAGTGGCATTCAGCATCCATACAAATCTTAATGTATTTTGCTTCAACATCGCATGGCTGTCTCTCGCATAAAGATTCTTTGATCGCAGTCTCTGCGGTTTGCTTAGCTTATGTAGACCGGGCTGTGTAGATAGCTACTCGTACCTATCCAATGGCGTTGGCAAGGCGGTTTTACTGGTTTTCTTCTACCATTATAGTTCGTCATTCAGTTAAATCTGTGGTTTGAATTGCTCTTTCGTGGCGCGAAGTTTTATTATTTCAGCTTTTTTTGTTTTACTATGCCCACTGCCCACCGAATTGAGTTTGAACTTAACGTTCGGAGAATTTGGTTTTCTATTAGTTTTTGTTTTTTTCTTGCTAATTTTCTATTCAAACACCCAAATATTTTGTAACAACACTTTATACTTGGAACAACCGAATTTTTTCCAATTGCAATAATAATAATGATTTTCATAACACACACTTGTTCTTTGTTATTATGAATTTCATTTTACAAACTGATATTCCGTTAATTGTTAACGCGTAATTAATTTAAGCCTCAATTTTATATCGCATTTTGAACTTTTAACGAGATATTAATTACTCAAGTGTCCGGAAGTAGTATTTTGTTCACACATTGATTGGTAAACTGAATTGGAACGCCCTTATTACAAGCACCATTACGACTTATTATTAAACACGTCACTCTTGCACACCGGTCCGTAATCGACTGAGGCGCGCGCGTCATGTATTCATGAATGGCCTGGTGCCGGCTGCTGTTGTCTGCCGCAAAGCTGGGTAATTTTTTGCCCTGCTTGTAGGTGTGACAAGCGTTGGGTACATTGGAAATTCGAATGGGAATATTGAATGGCGAAAACATATGTAGTTTAGGGGTTTATGTGCAACATTTAAATTGCGTAGCATAATACAAACCAAGGTAAGCACAAATGGACAATATTTTTTTCTTAGTAAATAATAATATTGTAATTAACAATTTTAGAATATGCAAAAGTATTTATTTTTGTGTTTATTTTTTTATCATTTTTGAAAGAGTAGTGTTTATTGTTTAATAAATAGAATAATTAGTACTAAAATGAACTAAAACTAAAACATATATAAATAAAATGGCATATAATATTTAGAAGGAAGAACTAAAAGCTATGTTGCCGAACTCTTTATAGCATATACATCATTTAGGGTTAAATATCAGTTCTGAGCTCTAAAAATTTATTGGAGTAGGGTAACGAGAAGGATCGATTGCGGACACCGTGTGAATTGCCAGAAATTTACTCTGTTTATCAACATTTCTGAGCTAGATAATAATAAATTAAAGAAATAATTGTCTCCCATATATCATTCTTCTGTAAATAATTTGTCAGTCTCTGGTAGTCTCTTACTAATATCGTTTGGCCTTTGCGGAATAAGTATATCTCAAATTGCAAAAACGCCGGTTTGAATTCGAATCTTTCCAACATCTTTCAACTGGACGCATTTCACGACTTGGAATCTGCTACAGTCGATTCTCTTGAATGGTGGTGATTTCAATCTTGATTGACATAAAGTTATCACCCAGTTGTGCAATACTGTTATTAACAACCCTATTATTTTGATAACAAAAACATTAGCTCTGAATCTATCAACAGTTGCTCATCTCTAACTCAGTCAGAAAAACAATTGTCTCGGGAAATATATATAAACAAAGTTTTCTAGTGCATATGAAATTTTAAATTGAATATTTGTGTAAAATTTACAACCAATAAAATGGGTTTCCTTTCGGTTTTAAAGAAAATGCGACAAAAAGAAAAGGAGATGCGTATTTTACTGTTGTATGTTGAAAAATACTTAGATAATTTTCCGAATGATTCATTCTTTACTTCTTCTAACACAAATCTGTCAACAGAGGATTAGACAATGCCGGCAAAACAACTATATTAAAGAGATTCAATGGGGAATCAATTGACACCATATCACCAACTTTGGGATTCAATATTAAAACTCTGGAACATAATGGGTACATGTTAAATCTTTGGGATGTTGGTGGTCAAAAATCGCTTCGATCTTACTGGCGCAACTATTTTGAATCAACCGACGGTCTGGTGTGGGTGGTAGACAGTGCTGATCGCATGCGTTTAGAATCATGTAAACAAGAATTAAGAGTATTGTTACAAGAGGAACGTCTTGCTGGCGCTACTTTGCTCGTTCTAGCCAACAAACAGGATTTACCTGGAGCTCTTAGTGCAAATGATATTAAAGATGTAAATATATTGTCAATCTCAAATGGGCCCAGTTCAAATTTAATTCTTTGTTTTTACAGATACTTGAGCTTGACGACATAACAACTCATCATTGGCTAGTCGTGGGTGTAAGTGCCGTAACTGGTGAAAAATTGTTGGGAGCTATGGATTGGCTTATAGACGATATTGCAAAGCGTATATTTACCTTAGATTAAAACTGTTCTGTTAATAAGAAACATTTTATTTAAGTATTATTGGGCATTTCCATCCTTACTTATTTTTCTAATAAATATAATTTGTATAGTTCTTCATCAGCTTTGCTTTGAAAACTTGGTTTCAGATTCACTTTAATAATGTGTGTGAAACCTTCACCTACGGTCGGAGCTGTATACTTTTTCTTCATCATATTGAAAACCATTTCATTTATCTTTGAATGGTTAGTGTCTGTTAAATGTCTGTATTTGATATTATGCCGCACAAGGTCTAACTGCACGTTCATAACGAAACATCGACATGATACATTATACTGCTTAGCAAGTGCTAGAAATTTTTTTCTTGACTCAACATCGACGTTTGTATTATCAACAACACACGATTTTCCAGCGGCTAATGCTTTCTCACATATTTTCAAACATGATTGAGTGGTTCCCAATTTGTCAGCGTTAGCGATTACGTAGTCATGTTTTTCCAAATGTTGTTTGCAAAAGAAGCTTTTACCTAAAATATAACGGAATAAGTAAAGATACTTTTGTTTGAAATTCAAAACAGAATAATTCTATAAAAAAAAAGATTAACTGACCTGAACCAGGTAATCCCACCATTATTATCATCTCACTATTATCAGCAGGAAGTTTTACATTGTCTGGCTCTAGTAAAGGAATAATATTCATATTAGTTACGACTTCGCTGGGTTGGTAATCGGGTTTTAGGTACTGTTCCGTTGGTCTATTCAAGAAATGTTCTTCGGGAGTATAAAATGAAACACCAATATTAGCAGCAAATCTTCGATCAGCTAAAGAATGATCCTTCCTGCGTTTAGTTTTCCCGCTTCCACTTTCAGGTCGTCCAGCAGCGTCACCAACATAAAAGCTCTTACCTAAATCTATTCCAATATTATCATTTTTATGTTCCACTAGGTGCTTCCACATTCCAGTCAGTGGTTTTCTATATTGCCCATCCTCAATAGCTATAAACACCTGAATGGGGACGCCCACCTTTTTTAGTATATCTTTAGTTTTCCTCTTGAAATCATCCAATTTTATTTTGCCACTTCCTATGCCGCCTTGGTTGGTGAAAAAGCAAATTTTGTAACCGCTTTCGTGTAGCAATTTTAACTTTTTTGGTACTTCAGCATATAGTATTTGCCAATCATCTGTATGTTTTGGGAAAACATTGCCAGACTTGGTTGTAATAATCGTGCCGTCAACATCATATCCAGCAATTTTGTCAGACGCCTTTACGGCATCATCGGTGTACACAATCATAGCACCATTTTCTGAACTCTCCCATCTCCCGGAACCAATTGTATTTTCTATTTGGGATACATTACCTTCGTTTTTTGTCTCACTTTTTATATCTTTTGGTGGCGGCTGAAATTGTAACTCGTACTGATGTTTTCCATAAACGAGTTCAATGACATCGCCATGTTCTAATTTACATTTACTTTCTTGCATCAACATCATACCGTTAACACTACAAGGATTCATACCAATAACACGCAGCTTAATGTGCGGACTTTCCAAGTCAACATCTAGCTCCAACTGGCGTTTAGAACAACGTACATCCTCTATTCCCGTATCCAATGATCGTCCTATAATCTGCTTCCCTGGACATAAATTAATTGAAGTGCATTCCGATGAAAAAGGCTTCAGAATACATGTACGTGTGGTTCTTTTGCTGCCGGTAGATCGATTAAATGCTTTAGCAACTGACATAGCTGCAAACATTCGTATTATTTTCAAAACGTTCAAGGAAATAATAGAAATTATTTTGTATTAAAAAAAAAATAAACAATGCTACAAACTACTCCGTTTTATATTCGCAAAACATTAAAAAGTCGATAAGTAAATAAACAAACACAAGGGTGACCGTGTTAATTTGCGAAAGGATCGTTTTATACCAGCGAAAGGCTAATTTTAAACCTGGAAAGATATAATAATTTAGTAGCTTTTTTCAGCACAATTTTACTACTTACAGAATGTTCTATAATATTCATTGACTTTTTTCATATAAAGAATTTAAAACCGATTTAAGAGATTTTAGATCGATGTTTAAAATACTTGCTTTTCGTATTTTGCCGATACTCACGAACATCTGTTTATTTTTAAATCAACCCTGTAATCTCAGCTGACTAGTTGTGCTCCCCAAGAAATAAACAATTTCTATTTTATACATTCTAAAAAAGCCTCGTTAAATGCACATTTGATAAAACTGTTACTGTTTGAAATCTTTAATTTAAAAACAAAAAAAAAAAAACATTTATATAACAATTGAGAAAAAGTAAATATTAAGAGGCAAAAAAATGAAAAACCGATGTTGAATGGTACAGGTGGTTTTCAAATGAAAATTTAAAATTTACATCGCAATGCGTACAGGAACACAGCTATTGAGGAGTATTGTTTACATCGCGAACTACCGGTGTTTACGCATTTTGAATTAGGAGAAAACAATTATTAAATCATTTATTCGTTAAAAAAATACTATTTCATGTGAATTTAAAATGGCTTCATTCGAACAATTTGTGCTCAAAGTGAAACCAACACTAGATATGTTTCTTCGTGTGCCACACAAAGAACATTTGGAACGTCTGCGATACGAACTATTGCAATTCAATTTTAGAGAAATGAAAATATTTCATGTTCAAATACTTGCGCCGCTTGTCCTTAAGCTGGAAGAGCTTAACGGGTATGTTAAACATATGTGTACGTTTATCTAAAGGGAATTAAAACAACTTTCTCCAACAGTGTTAACCAGGATCTAATGTCATGCGTCCTAGATTGTATACGCATTGTCATGTCAAAGTTGTATATAGATGATGTACAAGAGCTGCGCACGTTGTTAGTTATCGTGTTAAAGCAAATTCGTGAATCCGGCGCAACCAAAGTGCGTCCAAATTTGAGTGAGGAATTAAAATTGGTTTCAGTGCAGTGCATTGGAGAAGCCCTACGTCGTTCCAGTAGCGACGTACTAGAAATATTTTATACATCAGAATCAGTAGTACTTCTAGGGCAAATTCTTTTATCACTGGTTGAATTTATTGAAAATGAGAATTATCGTAAATTAGTGTAAGTTGTGATTTCGTTTAGATTGAAAGAAGTTATATGAACACTTATTTATTTCAGTATCTCTTCGCTTGAATGTTTAATGATAATTTTCTATGTTCATGATGAAGCGGAGTTCACTGACGTTGTACTACGAAATCAAGTGGCAAATACAGTTTTTATATATATTCCAAAAATTGTGACAATTTTAATAAAAACTAGTCTGGCCGATGAGAAATTAGGAGAAACACTTAAATCTGTACGTATGTTATCAGTAAAAAAATCATATCCAAATTATAAAATATATTTATACACTTATTTCAGACCGCCATTAAAGCCTTAGGACGAATACTGTGCGTGATTTTCGAAAAATCAGATGATGTATTAATTGAACACAACTATGACAAAAAGGAGTTTAAAAGCCTTATAAATAAAGCGTTACAACAGAAAAGTGAACCACATAAATCCGATTTTGAAATGGCGAGCCACACAAAAAGACGGGAAGGCATTGAACAACTTTTAGAGGAAATGCGGAGCAGTGGACGCACTAAACAGTGGTTCGAAGAGACTTCAAGGGCCTTACGCGCAGTTTACACACGAGCAAGTGTTTTCCGCTCGCATGATTCCGTGCGCATACGCACTGAGTATGCCCGTATGTGTTGCACACTAATGGAGCGTTGCGCTTATAACCTTGGAGAAAACTATTTAAATTTGCTAGAAAATGTTGTAGCGATGTCAGAGGATGAGGACAAACATATAAGCAAAATGTGCACCACAACATTATCACAACTCCAACTATTGGGCAATGCTAATGAAAGCTTATTCGACGAGTATGCAGACATATTATTTGATGAACATCTTGCTAAAATGCCACGCATAATCAGTCGTAGCATAGATGCCGAACAATATGCTGAATTGATCTCCTTAAAAGGTTTCCTTAAGAACTTGAGCATATCGCGAATGAATTGCTTGCTTTTGGTGCCAAAAAATTTAGAAATGCTCTGTAGATGCCTAATTTCAGCAGTGGATATGAAATTATATCGTGATTTGCTAACTGAAGAGTATGCAATACGAGAAGTTGTACTGGCTGATTATGCCGAAAGTGCCAAGCTTGGTTGGCGGCAATATAAACATTTAAGTAGCGCACGTTGCGTAAGCTTAGTTAAAGATATTTGTGTAATTTTGGGTAACACAAAAGGAATTAATCGTTTGGTGTACGATTTTCTCTTAGAATTATTAACACAAAATCACGAAACTATGAATGAAATATTTTTAATAATGCTTTGGATAGGTACAGGCGTGGAACGCCGAAAACACATGAATTACGCCGAACTAGTCGAAATTTTGCTTGAAGAAATACTCGATGAGAAACACTGGCACTTAGCATTACGTCCAGACGCAAGTTGGCGACTCAAAGTGGATAAAGTATGTAATCCTTACTTATACTTACAAGCATGTAACTTTGGTTAAAGATTTATCTTCGTTTTTTGTTTAACAATTTAGCCAACGGACTGGTTTGTAGACAAAACTCCCGGCTTATATGAATCGGCGATAGAAATTCGTACACAAAATGTGGATTCCGATGATGAAAATGATTTCAATGAAGGTAAAAGAATTGGTGTGAAAATATATTTATCACACTAAAATAGTGGTTGAATAAAAATTTAAATTTTTTAAAATTATAAGCGTGCTTCATTTTTGGTTTTTATTTCTAATATTCCTTATGCAGTCAACAAATCACAACGTGTCACGATTTTGGATGCTGAATTCAATGTATTACATACCTGTATAGCTTTGGATGTGTTGGGGCATTGTGCGACTTATTATGGTGACAGGTTCGACCGCTACATATTCCGTTGCTTGCATAAAGTGCTTCTGAAAGTGTGTATGTATGCAATAATTGTTTATTTTTTTTTCTACTGAAATATCTTTTCTTATAAATATAAACAAAACACATTAAACAGTACCTAGATCTTTATTAAGATACCAATAATATTTATGTAAATATTTTTCTCCTTAGCTTGTAGTAATACAATGGTTTATCAGGCGGCCAATTTTTGCTTGGTTTCCATACAGAAAGCGCTGAAATTTGCCGAAGTCACACATTTGATTGAGACACATACGGATTATCTCAATTATCATTTGAATACAATTTTAAAGCGGGTAATTACTCAATATCCCTCTTTTTTGTATAGTTTTATATCCGAGTTATGAAAAATTCTTTATCAATGCATCAATAATATATTTTGAAATTTATAATCGGCAAAGAGTTATTGAATAATTTATTCGAATTCAGTGGATTAAATTAAAATTTTATATATACTTTTAAAAATCAGTAAAATGTTAGCAGAACAAGTTTTTCCAATCCAGTGTAAATGAAAATATTAAGTTCTGATATAAAATTGTGTACATAAAAAATTAATTTTAAACTTTTAAATTTCTTATATACATGTAAGAAAAATTTAATGTAACAAGACATATTTTTTCGTTAGATGACTTCATAAAAGCTTAAAAGAATGAAATTATCAGTTTCCTCTTTTGCTTAATTCGTAACGAAAAGTTTGTTTTTTAAACCTTTTGCAATTTTTTTTATATCGGAATTTTATATTTTATCATAAACAGTTTTTAGTTTACCACTTAAATGGTTAATTGAAATTTACTCAATTATTAGGACCAAAAATATTTCGATCAAAGCATAAGAATAATATAAAAAAAAATATTTTTAAAAATTGTAGTTTCAAAATTTCACCTACATTATATTTAATTATACTTTTGACCTACCACAGTCACCGGAAAGTCATGCCGCCGTCGACATACTGACCGTTGTTTTACAGCTGAGTACTCGCCGCGCTTTACCACATTTGGAAAACATTTTCCAAACAATATACAATGAATGCAGTAAATCTCAGCAATCGGAAAATATCAATGCATATTTACGGGTGTTCAATGCATTTCTAAAACATGTTGCCCGCTGGCAGGCGACAAGTAACGCCGAAGTTGCCGCTATACCAATGCAAATTGAGCAGGCGCAAGAAGAAGATCTACTACAAGATTGGCTCGATTTATTAGAAAAACCGTCAACATTTATTGAAAATGAAGAGGCAAATGTTGAGGGTGAAACCAATAGCAAAACGCCAACAGACAGTACAGAAGATGTTGAAATGAATGAAATGAAAACTGAGGAGTTTGAGGCGGCGCAAGAGGGCGAGGATGTGAAACCACCACTACCACGTTACATTCAGATGGTCAAGGATATAATAACACAGGTGTTAAAGTTCGTCAGCTTTGCTGATAAAACACATCAGATACTTGCGCTCGAGTGTTTGATTTCTTGTGTGCCATTACTACACGACTATGAGGATGAACTCTTGCCACTGGTGCATCTGATGTGGTCGCCATTAGTGGAGAAATTTCGTAACAACGATGCTGTTGTTTTGAATCGTTGCTTCACGCTGCTTAATGTGCTTGCCACGCACGCAAAGGAGTTTATTTTGAAGCGCAGCTTAGAGTGAGTGCCGAGTGCAAAAACATTTGCGTACAACTTTAGATAATGTGTTTTATAACTTATTTCCAGTGATGTGATACCCAGCTTGAAGGAGTTCTTAAGAAAGGCATCTAAGACAAGCACGACAGAGACAATTGCCGCGTAAGTTGTTGCAATCACCTGCAAAATGGTTTCAATTTATTCAAGGAAATTTCTCTCTCTTCCACAGCCACACGCAAGAATATAAGCTTCAGTTGATTTTGCTAGAAAATTTTGCTAATCTTATCGCATGTCTACAAATCGATGGCAAACATGTGTATGAAATTGCCGAAACCATTTCGTTATACTTAGCCAAAGAGCAGCCTTGTGAATTGCAAGAATTGGCAGTACAGTTTTATTTAAAACTACATCAATACAACGGACCACTCTCCTATATTACTGTGCTAAAGAAAGCGCATATTGGTAGCTATAAGGATAATGCGGAGAAAGTGTTGACGAATATTTTTAAAAGTTGCATTTAATTGTATTTACGTTATATATAAGCAATTAATTTTTAAATCAGCTATAAATAATACAAATATATTAAACTTTATATCCAACTCCAACTCCTTTTGCTTACTTTTAAGGAAATTATATTAAGAAGCAGCCACAGCTCTGATTGTGGAGCCGTCAACGCCGTTTCAAGCTTTCCCTATAACCCGAAAATTTTTATCGTGCTTTTCACATGGAAGAAACGCTATCTCAAAATGGAATGGTGTGAAAGAAGAAGCTGCGTGCAATTGATACGATGAGGTTTTAACTTTATAATGATGAATGTGTGAATTCCTCATCAGGCTTGTAAAGAGATATCAAGCGGTTAAAAAGCATAAAAAGTAATTTACTTGAATTTATCGTCTGGTTCTTATGTAGCTTAGAAAGGTAGCGATTACCTACGCACATCAGGAAGGGGGTACTTGACTATAAGGAATGCATTCAGACCACGTTAAGGACAGCGTACCGACTGGCTTTAAACTCCATTCACCGAGAGCCCGTTGCACCTTCTTGAACTCCCCTACAGTGAACCGCACTCTCGAGGTCGAATCACCCCACGCAGAGCTCGAGGTGACACGAGAGTCCCGTGTCGACAAAACTTACTTTTCCAGACTTGACCATACATATCAAACGTATGTCCAGCATACAACGAGACCACGCACGATACATAGCATCTGTTGTTGTTGTTGAAGTCACAAAAATATTCCGCAAAGTAGTTTTTTTTTGAGAATTTTACGGGAGCGACAGTCCTTGGACGATTAAAAATACGCGTCGTTCCGGTATAAAGATCCAAGTGTCACGGAAACTTATGAATTTAAGTCGCCTCTTTCGACGGAAATACTTTACCGCGGGAAAATTCCTGCGCGTGCGCATTAAGACCTACTATTATAACCATATTTTCCCCATTGTCCGTCCTAGACTAAACATCTGGTTACGTGGACCTCCCCTTGGATGACATCGATGACTTAGACCGATTTTGCCTAGTCCTATGCGGAACTAGCCGCTGCAAAACAACTGTGTTGTTGTTTTTGCACTCGACCAATGTAACATTTGGTGCTACTGGCATTGCGGGTGTTATTCCCAACAGCCAAATATTCTTAAATTAATTTTGGTCTCGCCTTAAATTTTTAAAATTAAAGTTTCATTTTAAAATAGTAAATAGAATATATTGTTACATAATTTATTTATTACAAAAAAAATTTATATACCAATTTTATTTATTTTATTTTAATGAAAATTAAAAAATTTATTTAAACTTTCCTTTCCGCTTTTTTACCAAATCGTTTTCACTCTTAACATGTATCCGTTTTTCGAGATCTGTTCGAGTTTAGAAAGCCAGCACACGGATCACATGAGTCACATGAGTCAACGTTTTGAACAATTGGGCAGCAAGGATCACAAGGGTCACAGGTGTTGGAGTTGTTGCGCGAACGGATTTGATCACAAAAAGGAGCATAGTTCGCCAAACCAGAAAAGCCTCTGGACGACGTGGATAGATATTTGCCTGTTGCATTTCTGCCGCCACGCGTTGTCGAACCCGATCTATCGGTCGAAGGCAGTGTTGATGCGAATGAAATGGGTGTTATATCATTTACATCTTGTACGGATCGTCGCCGACCTGTGCGCGGTGGTGAACGTCCGGTTCTGGTCGTGGACATTGATGGCGGACTGGGTGGCATTGAAATATCATTCAGATCTTGACTAATTGTTGACATTTTACCTCGCTGCGAACGTTTCGTGGTCGACGTCGATATGCCCATGGAGGGTGGACCAGAAGGCATTGAAATATCACCAAGATTTTCACTTGGTAATGATAAACTACGCTTACGTCGACCTGTGGTGGTTTCGCCTGCTTTTTCAGGATAAACTCTTGTGATGGAATGTATCGAAGTTGTTATGTGGAGTTGTTCTTTCGATGCATCTATTAACGGCGACTGTCCGTGCCGTCCTTGGCTTCGGAACTGCGTTGGCTCATTGCCAGCAGGCGTGACACTGTGTTGCTGTTCATAGGTTCCGCTTTGTTGTACAGTGGTGTGTGTTTGCTCTACTGTAGCGGGACCGCGTCCACCCTGTCCGTTTCTACCATCAGAGCTGCTTCTAGCATTAGCGCCTCTAAAAGTGCCACCTCGTGTTGTATCCGGTTGACTGTAGGAAAGCCTTCGTCTAGCCGCACCAGGCCTTGGTGCACTTGTACCGGCCCTCGGTGTATCTATATCAGGTGATTGTGGTGTTCTCGGTAATGATGGCATGGTCTCATCTGCTAATCTGGGATCCAACAGAAATCGTCTATCCAAAGGCGACTCATATGAAACATCTTGAAAACTGGGCATAGTAACACTTGAAATATGTTCACTTGCTGGCGATCGATAAGACGGTGCAGATATATTTCCTAACATTTCACTTGGCAAATTTGTCGGTGTGTCGGGTGTTTTTGGAGGCGGAGTTTTTTGGAAAGTAGGCTGGCTAACATCATCAATCCTCTCACTTGGAATATCCATAGGTAGGTAACGTTTTTGTTGTGGAGTTGTTGGTGCACTGCTAAAAAAACTTGGCTGAGAAATGTCTGTTAGTTGCTCGTGAGGTAAATTTGTTGGGAAAGGTCGTGCTGGCGGGTATTGCGTTGGTGTAAGTGGACGTAGCGAAAATCTGCGTAGAGGTGTAGATGAACGGCCACCGTCTGTTGAAGACGACAAAGGGGGTTGAAAACGTTGGGGCGAATGGATAGCTGCCTTAAATTGCCTTTGAGCTGGAGCAGTTGGTGAGGGTGTCTGAGTTCTAGTACGCATGTATGAACTTTGTGAAGTAGGGCTCCTAGATTCATAAGGTACTCCTGGCGCAGAGACATAGGATGATGCAAATTGTGGCGGACTTTCATCCGCAAGTCGTGGATCCAATAGAAATCGTCGATCAAGTGGTGAGCCACAAGATGCGTTTTCAAAGGATGGCATCGACATTTGATCCAACCTTTCGCTTGGGTATGAAACAGATGGAATCGGTGGTGTTCGATACGATGGTGCGGAAATATTTGATAGTTGTTCTTCGGGAATACTCGATAGTTGCTGCAAAATATTTTCCGTCGACATAGACGGTAGGTCATCAGCACACGGCGGGCTGACGTCAGCCAAATTGTCGCTTGGCATGTCAGAAAGGTCAAAGCTCAAACGTCTACGAACGGAGTTACGTAATCCTTCAATTTGTGCCCCTGGCCTTGGACTCTGTGTAAGTATACCCGAATCAGCTGAAGGTGGAGCTAATCTGCTGGGCGATTTGGAAATGGTACCTGGATATTGTGTTTTAATCTCATTAGTTTGTGTTTTTATAGATCCGCATTGATCTATTGTAACCACGATGTGTTGAGTGGTGCTCTCAAGTTGCCCATTCTCGTTTTCCGTTCGTTCTATAACGGTTTCTCGCACACACTCACCAGCAGGCGATCCATCACCTGTTGTAGTAGACGCAACAGCATTGGGCGACTCTAATTTGCATTTCAATGAATTGAATCGTTGAAGAATTTCACTGTATGTTTTGTCAAAACTGGGTTCGTCTTTGGCGCATGAAGGTGAAAATCTTTCAGGTGACGGTGATGGCGTTCTGGAAGAAACCATTGACGGCATGGTTTCGTCAGCTAAGTATGGATCCAAAACAAATCGGCGATCCAACGGTGACCCACAAGAAGTGTCCGCAAAAGAGGGCATTGACTCCACTGATAAGTGTTCACTACCTGGGGACTGATATTTTGGCGAGCTTACATCACATATCATATCAGATGGTAGATCGTGAGGCATTGAAGGTGTTCTGGCAGCTGGGGTCATCTCAAAGTATGGGGCGCGGATATCAGACAGACATTCACTACCCATATCGCTGGGAAATGGTCTTTGTGGCGGTGGAGTACTTCGATAACTGCTATAATATTCCGGTTCTGTTATATCAGTCAAACATTCTTTCGGCAAATCCATTGGCATCGGACATTTAGCTGGCGATCTAACAGGTGTAGGAGAACGCAAAGAGAAATGTGATGCAGGGGGAATTGGTGAACATTGAGGTGATGGACTGCGCGATGAACGTCCTCTAGAAGTTGGTGAAAATTGAGGTGAGGGCACTTGACGCTGAGGTGTTGTTGCTCTAGAGCGTGCAAATGACGCAGATGGACATGGACCCGCTCGCTGTGCACACGGTGAAGCGGATCTGCAGGGTGATAAACTACGCGATGATAATACAAAAGATGGTGGACTTTCGTCCATAATTTTAGAATCCAATAGAAATCGTCTATCTAATGGTGAACCGCAAGATGCGTCTTCGAAGGAAGGCATTGTCATACTTGACAAATGCTCGCTGCGCGGAGTGTCATACAGAGGTTGAGACATATCACATATTAGCTCCGATGGCAGATCTTGCGGCAGAGATGGTGTTCTGGCGGGTGGAGTTCTTTCAAACACTGGCTCACTAATGTCTCCAAGACATTCACTTGGTAAGTTGCTGGGAAGCGATCGCATATATGGAGAATCGCGTGAAATGCTGTTATAATATGAAGGTTCGCTTATATCCCCTAAACATTCACTAGTCAAGTCTTTAGGTATGGAGTGTCTACGGACAGGTGTGGGAGAATAATATGAAAAATGTGGTGCTGCAGATCTAGGCGTGCATTCCTCTGTTGGACTTGGAGCTGCCAAAGGTGAACACTCCGCAGCCGCAATTCGCTGCGACATTAAACGCGCAAGATCAAATCTTCGTGGTGGTGATGAACGTCTTCGCACAGGAGTCGATTGATAGTTCTGTTGTTGTGCTTGACTTAAAGGACTTGTGGTTGGACACGCACGACTTGAAGTGGGGTCTCTAAAAGAGGTAGATCGTGTTGGCGAAGAGAAACGGGAAGAGGCGAAGTCAGGTGGGCTTTCTTCAGCTAATCGGGAGTCCAAGAGAAACCGCCTATCTAGCGGTGAGCCGCAAGAGGCATTTTCGAATGAAGGCATTGTCATTTCAACCAAATCTTCGCTTGGAAAAGACATGGAAGGCGATGGGGGAGAGCCAAACGTTGGAGCACTTTCATCACAAACCATATCAGAGGGCAAATCTTGCGGCATTGGAAACCTTGGTGGCGTGGGAGGTGTACGTTGGAACGAAGGCACTGAAATATCTTCTAAGCACTCGCTGGGATATTGCACAGGCGACGGTTGGAGTCTGATTGGTGAAAGGTGTGGTGGAGGCGTTGGTGTGGGTGCCGGTGGTGTTGGTGCACACACGTCCGGTGTGGCCATTAGATCGATAGGTGTATAATGAATCTGAGGAGTAGGCGATCCTTGTGAGCTCTCATAGATACGTGCTGACTCGTCGTCAAAGCACTCATCGGTATACGATCGTCGTCTTTGTTGGTGCTGTGACGACTGCGCACGATTCGAAGGTATCTGACTAAGCCAAGCAGAATAATTAGGTTCAGATATATCACAAATATCTGATGTTCTTTTTTGTGAGAAAGTTGGTTGGCTTCGCCGCTGTCGCATTAGTGAGCGTATGCGTCTTTGTGGCGTCTGTTCGGGCCAAGGAGATGCATCAGATATATCACAAAAGTCTGGTGCGGATACATCACAAATATCTGGAGTTTTAGGCTGTGACGGAGGACACTCACCCTCATAAGACTCACTAAACTGTGGATTTGAGAACTCTTCCAGTCGTTCCGACGGCAGATCACTGATATTGAATTGTGGCTGCTGTCGGTAAGGCGGTCTGGCATTTTGTGCACGCATTGCTTCAAGTGCAGCAGCATTTGTTTCGTCTGGGGTACAACGCGTTGTTAGTAAAACTAGGAAAATTTGAAAGTACGTGTCGACTACGACGACGACTTACATGTCATATTTTCAAACATGCGTGGATGCTGGAATGGTTCACCTTCACATAAATCAAACTCTTGTGGCTCATACTGACGCGGTGAAGGCGGGAATCTGGTGTTGGTTGCATCTAGATATTGCTGCTGCTCGCTGCGCTGCGGTGATCGACGCCCACGCACCCGATTCTCCTCCATCTCATGTATGCTGTTAAAGTGGGTTCTTCGAAGTAGAGAAAGAAATGCACCGTTATTTTGTATTATTTTGTGTGCAATTCAAAGAGAACTTGAATACCTTCGATTTTCGAAAAACGTTGATGTATTCAAATCATCTGGACAACTAAAAACGGAAATATCTAAATATTTTTCAATTTAATGGCCGACGCCAAATGGAACCACTTCCAATACCTCATTTTGTTGTAAAAGCGAAAATTTTGAATTTATAACTGCAAGCCGGAAAAAAAAATATTCGCCGAAAAGCTGAATTCCACCGCCAATTTTATCCACTTCCTAAGACAAGAAAATTTTGAATTGTGTGTATGTACCAAAAGAATATTACAAGCCGAATTTGTGTTAGAACCGAAATTTTTTTTTTGCCACAAATTTTTTGGTCTATTGTATTTTGAAAATTCCAATTTGTGGAACATGTCAATTGATAGATTAAAAATAAATGCTTGCGGCAAATGCCAGTACAGAGCAATGTGGCCTTGTTGTGGTGTTTTTACAATGAAAGTCGAAATATTTAGAAACTCTCTTATAGTTTTCTTTATTAAAAATCTTCAATTTGATACATAGTATGTATTTATGTATTATTGGTTTAATTGCTCTATATTTTTTTGTATATTTTTTTTTTTTTCATTCCATTTTACGCACATCATATTGCGTTCCTGCATGTTCACACGTAATATGTATGTATATATATATATATATTTATTTCTTCTTTTTTCTTTATTATTTATATGTATGTATTACTTAGTGTATGTGGAGTCTAGCTCAGCCAGGCATACTAATATATTCATTCTTTAACATGCATACACTATTTTGTGTTTAGCTGCAATTCGCTTTCATTACAATTTCTCACTTTGACTTCTAACACTATGTATTTATGTATTGTATGTATGTATGTATTTAGAGCAAACTCAAATTTAGCGGGCAACAAATATAATGTATGAATGTAAGCATACACATATACATGTGTATGTATATACATAGAAGAATAAGTTTGGTTTTTTTAAAAGCTTTAAAAATTACGATTGTACAGTACTTAGCATCATGGTCTGTATAAATTTGCTTAGATAAATGTTTGGTTGTTTTAGTTATAAAAAAAACACACTTGTAAATTATTTTCATAGCAAAACGTGCTTTCCTTTCATTCTCTATTTTCATAAATTGATTTTTCCATTAAATTGCATTAAGTGTTTAAAGTAAAATATAACTAAAATTGATTGTATTTAGATTTAAGATGACTTAAAACGCATTTTCGTTAATGTGATAAAATTTGTAAAACAAGCGGTAACGTGTATACATTTCAGTGTATATAAAACATTGTACAGGTTGAAATTAGTTGTGGCACATCAAACCTCATGCCGGTTATCGAATTTTAATTTATTAAAAAAAAAAAAGTTAGTCGACTTTAATAAATGAAGAGCAAATAATCAACCAAATCGCTGTGAATGTGTGTATATTTATTTTGGTATAAAAGTTTCTTTACGTAATTTTTTTTTTTTTTGGACAGTATTTACCATAAAAGTTGTGAAGTAGAGGAAGTTTTTTGAAATGTATAATTAAAAGTTAAGGTGTTTATCAGACCCTTAGAAGCTGAAATATTGTGTTTATCGCTTACAATGACTTGAATGTCTTTAGTTGTATAAATTTTAAAATTAAGTGTAATATTATACGTCTTCACATTCGTTTTTAAATGTTTGTAGCTAACAGTTTTGTATAATTGGGATTCTTTGCTAAGCACCAGAGTTAACGTTTTAGCTGTTAATAAATTTGAAACTCATTCAATGGCCTTTTTTTGAAAGCAATTTTGTAGTTTAAATTGCGGTGTTCATACGGCATACTCTCGTGTGGTTTTTGTTTTAATTTGTAGTCGGTATTTGTTGAAGATTACAATACTTCCTAAAAACGTTTCTTGCCCCATTTTATGTTACTATACAAAGTCAACTTAAACTATATGACTACGCGAGTAAACTCATTAAGCTATTTGCATATGCCATTGGCTTGACATCAGGATGAGGCTGTAATGAAATGAAATATTATAGGATTATAGCGTATATTCCAAAATATTTTAATACCGTAAAAATTACTACTTACCACAGCCTCAAATGATTGGAAATTAGGTTTCAAATCGTTGCCTTTAATTGTTATGAACGCGCCCATATTACCCATGGTATCGCTATTGGGAAGAGAACAATTCGATTAATTATTACGTAAAAGTTTCAAAAATTTCATTTTTTTTCATATATATATATATTCTTTTAGACTTACCAATAATTGGGTGCTGAAAACACCGTAATGCACTGACCATCGTGTGTAACTTCATAGCCCATATCTTTGACTTCATGGCTTCGTACAATATAATCCAGATTATTTCGATTACAAAACGCTTTGGTGACATCGGGTCCGAACTGAATGCCTACACCACGTTTTGAAGGACCACGACCCGGCCATGTCTGTGGATCGGACCATAATAGTTCACACATCAGACCTTCTTCTGGTGGTTGGCAATTGCGATCGATGCGGCGTAAATCTTCCAAAACGACAGAGTCGCTCGAGAACAGACCACCATGCATAACGAGTATCTTGTTGTTTATACAATGACATAGTGGTAACCAATTGAATACACGTGTGAACATATCAGCCATGCGTGAGGTATATTTTGCAGATACTTCACCAGTGAAGCCGTACATTTGATTCATGTTGATGCTTTCGTGATTGCCTAAAAGTAATTCATGTTGAGCCGATTAATTAGGAAATATTTTAATGTTTTTGAGAATTTTTGAGAATTTAACAGGTTTTTTTTTTTTTTAATAATACAGTGCAACGATATAAAACTTAAAAACAAGGAGATACAAAAAAAAATTATTCGTGTTTTTTACAGCATTCTACTTTTCACTTATATACGACATATATTAAAAGCATTGACTTTGTTATAAATACCTCGGGACATAAAGAAGTGATTCGGATATAAAAGCTTAAAGCCAAACAGTGTAAATATACACTCAACGGAGAATGAGCCTCTATCAACGAAATCCCCATTGAACAGATATGGATTCGTCGGCGATGGCAAGCCATTTATTTTGAAGATGTTCATAAGATCATAGAACTGACCATGGATATCTCCACAAATAGTAAATTTCGATTCATCCGGTACGTTAATGTCGACAAGAGAGGGCTGCGTACGCATATATTGGTCGATATCGCACAGTATCTATAATACAGTTAAAAAAAAAATCATTAAAATGAATCATCATTATATATAGCACAAACAACAACAAAAAAGTTTGAAGTTTGTACAATTATTAATAATTTGGTTATACTAAAAGTATTAATCTAATCTATAGTTATCTATCTTATATTCATATGCTTACGCATGTAATTAGCAGATTCATTGATTCACTCTTACTTACTTTGTAAGCGTATTTGCGATGTAATATTTTTTGGTTCTTGTAATGTTCCATTAAGTCCATCATGAATTCTAATGTAACTTTGTTATCTTTTAGGGCCGGCCCCGAGTAAGCGTCTTCAATGGCTGTAAGTTGTCAAGTTTAGAAAGTTATGTTATATCTCAACTATAAAATGTGTCATACCAATATCTTCTAATTCTTTGTACATTTCCGCTAACGTTTTTTCGGGCTTATCCACAGCGATGGCCCGTTCAAAAGCACGCATTTTAACTATTTTATTGCATTCTGTGTATTTCAGTTTAGCATCTTTGTCATTGGGACGACATTTTGAGACCTGTAAAAATTAAAGCAATAAGAAAGCTTATTTGTATGTACAATGTATATAGACTACTTACATATTCAAAGTCGGCTAAGGCTTGTTTGAATTTACCCAGAGACATTTGAGCAGCAGCACGACGGTAATATCCTTTCAAATAGTTTGGATCAGTTTTTACCGAAGAGAGACCATCTTGCAGTGCAAAACCAAAACTTTCCTGTCGTAGATGAGCTAGTGAACGGTTGGCATAGTAAATTGCGCAAGGATATAACTCTATAGCTTTGGTGTACATTTCAATTGCTTTAGTGAATTCCTTATCTGTGGCGAAACGAACAGTTTTACATAGAATAAATATCAATATAATTAAGAAATGATATTGTATGTACACATTTAAATGTGTATAGTAAATAATTGAGATATCATTTATTTGATAACACATAGCTTGATAAAAGAGATTTAAAGGATACACATCTATGTAGCTATACAAAAAAAAATAATGCATTTCTTCAAGTCATGCAGTGCTGTGCGGGCTCAATTCACATATTATCAAAGACCAATTAACACCAAACGACTATATCGGTTGCTACATACATACGTGTATGTTTGGCAAAGGGAAAAGTGGGGCCAGCGGTTTGTTATATTATATATGAACGCAACATTCGTCTGGTACTTGGTGTGAGTTTATTTAGGCACTTAATACTTTAAGGTTAGAATGAAGCACGATTAAGGGGTGCGCGCAATATTCTCTAATCTGACATACCCGCGCACATATTAAATAAAAAACAATGACATTAAAATAATTAAGACACGCAAATCTTACACAACTATTACATACATATGTATTTCTATATTTTTATCAGGATCATGTTGAATTAATTTCTTGTAAGAAAATTATTTTAGCTATTACGTTTACTTACTTTTTAACAGCTCATTTCCCTGATTTTTGTATTTTTCGGCCAATTCTTTTTGTTCATCCACACCATTCTTGGTTTCTTCTTGTGTTGCAGTTGTATCCATTTTAATGGGTTTATCCATTGCATTATTGTTTTCGTTCAATGCATTGTTGAGGGTGGTTACTACTGAGTCGGCAGATTTGTTCACACCACCAATTTTCTGATCCTCATTGTTTTGTTGCACTTCTACTTGCGTCGCCGACATTTTTTTATGTATTTCTCTTAATATTTTTTACTTTGTCCCCTTTTCGTACGCTGCACTTACTTTATGAGGTTTGATACTCGTGCAAATGAATGCGTTGGCGCTGAGGTCTATTAAGATTTGATTATTTACAAACTCTTCACTTGCAAAGCTGTCCTCCTATTGCTCTACCTTACCAAAATAATAACCATTTATCATTTTACCACCTATGATTAAATTCTATTTATTATAATCCAAATTTTCACACAATTTACCTGCTGCGTTTTGAGATGAAAAAAGAAGTGGTCGTCTGTAAAAGGAAATTTTCTGACATATGGTTCTAATGTTGCCAGAGAGCTGTATGACTTTTAAATTTTCGAAGAATTTAAAATACAGTGTTACGTAATTGAGATCCAAACCAAACAACATAAATGAATAAGAAACCGCATGACGGTCTTGGAAATTAGTCTTTTGGGAAGGAACGTATATTAAAGAGTCCCAGGAGTCCGGAGGGGTGATATGGGGAGCCAAAGAAAGTGTGATAAATACATATGAAACCAAATAATATCTTAGAGAATATCAAAGAAAAGTCAAAATCCAGTTGTATAAGAAATTGTAAGAATTTATTGAATGTAACTGTAAGAAATGTCAATAACTGAAAGTTTCCTAAAATATCTAAAACCAATTTGGAAAATTTTTAATAGATAAATTAAGCAAAATCGGCATGGACTGTCAACATCTCCGAGTGTATTTCGGACATGAAAAAAAGCACCTCATAAAAAACCATCAGCCGTTCGGTGGCGGCTTAGTATTAACTGTAGGTCCCACCATTTTTTGGAAGAACATCAAAACATAAAACAGCAAATTGGAGGAGGAGCTCGGTCGAAAATCGCTTCAGCCGTTGCAAAGTACCAATTATATATACCATAATTGTGAAAAATTGAAGAAGTGACATTAGCAATTAATTACGCTCGTACATTACGTTCCTTACTTAATTGGAATGTAAGAAGCTCTGGCAGCTCTACCGTTAGCTCTCCAATATTTTGACATCTATTTATTTACAATTTGCACACGGGAAACAAAACTAAAATGCACTTAATCAATTGTGAATGCAATAATAAATGCAGAGAAATACAATAAAACAAACAACCCGAAAACATTTATTTATAATCCAACGCCACCAGACATGAGCCAGCGGTAAATACCCATCGCTTCACTGAAAATGTATATATACTAACGCACAACTTGGAAGCTGCACAGTACCCAAACATGCATGCGTATGTTTGTAAATAATTCACAAATTCTAGTTTTTCATCTTTGGCTTTGATCGTAGAAGAAAATTTCTGAGCAGAGTTCATAAAGCCAAGTTGTATGGAAAAGGTGAGCTTGGCTGAAATGAGAGTAGACAAGAAAACGACTAGTCTGGCTAGCATTTGCATTTGTGCAGTGGAATGAGCGAGTGCCGTATTAAAAACGCCCAGTTTAGACCGCTAATTGAAAAGTGAAAGAATTAAAAATAAGTTAATTGTAATGCAATTGTGGAAGCCGCATCTCCCACATAATTAGAACATATAATTGTTCACAAGTATAAAATCGAGTTACATTACAAACTGAAAAAAAAAAATTGTAAAAATTGTTTGCCAGGTTCCTACTGAAAGCTTGATTTTTTTTAAAGATTAACTAAAAATTTATGAACCGTAATAATGTCTATGAACAATTTATCAATTGATGGTGAATTCCGTTACATCATACAGTGGTTTAACGAGTGGAGTGAGTTGCAACGTGATGACTTTGTACCGGTGTTGGTGGAATACCTGCAGCAGAGTGAATCAGGCGAAATCTATATGAATGGAGTCGTTAACTCTGTGGCTGAAGTTGGCATACAAGATAAACCGATGAGTTTATTCCAATGTAGGGTAAGACATTATACCTTACTATCTAAATTAAAATAGAAAGTATAACCAAATAATGCATCTAGCATAATTCCTTATGCTTTTTTTTCAAATAATGTGCTATGATTGAGATGTGTATATGTGTCTATGAAAAATGTATTTTTGGTATTGAAACGATTTATATTGTAAACTTGAAAACACTCTAGAGTTACATGCATTTTAGAGTGATAAGAACGACTTGGAAAAATGATTTTAATATTCGTTGCGATCACTGTAATAAGCGTGTAAATTATTACACTTCGTACTTTCTTTATATGTATTAAAATCTAAAAAGTTGGTTTTTTATTTGTAGATAAAACTATTCCGAGAATGGAACAAAAAATGGCCATCAGACCTAAAGCATAAGCTACGTGAAAAAGTTTCCGAAATAGATTCAAAAGTGGGCGAAAAGATCACTAATGAAATCAAGTCTAACGGTGGCGAGCTTATAAATGGTACAACAAATGGTTATAATGGTGAAGAAGCTGTGTTGGAAATACCTATTGAATCTAATGTTAACAACAATGCAGAGCATATATCTGATAGTACAGCCGACGGGAGCAATGAGGCTGTAGAAGCGTCAATACATTTGGATAGTCAAATTGTAGCAGCATTGAATAATGAAACACCAGTCGATGACAATACAACACATGAAAACACAGAAAATGAGACCGCCGACACGACTACAATGTCCACTGCGGCCATAGCTACTGATATTGTAAATTCTCCTATTGCTACGCAACTACAATTGGAACCAGATGAGCAAGTTCATTTGCCAACGCAAAACGCATTAGAAGAAAATGTAATAGTCGCCGATAGTATTGCAACAACTACTGCCACTGTCGCATAGAAACTATATCTTATTACGGTTCATTTAAAAAGCAGAAAAAAAACATTCTTTCTAAGGCAGCTACTTGTTTTATCAAAGCAACATAATTAAACAGGAACAAATATTAAACAGAATTAATTACCTACATACATTCGTAAGCATCTCAAAAGACTACCATAAATGGCCTAATTGGCTTTGATTGCTCTTTAACAGTGTATTCAAACACCGTTAGAGAGAAAAGTAAAATAATATATACATACATACATTTATAAATGGGGCACAGCACAAGTCGATTATAATGCATTTACAAGCAGTTTGCAATTAAAAATGCATATATGAATGTATGCATTGGAACAAAACTTTTAATATTTATTTGTATAATAAAAATATTTTTATATATTGAAGTACTCAATACCGCATTCCATTCCAATCTTGAATTTATGTTTAGAACGTTTAAAGAATCAAAAATTTGCATTGAAAAATTTCATTATATCATTCCATATGCATTATGTTAAAAACATACTATTTCCATTCTTAATCATAGACTTAAGCATCTAATATACTTATGTAGACTTTTTCATGAATGAAATAAATACATATATAAATTCAAAATCAATTGTTTGTAGAATTTTTCTTAATTGAAATGGATTTTGTTTGACTCACATCCGAGAAAAAGTTTGCCGTAAGGCTACTTCTATGCAAAGCGCTTGCAAGCATCCGCCTGAACTGGCGATTGACCTTTTTGTTACTCATAATCGAAAACTATCGACTCGTCATTGCGGAATATAAACATTCATATGCAGCACATTTTATATACTTACGTAGACACACTGTATTTACATTTTATATTCAAGTTGAAAATTACTATATTCAATAAAGTGGATTGTACTAAGTATAAGTATATAGTATGCATATGTAGGTACTTACATATGTATGTAGAAACAAGAGCATGCAAATATACTTACTAAACACATGTACACATATATACATATAAGTATGTATATAGGTAATTGAATATGCAATCGAGCTAGTCTCATCAGCAACTGTAATAAGTCTTATAAACCCTCACAGTGTTTAAAACTTGTAAGTTTTTGATTAAAAAAAATTGTTGCCTACGATTTCTTAAAAATTCTTCGTTTGATCAAACGACCGTTATTACGTTTCAACTATTATGTTGAAATTTAGGCAAAGAGATATGGACTGTGTTGGCGCTTAAACTACTTTGTGAGAACCGAGCTTATTGCATTTACTTGTAGTCAAGTTTGGCAGCCGTCAAACCTGATATGATAGCTTCTTCCCTTCTATTAAATGACCTAAAACAAATCTGACGTGAAATTTGATTTACTCGCATTAATCCGCTCTTTTATCTGCTTATTTATTCGCTATTGCAAATAAACGCTATCAAACTGTATATTCCAAATTTCAAATTTTCTTCCCGGAAGAAAGTTAGTTTCTCATCTTAATATAGTTTTATAGAAACGCAACATACATACATACAAAATTTTTCAAATAGATCGGTCCTGGCCAACTTTCCGGAAAATCCTTTCTTATCGGATGCCTACGGCACACTTATAACAAGTCCAGACATTAAGGACAAAGTCTTTTATATATAAATATAAATGTTTCTACATATATATATAAATGGATAACTAATTTTTATAATTTAATGGGAAAATAAATTTATTATTCTATTTGAAATAAGATGACAACCCTAACCAAAACGTTTATGATTACGGAAATCTCTTTCTTTTGATAGAAACATTGCTTGAAATAATTTTCACAAGTCAAACTCCAATTTCAAACCACTGTGCGACACGACGCCACCTCTTTTATGCTTATGATACACAGATTTACTGCTCCGGTTTCGCCACACAGCTCTTAAGGTTAACCGAAATGGGGCTATTCTTGGCTACAACACAACTCAGTGAATACAAAGAAAAAATAAAAATAAATTTATTCGCCGAATACGTGTTGTTGTTTCGCAGTATATTTTATCATTCATAATTTTGTTTTTTAATATTCTTTTTTTATTTTTTTTTTTAAATTTTTTTGCTCTGGTAGCCGTATTTCCGGCAGTTTATACGCTCAAATAAACATAAGTTTTTTGAAACTGTTTCAATAGCGTGGTGAGCGTGAAACGAGTTGGTTGATAAACAATCGTGGGAAGCTGTAAAGTTCACTGCATATGTATGTATACATATAAAAAATAATAAAAAAAAAAAATTAAATGCAAATAATATTGTAGTAAAAAGATTTTAATTAATAAATATAAAAAATATAATAACAATATTGGCATTTAAAGTACGCGCCCATGCAAAGGAAACAAATTCGAAATCAATTTGTATGTATGTACATATGTACATAGGTACATCGAACTAATTAAATCATGCCGTTTTCACAGCTGGAAGCTTGAGCTTGTCTATCAGCATCAATTGCAGTGACGCAGATCCATCGGCAAAGTGTGCACAGTGTGTGTAAACAAAAAAAAATATATAGAAAAAAACATAAAAGAATTAGCAAAACCGTTAAAATACACAAGAGAAAATAATAATTTTAATAAAAAATGCAGCGTTGGAGTTGGTTGCTGATTGTCTGTTTGCTTTATGAATGTGAGTATATTTGTATGTAAATACATATGTACATATGTTTGTACATAAGCATGCATAATTTACTTGTACATGTCGTGCCGTTGAGATTGAGAATGTAGTTCCTTGTTGAGTGGGAGTGTACTAAAATGAAAAAAAAAAAAAAATAAAAAATAATAATAATTAGATTGAAAAGTTGCACTCTTCATATTATGTAAATATTTTTTTTTTGTTTTATGAGTTTCCAAAAATATTTTTTTTAACAGAATAAATGAAGAAATGAGTAAATAAATAATAATAAATGTTACAATAAGCGCAATTTACAGGAATACAAAATTAATTGAAAGTATTTTAATAACAAATAAAATATATTTAAAAAAAAAATAAAAAAAAAAAAAAATTTAAAAAAAAGTTAAAAAAAAATAAAATAAAAATATTAAAATAAAACTAAAAATACAATACTGTAAGGAAGTGTGGTGAATCGGCGCAACTGTAAAAATAAAAAAGTGAATGTAAAATTGATATTCTTAAAATTGAGTGTATAAAATAAATACCGGTAATTTTAAGATTATGGTTGTGTGGATTTTTTACGAAATTAAAAAAAATTAAAAAAATAAAACAAAATGAAATAAAACACTAAAAAATATTATAATATTAAAAAAAATTTACACCTCTCATATTTCGGAAGATATTTTTTTTTAAATTTTATGCATTCAAATTCCTAAAAATCGTAAAATTGTAACTTTAACAAAAAAAAAAATAAGAAATGAATAATAACAACAGGGAAAAAAAAATAAAAAAAAAATAAAAACTAATGCAAAAAATTGTTTTTTTTGATTGCGTTCAGCAAAATTTATAGGCGTAAACAATTAATAAGAAATATTTCAATTGTAATTTTAAAAAATAAAAAAAATATGAAAAGTTAAATAAAAAAAATAATGAATAATAATTAAAAAACTAAAAAATTTGCAGTAAAAATATTGAAAAATTCAATCAACTCATAAATTGAAAACAAAAAAATCTATACATTTCCTACTGTGAACCAGTGCATTTTATAAGAGTAAAAAACGAATAAAAAAATCATATTCTTAAAAAAATTGCATAAAATTTCACAAAAATTCCATATCGAAAAAGTAATTTAAATAATCTTAAGTGACATTCGGATTTTCCAAAGAATTTCTGAAGGCCTACTATCGTTAAGACGACAAGGGCGCACGATGACACATGCCGCTTCTGTTAATTTGAAAATAAAAACAGAAAACTGAAAACGAAAAACAGAAAAAACCATCTAAGCCGCTGATACGTTAGCAGACGCGTAAGCTGTGTTAATTCGTGTTAATTATTTTTTTTATTCTTCAATTTGCTCTGCTTAAATGTCAACACACTAATGCAGAATTAATTGTAATTGACTTTTAAAGAGTGTAACGAATGTAATATGTAAATATGTAGACCACGTGTGTATGAACTATACAAGTACGTAAGTACGTGTATTAAATTTTAATATGCATACATATATACATATATATACATACAGTTAAATGCATGCTCATATGCATATGTACCTTGCCCTTGGCTACGGCGACGCAACGTGCCGGAGATATGCCGGCAAATCGTGTTGGAGTGAGGTAAAACAAAAGACTTATGACACGAACTTGGCCGTTGCACAGTGTACGAGTATAAGTCATATGGCATTTATGTACATAAATATTTGAGAAAGTGTATATGATTATTTTAATTTTTATATAAATTTACAGTTATATTTTTACTGTTAGTTTCATGGCGGCCAATGCCGGTAACAAAAAATAAAAGAATATACAAAACAAATATATAAGAATAATTATTTTAGCTTTGTGCCGCACCAGTTATGCAAATATTTCAATATTTCGGGTAATTATTATATATCTCGTAATTAACAATTTCATTGTTTATAAAGTTCGGTCAAGTGAAAACAGGTTTTAAACTCGTTAACTTTTGCAGTTATAATATTCCATGCTGTTAATTATTTGAAGATATTGTTTGATAGTGGAGTTGGAAATTTTAGCAGGGGTTTATTTTGAAAAATAATAATAAAATATAAAAGATTAATATTTCAAAAAATTTTTCAGAACATGTTTTTTTGGCACTTACTTTCGGCTATATATTTTGAAATGAAGAAAAGAAAGCTGTCTTCGACACTGTCGAGGTTTTTTTTACCTTACATGACCATATAAAACTTATTTATTTGTTTCTAAGATTTTCGGGTTTTTAAATATATTTGTATATACGTATGTATAATATCACATTTCAGGCTTTTATATGTTTTTTGACGGATTTTCGACCCAAAATATCATATCTGTATGAATAAATTGTATATATGCTATAGTGATCCGCTCTGGCCGGTGGCGACAAATGATTGTTTCAATGTACCAGTGAATAATGGCTGAATGAACTCAACTTGTAATTCTGATCGAATCGGTATAAATTTTCATGCTTCTATCACTTTTTTTATCTGGTACTTACATACTGCAGACCAAAGTTAAGGCAGTAATCTGCTTTAGAAGCCCCAAAAAAGCATTATTTTTTCTTAAATCTATTCTAAAACTATTGACTATCGACATATTATAGAACTTTGAAGCACGTTTTCCCGACTTTTTATTTTAATAACTTATTAAACGGTGCCCGTGATGGCAAAAAGAATGCATGCTTGATCGAAAAAAATCAAAATGATCTAGCTTCAGCATAAAATTATCTCTTATTTGAACTAAAAAAGTTGGAGAAGTATGATTTAAGCTATTGTTTTTTAACTTAAAGTGATTTTTTTTAAAAAAAGTGCATGTTTTCAAATTTCGAACAAATTTGAATTATTCTACCTTTTCAGTATTTTTTTTTCGTTCACATAGAAGAGACACTCAATTAAAAGTAATATAGTTCGACCGTTTCTGACGACCTCCATCACTGGCATCGTTTCACAAATTCAGACTGCAGCTGCTTCAAAAAACTCATCACAGTATTGGAAAATTCCAATATTTTTTGATACCAAAAACTGTTTTTGAACCTTAAATATATTACATTATTGTCTGAAAAATTCATTTACAGCAATACTTTCCTTCACTTTCGAAAAAAAAAACTTCTAAAAAACGACTTTTTTCCGGTGCTAAAGGCCTTAGTATACATTAAATGGTTACATGGGTCTGGAGGACCAAAAACAAGCTTATTTTGCCTATTTCTTTTTAAAAGATACTCAATAAACTATACAATTTATTTTGTTTATATATAAAAGAAAAATTTGTGGACAGCATTTGTTGAAAATTTGAATGGAAAATAGTCTAAGTTAAGGCGTTGGCAGCATCGTGAAGTAGACCGTCAATAGACCGCCGGTGTCATTATAACTTTTTTAATTTTTATCTGAAATCAAAAATTCATTTTTTCTTAAAGAAGGTGAATTTTTCTTGCCCCTAGATGAAGAAAAATTAAAAATTGAATTTTATGTAGCGAGTTTTACAAAACACTTTTTTTTTTTGCATAAATTTAGGCCACATATTGGCTTGTAAAATGAGTTGAAATCAAAGATAAAATAAATTTTTCGTTCAGGAACTACAAAAACATGCTTAAAAGAAGTGTGGAAAATTTTCATTCGACCGCTTCAATAATCGTTGAGAAATTTTGACCACTGATTTTGATAAATTGGTTTTAAGAAAAACGCGTTTAAGGTTTTATCATCGATCAAGCCATGAAAAAGACGGCGCGTTATAAAAAAAACTCTCTAATTTCTACAGTTTTGTCTCGATCGACTTGGAACTTTGAGAAAATCTTCCTGACACTTTGTACTTTTATACAAAAAATTAAGTTTCACGACCTATGTAAATTAAATGGTATGAAAGTTATTGAATAAAAATTTCTTTAATTTTTATTCAAAGTGAATTTCAACCGAACTCTTAGAAAAATATTTTTATAATCATGAATGTTAACCTCTTGATTTTAGGAACTCAGAACTATACAATAAAAAGTACGCCAATGGTGTTTATAATATACTCCAAGGGTGGAGAAAAACTTCGATTCAACGGGTGGGAAATAAATCTGTAGATCTGGTGTAAAAGCCATTTACATATATTTTTTAATGGGATGGGAAAGAATTTCCCATGTTAATCTTAAAAAAATCAACGTACAAAGGAGCTTACAAGTGATCGGCATCGAACCTTTGCCATTCAAATGGCTTTGAAAGGAGGAGGAGTGGTATACTAATGATGCTCAGTCAGTTTCAATGATTTTCGTATTTATTTGTATATACATATAGAATACGAAATTCCACAGATTTATATGCCTTTTTGGCGTATTTTTTAACCGAAACTACGCATCGTTACATCTGGTGACCTGATGATGTTAAGTTAGTTAGTTATAAGAAATAAGTAAATCTTTCCCTAATTAAGATAACCCATCAATTATACTCTTTAATTGGCTCGTTTAGTGTGTATCGTCCAAGATTTCTTCACTGAATTTAGATAGTTGACAACAGTCAGATATTCGAGCCTGCCGGGAAGCAACTATTCTTGGCATCCCATCATACAAAAAGCATAATCTGCTTTGGGTGTGAAATCACTTTAAATGTTGATTGTGTCAGCTCATTTCGCTTGCTCTAAGATCTTCTTTGAACTATACTATCTCAAACAATCCATCTGTTATGATATAATGACACAACTACGGATTACAAAAAAAGTCATTATTGTAGTCAAATTTTTTTCCGTTTTACTTTTTTATTTTGGTGACAAATAAAAGTCACTGGGACGTCAGACCTAAAGAGTGGATTGGGTGAACCAGCGCTTTGAAGCTTTATCTTTGCCAAGCAGCTTTCCTCGATGTATTCCATTAATGGCATTCCCTAGCTTTTTTCTTTTTACATATATTTGGCGCTTTATATCCGCTAAAGTGGGTATCAGCCGTGCTCCTTCTCCAATTTTTGGTATTTCTCTTGATACACGTATGTTTCCAACAAATGGAGGGACTTTATTCTAAGTCGCCTTCGAACGGCCGCTGGTGTTTTATGACGAGCTTTGATATTTATGTCAGTAATACATCAACAATAATACGCCAGTAGTTTCCGCTCTTTTTGAAGATCGACCCTAGGCGAAAGACACCTTTTTACTCCATATTTCCGACAAAGTGAATAACTTTATCCGCGTCTTTCTCAAACCCTGCCAACAAGTACTGGAACGAATACTTACAAAGCTGGAGTGTTTTCATTCATCTAGATGATTTAATCTGGCCGACGTAGAGATCCGCTGAATTACGTCGTTATCGCTTGCAGTTCTTTTTTCCATCATCAGCGGTAAGCGACTTAAATCTTCCGCAACTACTTTCTCTTAAGACCTTCTTCTTAACGCCAAATGTGTCGTAGTGTTGCCTACTCAGCACAATAAGTGATTTTGCATTGAATTTCAAGACGAGCATTTCCTTGAACTTGACGAATTGACCTCAATGTTATGACGTAGAGCCAATACTCGTCATCTAAGCATTACAATATAACATGGCTCGAAAAGCTTACTTTGCAGTTGCTCCACAGGAGATATACTTGATCAATCTTATCAACGAGATTCGCGCTCTTACCAGGTTTGTTTAGGTCTCGATATGAAAAACTGTTGAGCTGCCTATGTTGAAGAAACGCATTCATGACTAACGGCAATACTTAACGACCACATTAACAGAGTGATTAGCGTTGCGGCAGGAAGGCCAGGGCTCGTGACCTTGTTCGACCAATTATAGAGTTATAGATATTTTTTCTAATTGCGGTCGACCCTCGGCAGGGAATATCAAACGTGAAATAGAAGCTGCTCTAAAAATGCGTCGACCTTTCGGAGGTGGTTTAGTGTTAACAGTAGGTCGAGGTTGGAAAAACTTCTCGACGCATACCACAAAGTGCCAAATCTAAATATATACCAGCCATCAAAGTATAAGATCATAACATTTTCTTTTATTAAATATTAAAATTAGAAATTTTATTATCACTAAGAAATTTTAAGTGCCAAACGGTGCTTTTATAACGAACACTACTGTAATTCGCATAACAACTTTTGTCACTCTCTACTAACGTTCATTATTTCTACATTTCATAGATGGCCTAACTTCATCTACTTTCAAATTAAACGCTTATAAGACGACGCAATTCAATCTAAGCAATCTTACATTTATCCCCACTCTTCTTACCATTTACAGCCGTCAATGGCATAGCACTGCCCACCACCAGCCTGCCCAAATGTAATTGCATACCGGTGAAAGAGTGTGAGCCAATCGCTTATTTACTCTTGAATCACAAACCACATGAGGCTGAAATGATATACCGAATCGTACAGAGTGCCGGTTGTGGTTACACCGGTCTCGAGCCACTCGTCTGTTGCCCCACCACCTATACAAACCACAAAGTAGTAACACGTATACATACAAACGGCAACAGTGATGACTACGGTGGCACAGATCCTGATGTTTGGGTTTGGGGCAACACACAACTGCCCACACTCATGGAAACGCTGGCAGCGGCTAGTACAGTAGAGGGCAGAAGCACCAAGCGCCGTTCAAAAGAGTTTTACGACGAAACAGATATTTTCGATTTCAAAGATCCGAAAACTCAAAGAAACTTTCCGCATTCTTTTTACGAAGAATCAGTGAAGTTGCACGTGGGAGATGATGATGACGACAGCAAACAGGATGACAGTAAGAAACATCGTGGCTGTGGTGGACTTGATGATAAGCACTTCAAACATAATCAGCACAGACATCGCACACCTTTTGGTGATCACAAACATTTTCCACATAATCACTATCACAAACATGATGAGCACAATCATGGCAATGGATATGAAGGCAGTGATTATTTTGATATTAATGACGAAGAATATCCGCGTACTATTTTTAGACCAGCAAACGATGGCGCTATTATTTATCCAGATGATAGGCGCTTGCATCGACCGCTACAATTTCCAGTACAAAGTATAACAACAACTACTACAACAACTTCAACTACTACAACAACTACGAAAAAACCAGCCAACAAACCGTTAGAACAATCCAAAGTGAATACGGCACGTTGCGGCATACCGGATATTGACAGTGCCAACAGTGAACGCTTGTATCCGTGGATATCGCGCATTGCTTACGTAAATAAAAGTGAGTTTTGTATTTTTTTATTAACAAAAACGATAAAACAGTTTTATTTTAATGGTTTACAATGTGCTGCAGACAAAATTCACATAATTTCATTGACCACCTTCTGCATCTTTTTGGTCAGCACAACGCCAAAGAGAAAGACGAGCGTGCATTTTAATAGAGACCAGTTGCTTTCACTCATTTGGAATCGACCCTGCCGATTTGTTAGAGATGAAAAAGAATTGGTTATTTTTGACATGAGATTCGATTTGTCATCTTCGGCGGGCGTTGCCACTTCGCTCATTTCGGTGTTATCAGCCATGATGGGTTGCTTTGAGTATGCTGTATTTGAAATAAATTAATAAAAAAAGGTGGACCTTAGTTAATAATTCGTAGATAGCATCCTGATAATATTTATATCGAGATGCTCTGCATAAAATTAACTACATTTGCTCACTAAGGCTTAGTTCTCGGACAGTTTTAATACCAAGAACTCAAGAACTTGTGATATTTACTGGAAAACTACTTTCGTTAGTTATACAATCTAATTGGCGTCTTGTAACTGCTAAGGCGATTTTCGCCTGAAGTCATTTTATATTTTGTTATATGCGTCTTGAAGATTTCCTAACGAGCTTTGATCTTCATGTCGGAAATACACTCGGAGGGTTAGGCATTCTCAGCCAAGGGACGACCGCAATTAGAAAATTTAATTAAATATTTTATTTAAAATTAATTTAATTTAAAATAATGCACTGAATATTTTCTAAAAGGCGTCAGGCACCCTGGGCTTATCTGCGTCAACAAACGAGTTCACATAGCCTCTCACAAAATAGTTCAGCGATGTTAAATTGCACCATCTTGGAGGCCACCCCACAGGTACATATAGGGAGCTCCATCTTTTATGTCGGTATGTAAACGCTGAATAAAATTCACATTTACCAACCAAGTGATTACATTAGATATGTTTTGGAAATGTCACCGAAACAACGCGCTGAAATAGTCACACTTTATATCGAAAACAGTGGTTCCATTGTGTTAACTTAACGTGTATATCGGAAATAATATCGCGGCAACACGACACCATCTGACAGATCACCTGATGTAACCACACCCAGACCTTGTTATATGAGGTTATCTGCAGAGCAAGATTTACGCCAACCAGCCCCAAACTATTGATGAGCTCAAGGCAACACTCGAGCCGAAATCGACGCTATAACATAAGACCCGAGATGCTTGGAAAGGTAATGGCAAACGCAGAAAAAAAGGAGTTCATTTTGTAAATGCTAATAAAGGTAGCCACTTGATTGATATTGTTTTTAAAAACTGGTCAAAAAAAAATTGTAAGGAAAAAAACTAGATAAAAATACATCACTTAGAGAAATTGGTTGTTTTTTTTCGAAGTTATTCAATGTTTATATACCGACATGAAAGATGGCGCACCCTGTTCATGACGCCGCATAATGCGCTCACGAAAAGTTCAAAAAATTGATTGCTGCCTGATTGTTGGAACCATCTTCTTAGATACTTTTTTAAAAGATTTATGGTTCGAAATTCCTAATCCAAAAGATCAGTAATATATTTGCTACAGTGGTCCGATCTGGGCCCTTCCGAAAAATGATCGTTTAAATGTACCGGTGCATCTGTGAACCAGGTATGGTTGAAATATCTCAGAATCTGATGCAATAATTTGTCAGACGAACAATACTAAATCAACTCAACTCATCATTCTGTCCTGATCGGTATAAATTTTGAGCACTTCCTTACTTCCGACCAAAGGTACATGAAGGGTATACAAATAAATAAGAAATTTCTGTATATTTCATTTTCAAAGTATGGGTTATTCATTTCGAATTAATATTTGTTTTCTAAATCTTCTTCCAGCCAACAATTCCATCAGTTATCGCTGTTCCGGCTCCGTTGTGAGTCAGTCTCACATCCTAACTGCGGCGCACTGTGTTGTAAATCTCGTGAGCGATCTACAACTGTGAGTACAAAATAAATTTGCTTTTTTTCATCTTGAAATAATTCTAAGCGTTTGCGTTTATGCTCCAGCTCACATGTTCGCATTGGTGGCGTGGCACCCAACTGCACTGCCAACATTAATGCCAATTGCAGCATTGCCTCACGCACCTATCAAATCGCCGAAGTACGCGTACATCCTAACTATGATCAGCCCAAATATGCTAATGACATAGCATTGGTGAAGATCGTTGGCGTGGCGAGTGGTAATTGGGAATATTTTTTGATATTTTTCATTAAACCTAACACACGTCTCTATATATACACACATATTAACAGAATATACGCCAATTTGTTTACCTCCAAATTTATCTGTTTCTGTGCGCGATCAACTTATAGGCAGTCCGGGAATAGCACTTGGTTGGACGGCGGATCTTGAGGGTAGGATTCTACGTTTTAGTTTGTTTTTCTTTAGTTAATACTTTCGCTTTTTTCTTTTAATTTTGCTCACGAAATTTTTGTGATTTTTATTTTTTGATCTGCTGATATGAAACTTCAATTTGGCATTTTACTTTTATTTATTTTTTAATTTATTTTAGGCGGTGAAACAAGTAGTCCACGAGTGCGCTATCTCAATTTACCGATAGTTAATACCACTGAGTGTGCGATCACCTATGCGAAATTCAGTGAAAATTTCAACGATCCCATCGTTATTACGCCGTCACAGTTGTGTGCTCAGGGCGGTCCAATGAATGATGTTTGCAGGGGTAAGACAGTTTAACGAAGTCTCTTCGTGTATAGCAGATAGATGGTTTTGTTATACTTTATATACGTGTATATCTCCACGCAGGTGACAGTGGCGGTCCGTTCATGGATGAGGGCTCTTCTGGTCTGATAAATTCAAGTGGCCGTCATACGCTATTGGGTATTGTCGCCTTTGGACCTACAAAGTGTGGAATGTCCAACATACCAGGAGTTTATACGCGCGTTAGTTCCTACCTGGGATGGATCATAGAGAGTATTAGTTTAAGTTAGGACAGCCTTCGTTATTCCTTTTATTATTTTAACTGTTTATAATGTCTGTTATGTTGACTGAATAAATATTTATTTAGCTTTAGTAATTATGTTTGTTTACCTTTCAAAAACTAATAATAGTTATAGATAACAGAAGAGGTATTTGACAAAGAGACTTCTTTTCGGGTGACTTCTTTAATCTGCTGCTGGAGAAGAGAACTATCGGTGTACAACTTTGCTTCCGCCGTTTTTTTCCAAAATTAAAAGTTTTAATGCGAAAAAGTGCTTACAGATATATTATTCAAAGTATTGTCCTTCGCTAGCGACAACTTTCTCCCATCTTTCCGGCAATTTTCGGATCCCGGCTCGAAAAAAGGAGTCCTCTTTTGACGCTATCCATGAAGCAATCCATTTTTCCAATTCTTCGAAGGATTGAAAATGTTGATCTGCCAGGCCGTGTGCCATCGAACGGAATAGGTGGAAGTCAGAAGGGGCGACATCTGGGGAATACGGCGGGTGGGGCAAGACTTCCCATTTCAGCGTTTCCAGGTACTTTTTGACCACTTTTGCGACGTGAGGCCGAGCATTGTCGTGTTGGAGGATGACTTTGTCATGTCGCTCTTGATATTGTGGCCGCTTTTCTTTTAGCGCGCGACTAAGGCGCATCAGTTGCGTTCGGTAGCGATCTCCTGTGATGGTTTCACCCGGTTTTAAGAGCTCGTAGTAAATCACACCGAGCTGATCCCACCAAATACAAATCACAACCTTGTTTGTCTTCAACATCGAAATCACCATTTTTAAAACGTTGAAATCACTCCCTACACTTGCTTTCACTCAGAACAGCATCACCGTAAGTTTCTGAGAGCATTCGATGCGCTTCAGCTGCATTTTTTTTCGAATTGTAACAGAAAAGTAAAACATTTTCGTGTGTGAATAATACGAAAACAAGAACAACTGTCACTGAAACGGCGATGACAATTCGATAGGCACTGTCCACACTCACTTTAAAGGTATGTATTTCAACCAGCCTCAGCCGGTACAGCCACCTATCGGAAAACGGCGGATGAAAAGTTGTACACCTGATAATAATTTTATTATATATATAGAACGAAAAGTTTTCAGCGCAACCGCCTATGGGCGGGAAATATGAATTGCAGTGAAGCGTGAATGTGTTAATTAGCAAAATCACTACTAATATTTTGACCGCAACTGTATACAACGTCAAATATGGATAGATAACTGCATCTATTAGAAAAATAATGAATTTCTTTCTACTACAGCTAATATTTAAACGAGCATATGTGGAAACCGGCAATACTATATACATATATATACTATATATAATGTCAGTTTTTCGCATCGAAGATTTTAGGTAAAAAATCCATCAATAAGCATCTACGTGCATAAAATTTTGTATTCAACACGCAAATAAAATGTTACACTGTATGTAATAGTACTGAAAATTATATTGTAGAGATATGAGATGAGCCTGAAATTTGGTATTTTCTAGCCCTCATACAACCCATTTGTTCAGATATGCGGTTTTCGGTCGAAAATGCTTCAAAAAAGCATCTGAGACCGTGTAATTTATTATGATTACGGCTCTTATTTCTTGTTTTGTTTAATTTTAGACTCGAATCCGCTAACAACTGCTCGTCTATTGCAGCTGTAATCAAATGAATAAATGAAAAAAATAAAAAAGAATTCTTAATGAAGAAGAAAACTTTTCAAATTCTTAAATGAACGTATTGAGAACTTTTTTTAAATGAATTTTTGGTATTTTCAATCTGAAAACATTGTACTGAAAACCTTCTAAGGAGTAAGGACTTAATGTAGCTCAACTGAAAATTCCAAGGAAACGGAAAAAATTTTTAGAACTTGATTTCGAGAAAAAAGTGCAACAGCTTGACGTTCATAGCGCGATATTTATTTGTATGTATGCATTTTGTATGTAAGATAGTGGGAAGCAAAAATGCAACTGTTATTGTATTTTACGCCGATTACTCACGGTATTTCCTGTCCGTTCTTTAATTCTTACCTTGCATTCAACGGAGAGCAACAAAACAACTTGCATGCTCTCCTTTAATAAATTATGTATGTATGTACATATGTATTTATTTATTTGCAATGAATTTGTTGACGTTATTATTTTGATTTGGTTTTTCAAGTTTTCACACATTTGTTGTTATCAAACAAGCCGCTCCAATCGACGATGGGAAGCACCAAATAAATTTGTATATAAACTGTTTACATACATACAGATATACAAACAGCGTCTATTAAATTTAAAGCCTCTCCTGAAACACTCATTGATAATGATGATGATGATGACAAAGAGTAATAAAAATAAACAATACAAATATATGTGCATATGTATGTACTATACATAAAACTGCTATTTAGTAGTAGTTGTAAAGAGATGCTGGCTAGTGGTAATACTACCACAACGGAAACATTGATTTCTAGTCTCGACTCAGCCATCAGTTTAAAAACAGCACAGCAGTGAGACGCTTCGAAGATTTGTAAAAATATATTAAAAATTATTAAAAATATTTATACTTAAAAACATTCATACCTGTATGTGGGCATAAACATTTCAGATATTTATAATCCAAATTCAATATAAACTCGTATGAAATATATTAATTTTTTGTTTTAATAAAGGATCGAGACCTTGTATTTACTGTGTAAACTTGATTTCAATTAAAAATTATGAAAAGCCGGTTGTGTTTTTATTTTATTTTGACGTTTACGACAACACTTTTGATACCTTTTAATGCAGCAGGTGAGTATGTGTGTGTGAAAGCCTCCTTTGAAACATTTAAATATTGAACATTTCACTTGGTATATATATTATATATGTATATATACATTCAAATACCATATTTACATGCATATATGTATGTATCTTTGAACATATGTAAATATTTCAAAACTGTTATCAGTGTTTCATTGAGGTGCTGCTTAATGTACTCATCTTCCATGAAATAAAACCAAATGAATTGTTTATAGTTATTATTATTGTTGTTGTTGCAGTTGGTCCAAACTCAACATCGTGTGTGTGTCATTGCATTCGAAAATTATTATTCAGTACCATAACAAATTTGTTGCAATGGTATTAAAAATTTATTTATTTTTTTAATAGAAACCTACAAAGTTTTTACTTATATCCCATGATTCAATAATTAAAGATTGGATAAGTAAACCGCTTTCTCGCTCCCTTTGGACAAAAACGCTGCCATGTTTGAATAACACTGCCGGTAGACCGTCAGCTCTAGCCGATTTGCTGACCTTTAAACGCAAATTCGCTGGTCGAATCTCAACATAGTCGGGCAGTGTAACGTCCACCATCTTCGAATGTTTCATTTTCACTACCATTCAGCAAGCTAGAGAAGTGTTCTCTGCATAAATTTAGTATACTCTGGGCATCCTTAATTAGATCACCCATATGGGTCCTACAAGTGTAGTGAGCTTGAAATTCCGCCTCACAGTTTTCTTATACCCAGATTTTGATCAGTGCTCTCTGAGAGTAGGAGTGCAAGTCTAGTAGAAAACCATTCGGCTATCTGTTGTGGTTACAGCCTTTTGAGTTCGAAACTTTTTGGTTTTTGTGGAGGGTCGCACCTAGTTGTTGTTAGGTCCTCGAAGTGTCTTTCGTCTATCACAACATGATCGATCACTTTCGTCTTTGTCCCGTCCATCGCACTTCTTGGACAGCGGTTATGTCAGCCTTTAATGTTATTAAGATATCAATTAAAAGTAATTTTATTATTTATAATTTTATTATTTTGCACATCCATTAATTTTTAATTGTTGCATATAATTTCGAAAATATAGCTATATTATTTTGATTTCGGAAGTATTTAATTCGTGTTTAAAATGAATGAAATATTAAAATTCTCATATAAATTACCTACCATTTCTCTTACTTTTTAATTTCTTTTTTGCTATTTTCCCTTATTTTTTTACTACTTTCCAAAATGCAACCATTTGTAAGGGAGTGCCGAAACTGCCTTGTCACTACTTATCCAACCTTTAGTAATTGAATTTTGCTTATATCCATCATACAAAAAACCAGGTAGTTGCACTCATAATATTTTTCAAAAATATTTTTGGGCTACAAATTTCATTTTTTAAAAAACAAATTTTCAACTTTCTAAAATTAAAAAAAAAAAAATTATTACAAAAAAGGCAAAAACCTTTCAATGTAAAGAAAAATAAAGCTGACAAAAAGCTCAAAGGATTTGCATTTAATTTTGCATTAAAATTGTGTTCAGAAGGCTCAGCATTTTTTTATACAAAAATATATGTAATATTTTTAAAGTGGCAATATCTTGAAGTTAAAATGAAAATAAGATACAATGGCATAAAATAATTTTCTTTGAATTTTATATTCAGTAAAACTATTATTCCTCTTTGTTTGTATGATACTTATATCATTAAGAATTTTCAAATTCTTAATTCTGTAAGAAATTATAAAAAAAAATAATTGCTTAAAAGGAAAATTTTATTATTCATTATGTTATTTTTACTTTTTTCAATATTTCGAAAAATAAATAAAACTGTTGTTAACTCAATATGATTTATATTTTAAAATATTAACGTTTTTTGTTTCAATTTTTGCATTTACATAAGTATTGTAAAAACGCTATCGCCCATAGATAAAGGTAATTTGTTTTCAATATTGTACAGAATAGAAGAATGCAATTTTCTAAAGTTAAAGACAATGGTGATTTTTTATATGTATGTACAATATATATGTAAGTACTTTTATATATATATATATGTAGCGACAAGCTCAACGTAGTCATTTTTAAGATACATATATGTATGCAGCAATATTAACCTTCTTGATGATGTATCAGCGTCTCTACAATGGCTTCTTTCAAACAAAAATAAGCTTCATTGCTGAACAAAATTTTCTTCTGAAATTCGGAATCTGTGACTATCTCCTTTTGGCTTTATTTCTTGAACATGCGACGCGCCTGATTGTCGTTCTGCTTCAATTCTTTTTCTATCGCAAAATCATCCATAAAGTGGATGGGCACAGCTATGGCGGACTTATTCGCATTACCATTAGAGTAAATGTTAAGCGAAACCTATTCATGGTTCCTCGAATTTCCGAGTCAGCTGTGTGGTTATGTCGACCGAATATTGTACGCAGCTCGTTGTGTCGCGCGAATGGAATCATTACTTTTGTAATAGATTTGCATACTTTATTCCGGTGTAAAGTTGTCCTGCTGCCAAAAGAACCAACTCCGAAAAAAGTATAGCCTCAGAGAGACTAAATACAATAAAAGACCACATGTCTGAAAAAGCAACCTTTAAATTACTCTAGTTTTTCTTCATTTCAATGAAAATTGGTTTACGATCTGATGCTTTTGTGAGAGAAATTTTAGAGTTCTCACTATTTTTTGAACGCTCCTTGTATATCGAGCTTTCCTTCATCTCTTCGAAATATTTTTTGTTTCAAATTATTAATATTTTTATTTTTCTTTCTCGCCTCTTCAGCCTCAAATTTTGGTGCCTGCTTCACTCCAAATCAGGTATCAGGTACTTGTATTAAATTAGCCGATTGTCGCTACCTCTATGAGTTGGTACTCGATCCGAATCTCTCACAAAACGATCGTACTTATTTGCGTAAAAGTCAATGTGGATACCAAGATCGTAATGTTTTGGTAAGTAAACCTGATGTACAACGACATATTCATATATATATATACAATAATATTTTTTTGTTCATGCAGATATGCTGTCCACCAAGCTACCTCACATTAAGTGCCACTACACCCGCGCCGACAGCACCACCTGCTAGTATTATGCTATTTCCAGATTCTCAAGTTTCCATGTCAGTGAGACGTCCAGCCACGTTCGTAGCTAGCGCCAGTGGCAGTCCCCAACGCTCAAATTTACTGCCAAGTTTTCCGCAATGTGGAAAAATGCTCGAAAATCGTATTTTTGGCGGTGTGGAGACCGCATTAGATGAGTTTCCTTGGACAGCATTGATTGAGTACCAAAGCGGTATGTATATATGTACATACATATAAAAATATTTGCTTACTCTATATATAAATATTGAATTTTGCTTATTAATTCACAGCCAATGGTTCTCGTGGCTTTTATTGTGGCGGCGCCTTGATCAGCAATCGTTATGTAATAACTGCTGCGCACTGTGTCCAGTCGACTGATCTGCCACCCGGTTGGAGCGTGATTGGCGTACGTTTGGGCGAATGGGACACACGCAGTGATCCGGATTGCAATGAGGAGGGTTGTGCGCCGCGACATGTTGATTTCACAGTTACACAGATAATTTCCCATGCAGATTATAGAAAACAGACTGACCCTAATGATATTGCATTGTTGCGCCTAGCCGGACCCGTCGAATTCAGTGATTACATTCAACCGATTTGTTTGCCAACAATACCGAGTCTACGTGATAAAGACTTTGTGGGTGTGGCAATGGATGTGGCAGGTTGGGGTGCCACGGAAACGACTCAACATAGTCCAGTTAAGTTGAAAGCTGTTTTGAGCGTTAACGATTTTAATGTTTGTCGCGAAAAATATGCGCCACTGAAACAAGTTCGCCTGCAGTCGACGCAATTATGTGTGGGTGGTGTGCGTGGTGTTGACACTTGTCGTGGTGATTCTGGTGGTCCGCTTATGACTCAGGAACTTGTTAATGGTAAAGCTGCTTATTTTCTCGCCGGCATTGTTTCGTTTGGGCCCACCAGTTGCGGTTTGGATGGTTGGCCAGCGATTTACACGAAAGTTGGCTCCTTTATAGATTGGATTGAGAGTAAAATGCAACCTTAGACTGTTAAAAAATAAGTACATGTTGTACGTGTATGTATGTATAAGGAATATACGGAAACTAAAAAAGAAAATTAATTTTTATTACTTCATTCATAGAGAAATTTTTTTTTAAGAAGAGTAATTTTTGAGAAAACTTACGAAAGTGAATTAATTTAACTCACTAACAATTACGGTTTCTTATTAAGAATTACAACCCCGCTAGGCAGCAGCAACCTAAGGCTCGACGAATAGTAGTAGGTATACAGAAGCCTCTATTATAAGCAACAATCTTTTAATCTTTATCTGTAGTCAGTAGAGACGTTTGACGTTCTGTCTCAATCTTTGGGAACTGGCGATTTCATTTATGAATGAACCCGATACTTCAAGTTTGGTACACGCGACTTTGGACCTGCATTAAATTATTAACCATTTGTTCGACTGAATTTTGGATAGTCAAAGAAAATTTTTATTGAGTTGAATTTACATCACATATTGAATTATGGGCCATAGTAGCTGAGTGTGCTACTACGTGGACAGACCAACAACCAAAATACTATTTTAAAAACTTAGATTTTCCAATTGTGTTCGTTTTTGTCAGGAAAAGTCGAGCTCTCCGATTGTATTTCTGCGATTTCCTTGAAATTCGATACATAGCTGCTTTTGGATTAGATTAATAGGAATTCTCTTCTCCCCGGAAGCGAACCAGGAACCGAACTATTAAAAAAAAAAATATATTTACAGTTAGATTTCCTTAAAATTCATTAAATGGGTCGCTCTTTATTTAGATTGCTTAGAATACTACTATTATCTGCGGAAAAAGGACCAGAGACCAAGCTATTCGAAAATATTGTATTTATCCTTCGATTTACTTGGAATTCGGTACAAAAGTGGCTTTTTGCTTAGGTTAGGTAATTTTCTCCGCGGAAAGTGAGCCAAGCACTGATCTATTCGAAAAAAAACGTATTTAATGCTCTTTTTTCCTAAAATTCTTTTTTCATCGTTCAATTGGAAAAAATATATATGTATATTATTGGATCGGAATACGGAATACTTCCGTAGCTTAATTATATCTGCTCGATAAACTTTCTTTACGGGAAAGGGATCACCGACAGATTGACAAGAATTAATATGATTTGGATATAAGCATAAATCGCGCGTAGATATATTCAGATTACAAGCCATTCTTTTATGTTCAACTTGGTTATGAATAAGCATAGATCATAATGGTGTACTTCGAGGGATTCATATTGATATTTTCGGGTAAGACTTTGAGCAGTAGAGAAGTGACCCACACATACAAATAAGTAGTCAGATCAATAATGTAATAAAACAACTTAATGTTTTGAATTAGATTATGCTTAATTAGGAATTTTTATCGTTTTTTGAGAAGCCAATTAGCAGGGTTATCCATTTTGTGGTTTCGAAAATAAACTTAAACAAAACTTTAACCTTATCATTATAGGTGAAACATCACTCAAATGATCGCATCAAGAATTTTAGCAAACATCGATCCGCTTGAGGTAATTTTCGACCAGTTTTTGGCAAATATTCAGGTATCTCAAACATAAACACTATTTTTCCCATAGCCCGATAAAAAAATGTCAACTTTGTAAAATCTCATAATCTTGGTATTTAATTGACATTAAAGAAAAATCGTCCTACACTGCACCCAACCGACGTATATACGGCGCTGTGAATAGTCTGCTGGCATATATGCCGTAAGAAAGTCTTAACTCTTGAGAACGTCGAGATATAGACACATTTGGGTCTTCGGCTGCACTTTCACTGTCAGTACCGATATTTGAGACGGAACAGGCAAATCGTTTATGCGCACCATAATCTCCTCTTAAAGCACGATGCGTGGTCGCGTTGCAATTACTATTCTTGTAGTAGGTTTGGAGGAACTTTAACAACTTGAGTGGCTTTTAAGACGTTCATTTTCATAAATTTCTGACATTTAAGTTTGACAGATGTCAAAATACAAACCTCTACTTTTGAAACCACGAAACAGATAACCCAGTATATATGTGTATACACATATCTGATTAACAGCAGCTAGGATATATATGTATTTTTGATCAGTAAGAAGAAGTAAAATGAATAGAGAACCAAATTCATTACTTAAGATGACTCTGTTTTTATCGAACAGCCGGATAACAAAACCAAACCAAATCTCGTTATCTGTTACGAGGTTATAAATTATATTTTCGTAGAAAATGTTGAGTAAAATGTAGCTGAACTTATTTATTGATATAAAATCGAGTCGTCCGATCAACATCCAAAAATTATAGAAAATTAATTGAAATTAAAAATTAAGTGAAGCTTTCTAATTTCGGTTGCCCCTCGGCAGGAAATATTAAGCTTTCGTGTGTTTTCCTGACATGTAATAAAAAAGCTCCTTATGAAAATCCACAAGACGTGTGGAGGTGGCTCAGTATAAACAGTAGGCTACGCCATTTTTGGGAAAAACATCAATACGCATACCACAAAATCGAAGGAGGAGCACGGCCTTCAGTGGTTACAAAGCGCCAATTGTATATGTATATAATTAAAATTTATTTTTAAATCAAATACACATTTACTATGAGATAGGTTTTGATGTTTCAGGTCGACATTTTTTATATAATTAATTTTTGCAAGATTCTGGCCTATAAATATTCAAAGAAAAAAAATTAAACGCAAAAAAAAAAAGTTAAACGCAAAAAATAAAAATTAAAAATATACTGGTATAGTACAATAGAATCGAAAATTTTGTAATTTTTTTTTGAAAGTGAATAAAATTTAACAAAAAACATCCATTAAAATGTCATTATATATTCAAATATTCTGCTCATATTGTTCCAGCGAATTTGTAAGCAGACGAGCATGCATCTTATATTCAGTAAGAGAAATCTGCTCTGCTTGTACTCTTAAAGTAAATCAGAGCTTTGTAAAATCAACTAGTAATTATTAAATCAAGAGAAACTTATGTATTTAAATCACACTTAAACAAATTCAACCTGAAGCAACGCTTGGGAGATTCTCGAGTTTACTTACAGCCAGCATCTTCTCAGTTTCTCAGTCGTCTTTGCGATGTGAAACGATACTTGTCGTAAGCTCCCAGTTAAAAGACAAGACGCTCAAGTGCTTTTGCTACAAAAACACGCCGAATATTAGGCAGGCGGTTAACAAGAATAAAAGTACATAAGCAAAATCAGAAGATTTCTCTACTAATATATACGGATTTCGTTTAGTACTTATTTATTAATTAATGCAAATTGTAAACGTGTTGTAGAGTCAATCGACGTAGTAGCAAAATCAAAACCATATTAATTATACGCATTAAATAAGCAACGCACAAACATTTATATATTTACAAAAGACAATGAGGTTTGTGATGAAATAAAATTCTAAATAATAAAATCAATTCGGTATATATGTATGTATGTAAGTTGACTTACAGTGTGTGAAGATTTAATTAAGAAACAATTTCTTTAAGAAAATAAATTACTATTATTACTAAAAGTGTAAAGAAACTTACAAACACACGCGCAAATTTGGTACAGCTTTACAATAAAGAAACAACAAAAAGGAAACTATTTTTGCATCAACGGAGACTTGTTATAGTACAATATGACGAAACCGGTGTTAATTGGTGTCTTCTTCTTCTACTGCATTGGTGCTTTTTTGTGCGGCCCAACATCAGCACGTAAGTCAGTCATTCCACATACATATGTATGTATTTATACCTAAGTTTCGAAACTCTTTTACATATAGTAAGTATACTCTTTTGTAAACAAAAAAAATAAAAAAAAAAAAAAAAATAAAATAGAAAAATCACCAATTCATCAAAATATTAAATACCTTTACAACCGTTATCATTAACGCAGAATACATATATGCATACATGTATGCATATAAACAAATACATAACATACAAGCATATAAAATTATTAGCGCTGAAACTTTAGGGCCATTCTAAACTACGCTTATTTATTTTTACATTTCATGACCATGCAAAACTCATGGTATTTCATTTTAGGATTAGATACTAATGCTGATCGATGATTTTCGTTGTCAACATTTATTGTATATACGTATGTAGTAAACACAATATTAAAGCTTTTAAACGCTTTATAATGGAGTTTTGATCCAAATCCTAAACAAAGCTTTTGTATGAGAGCTATGTACATATATGATATACTCCTTTTCGATTTCGCTGGCCTTCAGCACCACTCTGTAATTAATCACATGTGTGCAGAACACCTAATTTCATGTTTTTTTCTTGGCAAATTTATGACCTTAGCAGGCCTATTCTCAATGTTACCGGTAAAGTAAATTTTGTTACTTTTCTATGTTTGAAAAAAATTTGGCCGCACTGCTTTTTTCGTCCATGTCATATTACATTTGACAGTTGATAAAGTAAAAAGAAAAATATTCACATCGAAATGGAAGACGGTGCACAAAAAAATTAAAAAGTTTTATTAATTTGTTTATTAAATCATAAATATTTGAACCTAATTATGGAAAAGATGCTTGGACAACAAAAAAAGCTGAATGAAAACGATATCTTACAAATTAAAGGGCTATTTTTTAGTCTCGAAAACTTCTTAAAATACGGTTTTTTGCATTTTTTTTCTTCATCCTCAATGAATTCCAGGCCTAAAATACATATGACTACCCATTCTGGTTTTTTATTTTTTCTCAAACTTACGACACAAAATCAAACAGCAGATATTTGTTTACCTCCAATTTCGCTGGTAACAAAATTTACAGGGTAATAGTGAGCTCAGAATACGAAATGGTAACAAAATTTACTGAATGGTAAATTTTAATACCTAGGTAAATTTTGGTAACAAATAAATTTTAATACCTAGGTAAATTTTGTTACCTCGACAGAATAGGTCTGTAGATATCAAATCTGAAAAAATTGGTCGTATTTACATATGTAATGGTGGTCCGATCGTTCTTTGAAATATCTCAAAAACCCAGACTCTATTATGAAGGGTCCCATCAACCGTTCGCAGGCGGCTTAGTATAAACTGTAGGTCCCACCATTTGTTGAAAAAACATCAAAACGCACAAAATACAAAATTCGCTTCAACGGTTACAAAGCGCCAATTATATATTTATGTATCTTCGGACTTCAGACCAAAGCATATATACTACACAATTGCATGTACACAAAAGATATAATAATAATAATAACTATTTTTGAAAATGGAATATTAAGCATTGGAGGTTTTTTTTAGCCTCGCCTAAACTTTTCACTACCTGTTTTGTTATTTTTAATTTATTCTTACAAAAAGCAGTCTTAATTTCCGGCGATAAACTTTTCATTCTTACGGAGTTCTTGACCATTGATCGTTTGAGACCTGTGAATAGTCCCTGGGGACAAGTCTGATGAATACAATGGAAGTTCAATTGATTAACTTGTGACACGAGGAGTTGTTTTAATGAAACACAATTCTAATCATCAAATATCTCCAAAACACTATAAAATATTTACTGTTGATGACATTACCCTTCAAAAAAAAGTCGATGAATATTTTCACCACGCATATCGCATCGTGAAATACCGTGGTATTTGTTAGCGAGGTCATAACCTTCCAAACCGATTACAGGGTTTCCGTGCGCTTCTAACAAGGTTTGCCAGTCGACGCTGTCTACTCAGATGACGGTCGTTTGATTCCGGTGCGAAGTAATGGATCTTTATTTTATTTAAAGTTTCGATTTGTTAAGCTTAAATATGGCCGAGCACTGCTCAGAATTAACAACACGTTCTCGTTTTTGGTGAATAGTGAGCATACGTGTCACCACTTTAAACAGAGCTCCTTCATAGTGAAATGCTCATGGCATATAAAGCCAGTAGGATGTTCCTTTGGTGTCTTTACGATATCAGCGAATTCACTTTTTGATCATTCAAAGCGATTTTGTGGATTTCTCATGTTTTGCGTTGTTAACGCTTCTTCTATTTATTTCTGCATTTTTTATTATTTTTCTGATGAACAACTATTACTTCTGTTAACTTTTTACGAAGGTTGCCTTTTATTTTTGGGGGTTAAGGAACAAAAACAAATATTAATCACCGAAAATCGCTTTAATAACTTTACTGAATTAAGGTGGAATCACACTTCTATTTCCAGAATTTCAAGACAAACGTGAACGGTCATGCGACTCTCTCAAGAGGGATCATTGAGGTCTTTAGACTTTTGTATGCGTTCTAAACGCATCAATCACCACTTCAGATGTCGCAAAACGTTGACCACTCAGTTTTTTCAAAGTATGGGAATCAAAAAAAGTCATTCGATGCCTTGTCAACACTGTACAGTCTATAACTCATCAAATCGATCTTTTGTGTGCTCGAAAAAGGAATTTTTTTCAGTCGATGTCTGAGAGCTCGCGTGGTTGTGGTGAAGAGTGTTCTGTATTTGAGGGTTGGTTTAATGATTTCTTGAAAGACAACTACCAGCAAATAATTGTGTACCACTCAGAATTTACCGTTCTGCATTGTTGTAGTAGTGCACTTGCAACATTTTCAGTTTTTCCAAAACAAAAAAAACGGGCTTGGAAATTTTTCGTGCGCAAACAAATTTTGTTGGACTCAGTTTATGTTTAAACATCCAGTTACAGTCGACTACTACTTTTTTTCGGGCTCATAAGAGTGTTTTGAAGCACCGTTATCGTATTTTATAACATTTGTTTGGAGGACCAATCGGTAAAGGCTTTTTTCTTACAACGTTTCACAAATTGTGTGAGTTCCAACGAGTAGAAATTTTTTCTGCACTAATGACTATTGTTGTCTCAATCACACGATATGTCATATGACGATCTCGTAATATCAGTTTCCGCACAGCATCAATAGCTTTCAGAACAACAACTTATTTTCCATGACCTTCACGAAATTCGTCTTGGAGTGATCTACCAACGCGATGGAGCTCACCATACCATCGTAAGGACTCAAGACCTAGTCCTGAGTTTAATATGGCTAAAAATTTAATAAAAAATTGATCGCGTTTAAATTCTATTTTTTGGCCGAGAAGAATATTTTAAGTTAATGTTAACAACTCAAGTAGCGCTCATAGGTCAAAACGTTGTCAGTACGAAGAGATTACCAAAATTTCGATTGATTGGTGACTTTCAATTTGTTTTTGTTAAATCTAAAAATACCAAATCCTTTGCAATTATTTATTAAATGGTACACCGAAGAGTGCTTACCAAAAGTTTTCAAAAATATCTTGGAAAACAGTAAGAAAAAGAATTTACGGCGCTACTTTTTAGACTATGACAACGCGCCATCCCAAAATGCTGAGTAATTTTATTGCGATCTCTGGGAACGGAGAAATAAATAAAATACCTTAGATAAAACACCTTGTGAAAACTGGTTATTTCCAAGAATTAGAAAAAAATTAGAAGGCAAGGTCTTTGGTAGCAACGGGGAGATAATCAATGCGGTTGATGCGCTGAACTTGATAAGCTTAAAAAGCAAGATTTTGAAGACTGTTTCCAGAAGTGGTTTTACAGCCTTAAGATATGCATTGAAATCTATGGCGATTAGGTAGCGAATTTAAAATGGACAAAGTTTACGAATAAATACAAAAATTTTTTTTTGTTTCTGATCAACTGATCGAACTTCTGCTAAACCTAAACCACCCTATACATAATAACATCAAAAATGTCAAACTTTAGACTAAAGTTCCGATGTATCCGAGGTATAAAAGGCAACCTTCGTAATCATCTGCATACATACACGGTGTGCCCCAAAAATAACCGAACTTTTTGAATATAAAATAAAATACACATTATATTATCTTTGAAAGTTATTATTTACTCAAAATAGGTTCCATTTGACTCAACACAACTTTTGGAACGATCAACCAGCGCATGCATAGATTCATTCATTTATAGAAATGTTCTTCAGTGCCTCGGTTACGGCTGCTTGAATGGCTGGGATAACATCATAAAATGCTCCCTTCATCTTGGTTTTCAGTTTTGGAAATAAAAAATAGTCACATGGTGATAGATCAGGCGAATACGGAGGATGGTCGATGAGAGAAATCCCTTTTTTCATTGAAAATTCGAGCGATTTTTTGGTCATCATTTAATTCATGTGGAACAAATCGCGCACAGACCTTTCTTTCTCCCAAATCTTCAGTTAAAATTCTCCAAATAGTGTTTTTACTCGTATTCAATTCCTCAGCCAACATTCTCGTAGCAAAATTTGCATCAATACCAATGATTTCACAGACTTTTTCCACCAGTTCAGCACGATTACTAGTTTCTGGACGTCCTGCTCTAGAATCGTCATTTAAATCCTCACGACGATTTTTAAATCGTATAAACCACGTATAAACTTGCGTACGACTCATAGAATCATCACAATAAACTTTTTTCATTAATTTTTTTTTTTTCAAGTTTGACACAAAATTTTATATTTCCTATTTGTTCCATTTTATTTTTGAACCATTAGCACACTTTTGGTTTTATTGAAATGGCTGTCACTTTTACATCTGTCATCCGACTTACAGGATGTTAGGTGCGTTTGAAGGAGGATGAATGTATCTTTTTAATGTTGCAAATTTTCAATAGATGGCGCTGTATGTTGTATGATTTAAATATAAAGTTCGGTTATTTTTAGGACACACCGTGTACATACATATTTACATTAAAAACAATTTATCTAACTAATCTCACACAATATGTATGTATGTACGTAAGAACAAACATAATGTCACACACACGCGATTCGTTTACTTTCATTCACACAAATATTACTAATAATACGCTAATAATTCTAAGAATGACTAGACCAAAGAAATCTGCGAAATTTAAGCGCACAAATTAAACGTTTAAACATCAATTTCTTACATATACCTTTAAATGTACATATGTACATATGTATATATACATGTATTCATAGACATATGTACATTTCGTGCATCTCACTTTTCGCCTGTCACATGCATTTAAAGGTATTCCCCAAAAAAATGAATCGGGTTTTTACTGTGAGTGACCGCTCAAGTACTCAGTTAAACCACTTTTTTGCAATGAAATTTTTTCTAGTCTACCTTTGGCATTTGGTGTTTTCTTTGTTGATATAAATTTATTATGTTCCCATTAACTGTACTGTAGAAAATTCACTTCTCTTTGTAAAAAAAATACTTGCATTCGTACGAGTACATAATTATGTTAAGGTTGTTGGTTGGAAATTCACTTAAAGTTGGCAGGCGTTATCTTTTGATTTTTTTTTTCTAATATTATTTTTATACACACATACATATGTGCTTGTGTATAATATATGTAAAGTATATACATACAATAATATATGTATGTATGAATATACAACTGTTTTTAATCATATTCACAAACATGATTAACTTTTTCAAACAGATTTACGTTCAAATCAATTCCATACAATGAATTATGAATTATTGCGAATTTGCGTTGATTAATAATTAATAATTATATTACTTAGTAAAATGAGAAAATATGGTTTTTGTTTGAGCTTGTCGCTGAAGGTGAATAAGAAAAATCAAGTTTTGAAGTTTTAATGAACTCAAATATTTCAATTAATCAAAATATCATTATGAGCAAAGTGACTAAATTTTCGTATGGTGCTCAGAGAATTTTCAAAGCTTTTTGTTTTTTTTTTTCAATTTGCTGTCATTTAGCTCTACAAAGGGCTAGTGGTAGAAGAGCAGCATTCCTGTCCACTTATCTTCTTCTATATATATATTGATCCATTATTTTTGCAGTAAATCGCTTTAGTGAGCTGTATCTCGTCTTCTGCTAGTGCGATTGGATTACATTAGATGGCGTTAGAAGGATAATATTTTGCATAAACGGTCTCCAAAATGGGGTAGATGACCAAGTAGGATTTGGTACCTCATTTTGGTGGGTTTGATATGGAATCAACCACAATGAGCTACTTCTCTCAACGTCAGCTATTGGTCTGTCTAAAAGAAGCAATTGCCCAGAAGCGCCAAGCTTCGACCAACAGTAAGGGAATTGTTTTCGTTCTGCTCTCTGTTCTTATCTATTACGTATGATTTGGCTGTTGAGTGAGGCACAATGACATCACCTTCAAAATAACAAAACGTTTTCATGCACCGCCTTGGATATTTGACATGAATCGGATAATTTCAACTATGTTAAATAAGACCTTTAGTTTAATGCAAAAATAATGGATTACTTTTCACTTTTTTTAAGATTTGATATTATATATCAAGTGTATAACATTGCTTCCGCCCTTTTTTCCAAAATTAAAAGCTTTATTGCCCTTCGCTAGCGACAACTTTCTCCCATCATTCCGGCAATTTTCGGATCCCGGCTCGAAAAAAGGAGTCCCCTTTTGACGCTATCCATGAAGTAATCCATATTTCCAATTCTTCGAAGGATTGAAAATGTTGATTTGCCAGGCCGTGTGCCATCGAACGGAATAGGTGGAAGTCAAAAGTCAGGGGCGACATCTGGGGAATACGGCGAGTGGGGCAAGACTTCCCATTTCAGCGTTTCCAGGTACTTTTTGACTACTTTTGCTCGATGTCCCACGGTTTCAACTCGTACGGCACCCAGTTTCCTTCTTTCTGAATCATGCCCAGGCCCTTGAGACGTTTTGAAATGGCTTGCTGACTCAGTCCCAACGAATCGGCAAGCTGTTCTTGGGTTTGGCACGAATCTTCATCAAGCAATGCTTCTAGTTGTTCATCTTTGAAGGTTTTTTCTCTTCCCCTACCATGTTTGTCTTCGACATGAAACCACTCCCGACACGTTCTTTTACTCAGAGCAGCATCAATGTAAGTTTCTGAGAGCATTCGATGCGCTTCAGCTGCATTTTTTTTTCGAATTGTAACAGAAAAGTAAAACTTCCCGCAAATGGCGAGAATTAGGCACATAAACGGACATTTTCAAGCGTGAATAATACGAAAGCAAGAACAACTGTCACTGAAATGGCGATGACAGTTCGTTAGGCACTCTCCACACTCACTTTAAAGGAATTATCATCTATGTATTTCAACCAGCCTCAGCCGGTACAGCCGCCTATCGGCAAACGGCGGAAGCAAAGTTGTACACCTGATGTCCTATATTTTCGGGTAGTGAACTGGGGGCCGTCTTAATCGAAAAAATCTTATTTACAGTTTTTTTTTACTTGAAACTCTTTTTTAACCTTAAATGGATCGCTCTATTTGAAAAATATACATATCTTCTTCTTTTCTGGCGTAGACGCCGCTTATGCGATTTTAGCATCGCGCTATCTAGTCTTTATGTACATACATATATGAATTTACTTATAATAGTTGATCTTTTCAATTTTTTTTTTTTTGGATCTCTCGCTGAGTCATTTATATGCAAAGTACATGAGATTCTGCACATTTCAAAAACTGTACAAAAAAATTTGTTTATTAAATAAAAATAGGTGTTAACAAAAAGTTCTTATATGAGCCATTAGTATATGCATACACACGTAGTCTTTATAAACCAGTTTTTTAAGTGTGAAAACATTTGTGAATTTTGAAGAATTTTTTAGCGTAAAAATACAAATTTTTTAAACGTAAACAAAGAAAACACAAACACTATACCATATGTACGAATGTGTGTTGCATACGAATAAACGCAAACGCATTTCATGTTCATTTCTCTGGTGATGGCAAATCTTGACTATTTCTTTTAGCAAAACAAAAAATTGAATGAAATGAACCACATATAAATGTATGTATGTATGTATGTATGTAAATGTGTGTCTAATATCTGAGATCAGTTTTTATTATTATTAATTATTTATTTATTTTTTTTTTTTGTTAATTCTCATTTCAGAATTCTACTTTCCCAATGAAAATGCGGACGTGCCCAACTTCGGTCGTTGTATCACACCAAATCGTGAGCGTGCTCTGTGCCTCATTCTGGACGACTGCAAATATCTTTTTAATTTGCTGCTGCAAACGCCGCTGCTAGATTCGGATCGCTTATATTTGAGTCGCAGTCAGTGTGGTTATCAAAATGGCAAAGTTTTGGTAGGTTCTTTAGTATGAGCTAAATTTGAAAAAATTTATCGGCGGCGGTAAGTCAAATTTTCTAATTGCAATCGTCACTCGGCAGGGAATGTCAAAGCCTCCCAGTGTATTTTTGGCATGAAATAAAAAAGATCCTCCTAAAGACCATCAGCCGTTCGGAGGTGGCTTTATATAAACTGTAGCTCCCTCTATTTGTTGGAAAACCATCAGGCTGAAAAACCACATATTGGAGGAGGAGTTCGGCTGAAAATTGTTTCAGCGGTTACTATGTACCAATTATATTATATCCAGTAAAAAGTTCGTTCGGTTTTTTTATTGATTTTTCAAAACTTGATAACTTTATGTACATTTGTCCGATTTAAGTAAAATATGCGCCCTTTTGTTCGTAAACTTGTTGTCAACAAGATGCCAACTTCATTATACCTCTCTCGTAGAAGGCTGCGTCCCTATTGGCAAAAAACTCGGAGACCCAATTTTCACAGACCTCTCTTGAGGCCAACTTCTCACCATTAAGCGCGTTCGCCATAGACAGGAAAAGATGGTAATCACTTGGTGACAGGTGGGCGCATTGGAACACATTTCGGCTTCTGTTGATCAAAGATGGCCTCTTCTGGATAAGTGCCGCCTTCAAGCGGTCCATTTGTTGTCAGTAGAGGACCGAAACGAGCGTTTGCCAATCCCACTAAACACACAGGAAGGTTTTCCTGGCCATCAATCCGGTCTTGGCCACCATCTGAGCCGTTTCCCCGAGCTTTGACCACGACCGTTTGCGCTCGATGTTGTCGTAAGTGACCCATTTTTCATCGCCAGTCTCAATCCGCTTCAGAAACGGGTCGTTTTTTTTGCGGCCCATCATATTTTTTTTGCGTTAGTTCGTGTGGCACCCAAACATCGAGTTTCTTTTTGAATCTAAGGTTATGCAAATGGTTCTAAACGGGTTTCTGGCTTATCTTTAGTTCCTCGCAATTAAATAAGTGCTCACGTGACGGTCGGTTTCCACTATTTCTATGATTTTATCGCAATTTTCGACGACAGGCCTCCCGACGCGTGGTGCATCTGTGACATCGAAATTACCGGAACGAAACCTAGCAAACCACTTTTGTGCTACACGTTCGTTTACAGTGTCGGCTCCATAAATGAAATTAATTTTTTCACTTCGCTATGTCTGCTTTTTCGCCTTCGTCGAAGAAAAATTTTAAAATATAGGGAATTTTCTCTTTGCTGGTGTCCACCTTTGGCGAGCGCTCACAACGTACTGAGTCAATCAATCGCCGTTTTCAGCGCCGTATAGTATGGCATGATGCGACACGTAACACTAGTAATATGGACAATAACACCATCTCTTAGATAAAAACCCACGAACGAACTTTTTACTTGACCAATATATTATTTATAAATTTGAAAAATTTTAAGAAATTGAGTATCAACAAGAAGGGAAGGCTGTCTTAGGCAATGTTCGAGCTATATCATATCGTCCTCCGATTATGTTTTGACGGCTTTTCCAAAACGTCATAAATGGACAATCATTGTATGTCGATAAATTTCAATATCAATACATACTTCCGATCAAAGTTAATAAGTCTGAAGAAATTTTCTGGCCCAAAAATATTTAAATAAGTGCTCAGTGGTCTTGAGCGCAGCTTATGGGTTTTAAGTACCTCCGCTTTAACTGCTAAAAGTGCATCTGTCTTATGTTCAATTTTAAAAACTAATCTAGAATTCTTCAATCCACAGATTTGCTGTCCTGATCGTTACCGTGATTACATTAATGTGCCATCCACCAATCCAACCACCACAAAACCACCACCGGTTGCCCCTAGCAATCTCTTGCCACAGCCTGGTCAATGCGGCAACGTTTTGGCAAATCGTATTTATGGTGGTAACGTGACGAAAATCGATGAGTTCCCTTGGATGGCTTTGATAGAATATACAAAACGTAGGTATATTTTTTTTTTTTTTCAATTTGAATTCAAATTTTCCCTGTCTAAAATTGCTTCATCTAACCAACAGCTAACGGTAACAAAGGTCATCATTGTGGCGGCTCACTGATTAACTCACGTTACGTAATCACAGCCTCGCATTGCGTCAACGGACCAGCTATACCCGTAGATTGGCGTTTGACTGGCGTACGACTTGGCGAATGGGATACCAGAACGAATCCAGATTGCGAGGTTGATGTACGTGGCGAAAAAGATTGTGCGCCAACACATCAAGATGTAGCTGTGGAACGCGCAATATCCCATCCCGGTTATGAGCCAAATTCGAAAAGTCAAGCGAACGATCTGGCACTCTTACGTCTCGGTCGCAATGTGCAATATACGGATTTCATTCGACCCATATGCTTGCCTTCAAGCAGTAATTTACGTTCAGCGCAATTCGATGGCATCGTTATGGATGTTGCCGGTTGGGGTAGAACGGAGACGGAAGCAGCTAGTGCATTGAAATTGAAAGCAGAAGTCGAGGGTGTGCCGCTGGAGAAGTGCTATGAGAAATATGCAACTCAAAATATTTTCTTGCAATCAACACAAATGTGCGCCGGTGGTAAGGCTGGTGTAGATTCATGTCGTGGTGACTCTGGTGGCCCACTTGTCAGCTTGGACAATTCAAAGAAAGCGCTCTCATATTACTTTTTGGCGGGTGTCGTGTCATTTGGGCCAACTCCGTGCGGTTTAGAGGGTTGGCCTGGTGTTTATACGAGAATCGGCGGATTTGTGGATTGGATTGGAACGACCATACAGCCTTAGGTTACATACGTACTCATATACTTATTAAGATTTAATTTTTTTTATCGATTATATATGTATGTTTAATAATAAAAAAAATCATTAGCACGTACATGCTACTACATACGAAAAGATACGTATTAGTTACCTTCCAAGCCGAGTCTTTCAAATTTACACAAATATCAAAAGACATACGAAAATATTATTGTATATAAGTTCTGTAGGGAATAACAATTTGAAGTTGCCAAAATCCGAGTCTTAAAGCAAAAAAAAAAATAATTATTGTTATCCAGAACATAGGCTGAGAAGAAGGAGTTTCTTCATTGACGTTGGCACAGCTTTCGAAGTTATAGCCGAATCAACAATAGAACGACAACCGTTTCTTTTTTCGCTCTTTACCATCAACTTAGAGCTTCCAAGTGAAGCCAGATGCTCTTCACCTGATCCTTCCAAAAGAACGGTGATCTTTCTCTTCTTCTGCTTACACCAGCGAGTAATGCATCGAATACTCTCAAATCTGGCGTACTTGCAACCATCCGAACCACTTGACGTAGCCAGCATGCCTGCTGTTTCTTTATTCGCTGAACTATGTTAATGTCGTCGTAAATCTCGTCTAACTAATCGTTCCATCGTCTGCGGTATTTAACATTATCAATCCGCAAAGGAAAATAAATATTTCACCAGACTTTACGATCGAAGTTTACCAAGGCCGAATAATCGGATGTCGACATCGACCACGGAAGAGGACGACAATAACAAGTGACTTGCAGAGTTTGAATTTAGTTCATTCAGAGAAGAGTAGACTGATGTTTCGAGGAGCATGATTCATATATTATATGTACTTCTACGTTTCTGCTATAATTCAAAAAGAAAAGTGAGGGAAATGCAATGTGCACGTAGGTTCCTAACTTCGACTTGGAACACTATCCTAACGGAGCGAAAATACATTTCGAAAATACCTGAAACGGAGTTGGTATCAAGAGCTTTATCGAACTGTAGTGGAGTGCAAAAAAATAACTACCTTATAAAGGGACGATCGACCAGGTAGCGAGTCCTGAAGTGGGAAGCAAAACGCATTTTGAGATAGAAAAAGAAAAAGGCCGAAAGTATGCCCACAATCGACAATTATTGGCCAATAATATTTATTGAAAAACATCAAGACTCAAAGCGACAATTATAATATTGGACCATAACCATATTATGCGGACATAATTGCACCAATGAAAAGGTGGCGACCTAAGCTAACTTTCAGTGGAGGAAATCTTCTGCCATTTAGAAATCCTCATTCCTATTGGCAAACAAATTAGGACAACCCAAGCCAAATCATTCGCTATAGAACGTAACAGATGGTAATCACTTGGTGCAAGGTCCGGACTATAGGTGGTTGCATAAGAACCTTCCAGCCAAGTGCTCGGAATTTCTGGCGAGTCATTATCAATGTGTGTGGTCTGGCCTTGCCTTGATGAAATAAAATTTCCCTCCTGTTGTCCAAGGCTGGGCCCTTCTGGGCGATCGCTTTCATTAGACGTTACAATTGCTGACACTACAGGTCCGAATTCAAAGTTTTAGACGCAGGGGAGCAGCTCATAGTGAATGAATGAATTCCACCAAACATACAAAAAAAAAAACCTTTCTCGCCTTCAATTCCTGTCTTTACCGTTTGCATTTGACGTTGCTTTAAGTAATCTACTCGTTTATCACCAGTCAATTCGCAAAAAGAAATTCAGTTCATGAGTTTTTTTCTCGTTAACTCATGTAGCACCCATACATCGAGTTTCTTTATGTTTTCAACTCTTTTCAAGTGGTCCCAAATTGTTTTTATGCAATGCTTAGCTCCTGGGCAATCGGAGCAGATAAGTCAGACTGGACGATCTTCATTATTTTAACGATACACCGTGGAGCATCTTTTACATCAAAATTACGGGAACGAAATCAAAGTAACCAAAATTGTGCATAATTGACTGTTACAGTATCAGGACCATAAACTCTTTTGACATTTTAAGCTACCTGACTTGCGGGCTCGCCTTTATCGAAAAAAAAATTCTATGTATGTAATATGTCCATCTTTGACACGGGCTCATACACTACTGGTTTCAGTGATCAATATTTCTCCCTTTATCTGTTTTAATACCATATTTTTAACGTAATCCAGCCGCACTTACGGAACGCGAGGTTCAGATCTACAAAAGCTGACTATTGCAAAAATAATGGATAACTTGTTACTTAACCAATATACCATTTCATGTTCGTGAAAGGTATAAAATTGCATTTTTGACGAAAATTTTCTAAAATATGTACTTGTCGCTTTTTGAGAATTTTATTATTCATAAGGATATTTTAAAAATTTCATTATTAATTTTGACCGCAAAATATATATATATATATATATATTTATATATATAGATATTTGAATAGAATCCTTTGGTTACCTACTAATATGAATTTTGAGCAACCATTAGTATAGAATACCATACCAAACACATACATATATACGTATGTATATGTATATCATATCTATTGTTCGACTACAATATGACAAGGATCATTTCCTATGTACATATAGTATGTACATATATACACCATTTAGGACCTGCTTAAAACTACAGTTGACAACTATTATATGAATGTATGTGCATATGTACACATTTATGTATACATATACTTAGATACACATGTCTATGGTTTGTTTACACATGTACCTGCGTGCCAAAGAGCGTCTCTTTTCGCGAATATCGCGACAGTGTCGCTGTATGGAATGCTCTAAACAAGTGCTTAGCCCATGAAATATGGAAACCATGAGTGCAGGTATGCGTTTTGTTGTGTTTTTGAGTATACTATACAAAAACACAGCGGACATACTTCACGCGAAACAGTTTTAAACGTGATTTCAAGATGTTAACACAAGTGTTTTTAAGTGTCCTTTTGTTGAGTGCCTTTACTAGCAGCTTACCGCCGGCACGTAAGTGTCACCAAATAAAATATTTAATTATGTGAATAAGTGAAATTATTATAAATAAATTAAAGATTGTTAATTAAAATATATAAGAGCAAACAGTGTATATTTGAATTTAAATATAATAATAATAATAATACGAGTATAATGCCATGAGAATGAGGTTTCTGTGCTGAGTAAAATTAACGACCTGATATTTTTTCTTCTAAAATAAAGCAGCAAATTAAAAAAAAAGAACAAATGAATTAAGTAACTTAAAATTGTATATGATTTTTTATAAAGGCTTGCGATATGCATACGATTTTGTCTTTCATGTGAACATTTTAAATTAATTTACTTGTTTTGTGGACTTTTTTTTAAAGGATTCAAAAGAAACGTAACATACTTTTAGGATCTTATTGTGACTTTTTTGGGTCAATTGCTGATATCATTATTGAATGTAGACTACTAATAGTATTTTCAAGCCGACCCCGTTTAATATGTTCAAGTTAGAAGAGCTATTTGTTAAACATAACTGTCCAGATAGTGCTTCGATTTAAAATTTGACGGCTGTTTTTTACAAATAAAATACCAGAAATATGCAAAAATTATTTGTTAATTATTTTCAAATTTGTTAATAATTCGGCGATTTCCACAAAAATATTTAATTCAATATAATCGGAGGAAATAAAAATGCTACTCCGAGAACGAAATCAATATCTACAAAAAAATGCACAATGTGGGAGCACCATAAATTCCTTCATATTGTGATCAGTTTATGGCTTTTTATTTAACTAAACTGTTATGACCCCACAACCACAGTCAGCCAGTTGACTCGCCATTTTTTTAAACATTTTCGAGTTCTGCTTTTGTCCAGGAAGCACAAGAATGTGATCTTTCCTCACCGTTCGAGCTCATTTACCATGTTTAGCCTGTCGATTCGAACATACTATATTTTGAATTTTGACTTTAGCACACACATATACCAGTTTGCTAGTGAGCAAAAGCTCATGCGGATAGTATTTAAATATTAATTTGACTGAATTTCCTTCGTAAGCACAAAGCTTAATAGATAATCAATGCAACCGCCGATGCGATCTTCCGCCTAGCTTCTCCTCCAATTTTTTCTCCGTGTCTTCCTGTTTTTCCTACAAATGAAAGAACCTAGAATTTCTGCTGGTCCACGTCCGCACGGCGCTGTAATTTCAAGGCAGAAATACACGCAGTGTGGTGGTAGGAATTAATTCTCTATACCTTTTGGATGTTGGCCTAGCCAAGATACGAACCCTTGAGCTTCATTTTTCATAATTAATTTGTTGTTTGATATCTACATCATGAGCAAAACCCGAAGTTTTCTTTCAGTTTAATATATTTCGTTTATCTAAGTATGTATTTATATAATATAATATGTATATTTTTAATTTGCAGAGTTCCGAAGAAATCCTAATATAAGAGCGGGTAGACTTACTTATGGACCATGCAAAACACCCAATGGCAAGCCTGGCACCTGCATACTTTTGCAGCAATGTAAAAAACTCTACTCTTTGGTGATGACCCAACAACCACTACACGACGTGAATAGGATATATCTGACCCAGAGTCAATGCGGTTATCTATATGGTAAAGTTTTGGTAAGTTGAAAAATAAAAGAAAATAAAAAATAAAACTATTATATATATAGTAGTAGTAGTAAATTAATATTAATTACTATTATTTTAATTAATTTTTAGATTTGCTGTCCCAATCAAAATCCAATCCCAAGTACTACTGCGATGCCATCGTTAACGAAACCGACTCAATCGAGATTGGGTTTGAAAAAATCCATTTTAATAGATAAAACTTCCATGGAAAAGACGAAAACGAAAAAACTTCCACGTTCCGGACAATGTGGTCAAATGAGTTCGGGTCGTATTTATGGCGGCAATGTCACAGAGATTGATGAATTCCCATGGTTGGCTTTGATTGGCTATAAAAAACGTAAGTAGTCCACATTAGAGTATAAATGAAAAATGTATTATTTACAAGTAGGATGTGCGTTTTATCGATTTTCGGTATAATCGATTTATTGACATTTGTACAATTTGTACATTAAATTAGTCGAATTTTTATTTTCAATCTATTGCACTTAACGAAATGATAGTTAATTAAAAAACTGATAATCAATGAAATACTTTTTAATAATTAATATATGAGGAAATTAAATTTTTGCTGGCTTATTTTGTAACATATATCAATATACTATTTTCGAAAATATAAAATGTTTTTTTTTGGTATGGTAAAAACCTTCCTTATATTATTAAATTTTTTTTTTTGAAAAATCGATATTTACCTCTGTTTTTTTATTAGGCTTTTATAAATTTTAATTAATCGGTTTAAAAAATTTCTTATGCCGATAGCAGATAGAACTTTTTCGCCGCGTTGCGTGACAGATTGACTTTGTCGTCAAAGGTGAATACATCCAAAGTCTAGATGATCCTCATATGCAACGTAAAAAGGTATTATCTGCCATCGATATAAGGTGACTACTTGATGGTGACTACTTGATTAATCGCACAGCCGCACTCACGCACAACTCGTAAGATAATAATTACAATTATAGTTTCGCCTTGTTATTTACAGGTTTCGGACAATTTGGTTATCACTGCGGTGGTTCTTTAATCAACTCCCGTTATGTTATCACTGCCTCCCACTGTGTTAACGGCAGGGCTTTGCCAATTGATTGGAAGATTTCCACGGTACGCTTAGGCGAATGGGATACTAATACAAATCCGGATTGCCAAGTAGATGCGCGCGGTGTGAAGAACTGTGCGCCAACACATATTGACGTGCCTATTGAAAAGGCCATACCACATCCAAAATTTGATCCACGGTCGACCAATCAAGTTAATGATATTGCGCTCTTGCGTTTGAAGCAAACAATTACATTCACCGATTTCATACAACCAATTTGTCTGCCTTTGAGTACTAATTTACGTAATGCCGCTTTTGACGATATTATCATGGACGTGGCGGGTTGGGGTAAAACGGAGGCAAAATCTAGAAGCAATGTTAAACTAAAGGCCGAAGTTACTGGCGTTCTATTAGAGAGTTGTCGGAAGGTATATCAGCAACAAAATATTGTGCTCGAGTCGAGCCAGTTGTGTGCTGGTGGTAAAAGTGGCGTAGATTCATGTCGCGGCGATTCGGGTGGTCCTCTAATCGGTCTGGGTACAACTGGGCGGGGAAATAGCCATTACTTTTTAATTGGCATTGTGTCATTTGGACCAGCTTCATGTGGTACGGATGGTTGGCCAGGTGTTTATACTAGGGTTGGCCATTTTGTAGAATGGATTCAAGCTGTAACTGAAACTTAAGTGTATGTATATATGTGTGTGTAGGTAAAACAAGTGAACACATTGAAAAAATAGTACGGAATTTGTACACTCTTTGCTGATGTACGAGCATGTGTGTATACACATACTTCTGTGCAATACCGTACACACCTTGTGTACTGGGTAATTCTGTGTATATAAGTACATATTTATATTTCTCTATCTGTGTGTGTTATGGTTACTAGTCTTGATGTCCAGCTTGGTTGGATATATTATTTTAGTTTTAAGAATACTACCTGTATTATATTTTCGTTTTATTTTTAAGAACACCTTAGTACAAAGACAAATTATGTATGTATGTATGTATGAACATATTTGTGTAGACGTATTTCTAATGAAAAAGTCTTTACTATAAACAAATGGCAATAGAGATTTTGTTGAGAAAGATATCCTTTGAAAAGGAAAGGTCCATGCAAACATACATACAAATGTATATGTGTATATATTTAATATTAGTATAGTTCATAGTAAAGTGTATAATAAAAAGTAATAGAAACGTTAATATTATTGAGAAACCTCTGTATTTTATGCTTTAAACCCCTCTTTTGTATTGAGGAAACTCTATTTTTAAGGCATATGGAAAGCCAATAGGTCTGTTCGATGAAAAATGTCTGTGATAATTAGCCAGTAGACAGACGCATTGAGCTCTCTCGTTGTAAATTTAATTTGCTACTTGTCTTACCGAACACAAATCAGATCACTGCATAGAGTTTGTATTATGATGAAAGTGAGCCTTTAGGATTGGTGATGTCGTTATTACATCGAAGAAAGCTTATTATCATCTCAGCTCCTTTTGAATGTTTTTTTAATTGGAAAATAAGTTTTCTTATAGTGTCTGCGGGATTATGACAGAAAGCGTGAAATCCTTTTATCGACTCAGACTCTATTTTTGCGGTACGTAAAAATGTGCTTATCACATTTGAATCATTAAATAACAGCTCTGTACTTTCATATTTGATTACATAAGAAATGTCACATGAAACAGCTGTGCGGCTGTTAAGCAATTTCTTGAATTTTTGGTTCGGTTTTGGAATTTAACTTGAGCTCATTAGAAATTATTAGATAAATATGTTGAAAACATGGAGCTGCAGTGCTATTAATTTGCTAAAAAGTACAGCAACACTGCAACAACAAGTGCGGGTAAGGTACCCAATGATATTTCATTCATTTTTCAATAAAAGTACTTGACGGCACATCAACTCACATGCGTTATTCCTTTTAAAAACTTTCAGACAACTTTTGTGTTAAAGCGTAAATATGATCCGTTGCTACATAAAACTAACGAGAAGCCGAGAAAGTTACGCGCTAAACATTTCATCTATGAGTTAGTCGAGGATACAAATATTAAACGACGGCCAAACATAGAAGTTGTACTGAAAACATATGTGGAAGGAGTAGGTGATAAGGGCGATGTGGTCTCAGTTAGACCCAACTTTGCCTACAACAAGTTATTGCTCCCAGGATTAGCTGTGTATAAGACAGATGAGAACTTAACATTGTACGCTAAAACTGAGGAAGATGCGAAGGTCGTTAGCCATAGTTCAGCATTTGCACAGCGCGTATGTATAATATAATAATTTTTAAGTCAAAACATTTATTGTGCTTTCAATTGCAGACGGTCAACGTTATCGAACGATTTTCCCTCTCAGTTGTGATGAACAAAGACCATCCTTGGGTAATTGAACCATGGCACATCAAAGCGTCGCTTCGCAAGGCAGGCATTCACTGTCCGGAAGAATGTATAACTATGCCCGAGGAGCGTATTGAAGGTCCCGATTTTAATAAAGAGGGTAAAGAATTTTATTGCACCATAACTGTGAATAATCTTGAAAAGGCTCGACTACGCTGTCGCATTCATCATTGGAGCACAGATCCCAGTGACCGCCTGCCATATACACCGGAGTATTGGAAGATGCCACCAGAACCATTATTCGGTAATGAAAGTTCAGGTGAAAATGTAGAAACCAAAGTGGAGGAAAAATAAACCTTTTAACTGCATTTCTAAAGATCAGTGAACCATGCATTAAATAAACAATACGGACATCTATATCTGAAATAGTTGTTGAAATCAAATGAAACTGGAAAAAGTTTTTTTCAAATTTAAACAAATCTTTTACAAAAGGATACTTCGTATATATTTCATATATTTCTAGTGTATTCATAAACAATAAATGGAACATAACTGTTCAATTTAATTAGAATATTAGTACATATGTTTCAGCTTTTTAATATAAATTACTGCATCAAACAAAAAATATCAAAAGCAACAGATCTTTAACTTATAAGAAACATTTAATGAAAAATTTGTATGCGTACTGCTGCAAAGTTTTAATTCTAGATACTAAACAAAACAATTTAAGGAATTTTTAAATCTAATGTACTCCTTTTAACTCCACTTCGAAAACTAATGTGCTGTTTGGTGGAATTGTTGGTGGGGATCCACGTGCTCCATATGCCATGTGTGGTGGACAAGTAATGCGACGTTTGCCTCCGACCTTCATGCCAACTACGCCAACATCCCAACCTTTAATTACTTCACCGCGACCAAGTCCAAACTTGAAACCTGCTCCCGTTTTCAAACTGTCGAAAACTTTATTGTTGGACTTAAGTCTTCCCTCATAATACACTTGTGCTCGTTTGCCACTTTTGGCTTCTGGACCATTGCCTACACGAATATCCTCAATTTTTACACCTCCTGTTATTACACGTTCGCCACCAGCTTTCTGTTGTTGCGGTTGCTTTTGTTGCTCATTTTTGTTTGCCTTCTTGTCCTTTTTGCCCTTCTTTTCGGTAGGTATTTCTTTTGCTACACCGTTTTGTTGCTTTTGCGGTTTTTCCAACTTAGGATGTTTGGCCTTAGGCTGTTGGACCTCTTCATCTTCACTTTCTTCGTCTTCCTCCTCATCATCATCATCCTCATCATCTTCGTCGTCGTCATCATCTGTAAAAGCAAGATATATTTGAATTAAGGGTGGTTATTTATTATTTACACTTGAATGTTACCATCATCGTCTTCATCGCCCTCTTCGTCATCTTCCTCAACTTCATCTGTTATCATAAATAAAAGCATATCTCAGATTACACACTTTTACCGATAAGTCTATGTACCTACCTAAGCCTTCGCCATTGAAATCACTGTCATCCTCATCTTCATCATCCTCTTCTTCTTCATTACTAACAGCTTGCTTCTTTTGATTACCCTTTTTGGCACTAGCCTTTTTGTTCAATGCCTCACGAAGGTCTTGAATTTCTTCTTCCTCTCCTTCTAAATCAGAGTCTTCTTCATCATCCATGAAATTGAATTTATCGATGAGGTAACCAGTCAAACTTACATTACCGCTACCTGGGAATATGGAAACAATGTACACAAATATTTCAAATTTATTTTCAGTTATAAACATACCGATGCTCTGGAAACATATTTCATCGCCTTCTCCGAAATTCAAATCCAGCATAACTTGTTCGCACTTTCCTTTGCGCAACGTGCAAATCAAAAATTTCTGATTATCGTGATTAATGTAAATTTGATTGGCACCATCGTCCGAGACTGAATCGGTTTCCAAAGATGCCAAGGAAATGTGGAAAGGTTTGCTGGTTTTTTGCGTATATTTACGATTGGGTTTTAAATTTAATCCTATAAATACAAAGAAACAGCTATTGAACACATTTTCACAAAGATGGCGTGGAGCCCTATCGGCCCGCGCGATAAAACACGTGGCGTTAATTTTTCTAGATAAACTAAAAATTTTATTAAAAACAGTAATTAAACTTACCCCAAAACATTTTGTTTGTGTATTGTGATAAATATTTTTTATAAAATGAAATGAAATATAATTATTTTAGAGGACGTTGAAAATTCTATGATCAATGCCGGTAACAAAACGATAATCAAATTCCTTTGCAGCTGAATACCAATAGTGAACGCGATGAATAACCGCGTGAATTTGACAGTGAAGGGTTGCACTGACGACAGCACACTCATAGGTACAGGGTGGCGAATAAATTGTGATATTACTTTTTTGAATTTAAATTTATTTTTATATGGTCTCGAAAATGCCATAAATAATTACATGAGGATTACCATCTACAAGAACGGTCAACATAAGTCTCCTAGTAATTTTTTAATTACAATAAAATAATCAAAGTAAAAAGCATATTCAGGAAAAGCAGTTGTGGGCTAACTATAGTCTAAGTTAAAGGAACAAGTTGACTAAGGTTCAAGAGAGCGTCATAATCCACTTGGTCGAATTATGGTCATTTTAAGACTATCTCTCTCTTCTTCTTGACTATGACCTTAAATAATCATTCTATAAAGACTCAGAGTTTTTTCTTCTAAAAACAATTTCATCGCATTGAAGACGCCAAAAAAAAGGTTGGAGATTTGAGTGGGCGGAAAGTGAAATGAGTCCACCACACTCTAAAAATGTTATCATGTTTTGAATTGTAAGATGACCAGTTAAATGGGGTTTCTGGTTTCACAACTGCAATTAAGGTATCTCAACATTTCCAACATCTATTTCTCCACATGTGGACTTTTCATCTCTACACGTTTCGCTTTATAGGCTAGTCTATTTAGGAATGCCGCCAAATCTCTGTTGGGTTGTTGCAATTCCCTAGTTTCATGTGATACTTTGGTCTCTTGTGCTTACTACCAGAGCGTCTTCCTAATTTCTAATTATCCATCTCTTATTCGGGAATAGTCTGAAAAACTTCTGCTGCTGGTTCCTCCATTGCAACGAATATGGTTGGGGGTATCCCTCAATACTTCTGGTATTTGCTGTAGTCGGAATCGATCATCCAATACGTTGACTTTGTCCTCAATTATCTTCTGGATTTTGCTCCGCCTCGCCATAAGTTCTACTCTGCACTTAATCAAATTCTCAAAAGCTGTAGAGCTGGGATGAAATATGGGCTTCCAGTTTGTTGTTGTTGTAGAAGTAAAAATATATCTCTGTGTCGTTCCGGTATAGAAACCGGGAATATCCCGGAATTTTTGGATTTCAGTCGCCTCTTACAACAGGCTTTCCTTAACGCGGGAAGTTCTCTTCAGACATTTGGTCTTCCTGTGGTGCTGCCTTTTGAGAAATAGTCAAATGTTCAAAAAATTTTCGAACAGATTGGCTCCAAGTCCACTTCTCAAAGTATCAGGCTGTGGGTTGATCCGTCAGTCTTTCAAGACAAAGCCTGATATAAATATTTGTATAGATATATAGATATGATACAACACAGCTTTTCAGTCATTCGGCGAACATATTGTGGAGGCGCCAGTAAAAATTACAAACAGGATGCTGCAAACTCAACTCAACATCTCTTTTTTCATGTATCTAACGAGGTGTGATCAAAAAAAGTATTTATTTCCTTCATCCTCCACAGTTGTAATACAGTTCTTTTATCTCCTCAATCGCAGCCAAGCGCTTTCCTTTCATCGGTGTCTTCAATTTTGTGAAGAGCAAAGAGTCGGCGGGACCCAAGTCAGGTGAATACGGTGGTTGAGGCATGAAACGGTTTATTTTTTGCCCAAAAGCTCACGCACAATCATCAATGTGTGAGCTGCTGCGTTATCACGGTGCAAAATTACAAAGTTATTGACATCTTCTCTGCCTTTCTTAAACCGGTTATACCACGATTGGACTTGTGTTCTGCTCATAGTAGACTCGCCAAACGCTACAGTCAACAGTTTCAATGTACTTGCGCATTTTATTTTTTTTTTTACAAAAATACCGCTAACAGAGAACTCAGAAAACCCTGTGGAGCCCAAGGTGTGCATAAAATCCCTACTCAACATTTAAAGATTTAATTTGCAGTAACAGTTTTTTCCTTCATTCCAGCAAACCCAAGGCAATCAACGCCATATTTTCTTTGAGGCACAGCAACATTTGGCACAGCGAAAGTAGAATAGGTGGGCTGGAGTGTAAGAGAAAGTAAAAAAGCTAATTGTAACGCACTTGCAAATTACGACCCAATCGATGCTTGATTCCCTTTTACTACTCCTATCATTAGAACAGCTTAATACGTGGAACATGCGTATAATTTTATTTATTATATTAATTGCAGAGTGTAATGATTTCCCTACACTTCCCATAATTACTTCATATATGTATGTATTTTTTTTTAATTATATGCTCAGTTGGTTCGAAAACACTTGTGAAAAGGAATTTAGTAGGGTTAAAGCCTAAAAGTATGCTCTGATTTTAACGGCTCTACACAATTATAATCTACAGAGGTCCCAATTCTCAACTAGATTTGAGCAGCTTATCTGGTGAAATCTCGCAAACGGATTTTTAAGTAATAACTTCGATTATATTCCAGTAAGGTACTTTTGAGAACTTTAAAGAAGATCTGAATTTTCAATACTAGCACTAACGTCTGTTCTTTTTTGTGTTAATATCCCTCTTAACGTGCGCCGCTGCTCTAATGCTTGTTACTCAACCCTCTTTCGTTGCTATAAAAGGCATTTCTTTATACAAATTTGCCACAAACTCGTAAATCTTCGCCATACCTGCAAATCTTTGCTGCTATTATTTAACCAAAGCAAAGGAATGTTCGAATTACTTAGCGGTCGTGGAATTGGTAATTGTCCGTCATCGTATGCATTCATCTATCTCTTCAATACTTTCACTATTTTGGGCACAAATCCGCCCAGTGATGCTGGTCCGCTCTATTACATTTGGTCAGCCTTCCTAAATACATTTTGCATAATATTTTCACCATTTTTATGTACCGTCGGCTTCATCATGAAATATATGCAGAGCACTATAACGACTATGCAGTTTTTGAGCGGAATACAGGCTGGAACTAATGTGCTTGGCATCCCACCGAAATGTTTAACTTTGGCATTCTCTTTGAAGCGTATGCGCAGCATTGAACCCTTATTGGATGTTATGGATGCAAGATACACCGATCCCGAAGATGTGGCCTTAATACGTCAGGCAGCGATTATGGGTAATCGATTGGTATTCGGTTTTGGCATGACATATTTGACATATATGCTGTTAACCATAACACCACCCTTGATCAGTGGTAATGTGCCACTCTCAATTTGGATACCATTCTTGGATGAGAATCAATCGACGCTGCATCACTTGATGCAGGTAGTTATGGATTTGTTTTTAATGTTTTTCCTGTTATTCCATCAAGTGGTGAATGATTCGTACGGTACGGTATATATCTATGTTATTCGTACACATTTGCGATTGTTGATACGTCGGGTTGAGCGTTTGTGTGTGAACGGCGAGAAAAGTGTCGAGGATAACATGGCAGAGCTGGTGGATTGCGTCACAACGCATCAACAAATATTAAGGTGGGTCATACATTTTATTTTCATTACACATGGCGGCCTTAGATTTAGTTGTTGTTTGTATATACTATATATAATTTCGATGCTGATCCTGCCACACTCTAATAAACACTCGATGAAAGAGGAGATTTTTCCTGAGTTTTGTTAGACGTGCTGGAAGTTTCATCATGCAGTCTATGGCTTATATGTTTATCCCAGGCCATCATATTCTAAATCGTCCATAACTTTTTGGTCAACTTCGGCTTTTGCTCGAAATTTCGCAATATCACAACTACATACATAAAAGAGGTTTAGTAAAAAGAAATCCATTATTTTTCCAATAGGTGGCGGTATTTGTCTTTATCTCGCGTTGTAGAAGTCCAAAAGGTTCCTCTAGATGGCGTTAGAAAGATGACATTTCGTAATAAAAAAGTTTTTCTGACAGTTTTGTGATTGGTTGGTTCAGCTTTGATTGAGCGTGCGTCAAAGATGGACACTAGCAAAGCGAAAATACGTTATATTTTGCAGTTTTTCTTTTTTAAGGGCGAAAACGCATGCCAGGCGGCTGAAAAGGTGAATAGCCTTTTTGGTCCTGATACTGTTACAGTCAATCAAACTTCGGTTTCATTCTGGTAATTTGGATGTAAAAGCTGTTTCACGGAGTGGACAACCAATTGTCGGAAATGTCGATAAAATCATGGACATTGTCGAGACCGACCGTCATGTAAGCACTATTTCGATTGCCCTAGGGCTAAAGATTGCACGAAAACCCGTTTGGAACCATTTGAGTAAGGCTGGATACGAAAAGACAAATGAAACCGTTCAATTTCATGCAAAAATAATGGATATATTTTTACTATATCTAATATATAAAGAGAAGTAAGAAAATAAGTAATGTATGCAAATACTTATGAATATAGGATATTCAAGTTAATACAATAGTATCATAAATTCCTGTATAATCACTAGACGATACAGTGCTTTCATTATACCCAAGAATGCAATTTCTAAGCCTATATTTGAACTTCTGCAGGTCAAGGTGATCGTACAACCCGCCTTTAGTTTTTCTGGGTCCAACAAATTTTTCAATTCCGTCCATATTTTTCATTTACGGGATACGCATGTGGTGTTTTGAGAATGTTTTGAAGACCTAACACCCTAAAAAACCTACTGTCTGGTGCGCTCTTTGGTCCGGAGGTGTGCGTCATTGTCAATTCAAACAATTTTGGTCGTAAGATTCCCGACCTATGGCCTGCAAATGAAAAACATGGCTTTATTAATGGCCGCGTAATATTTCATCTTGACGATGTCCGTTGGTCACCGATATCATGCGGCTTAAAACTATTTTTTGTGGAGCTACGCGCAAGACTGTGCTTACATGGGGAGAGCCAAAAATAACCGAACTTTTTGGATATAAAATAAAATACACATTATATCATCTTTGAAAATTATTATTTATTCAAAATAGGTTCCATTTCACTCAACACAACGTTTGGAACGATCAACCAGCGCATGCATAGATTTTTTAAGTCATTTATAGAAATGTTCTTCAGTGCCTCGGTTACGGCTGCTTGAATGGCTGGGATATCATCATAAAATGCTCCCTTCATCTTGGTTTTCAGTTTTGGAAAAAAAAAATACTCGCATGGTGATAGATCAGGCGAATACGGAGGATGGTCGATGAGGGAAATCCCTTTTTTCATTAAAAATTTGAACGATTTTTGGTCATTGAATTCATGTGGAACAAATCGCGCATAGACCTTTCTATTCCCCAAATCTTCAGTTAAAATTCTCCAAATAGTGTTTTTACTCGTTTTCAATTCCTCAGCCAAGATTCTCGTAGTAAAATTTGCATCGATAACAATGTTTTCAAGGACTTTTTCCACCAGTTCCGCACGCTTACTAGTTTCTGAACGTCCTGCTCTAGGGTCGTCATTTAAATCCTCACGACCATTTTTAAATCGTGTAAACCACGTATAAACTTGCGTACGACTCATACAATCATCACAATAAACTTTTTTCATTAATTTTTCTTTCAAGTTATTGCACGCGTTAAGTCGTTAACACTGGATCAGTTGAAAACTTACATTCGTCAAGTTATCGCTGACATACCGCCCGTTATGTGTCCAAAAGTGGTCGAAATGTGGTGGAAAAGGAAATTTCCGAAAAAAAATATTTAAATGATTTTATTTTATTTATTATTTATCATAATAAAAGCGTTTAAATTACATTCCCTTATCCGTTTGACATCGTAACTAATTAACTGTTTATTTCTTCCTTGTTTTTTAGCTTATTGACAATCATTGAACCGATTATTTCAGTAACGATGTTTACACAATTTTTAATTATTGCCATAATTTTGTGTGTAACCATGGTAAATATGTTCATCTTTGCCGATCTGAGCACACAAATTGCCTCAACCTTTTATTTTATGTGCGTGCTAATGCAGACATCGCCATGTTGCTATTTTGCTACCGAGCTGAAGGCGGATAGTGAAAGATTGCCGCTTGCCATTTTTCACTGCCGTTGGATGGATCAAGATCAACGTTTTCGCAAAGTGATAATATATTTCATGCATCGGGCTCAGTCCCCAATTGAGCTGATGGCTATGAAATTGTTCCCCATTAATGTGGCTACAAATATTTCGGTAAGTTTTGTGCCTTTATTTTTCAAAAAAAAAAAAAAAAAATTTTTTTTATCGATTATCACTTATCGATTATTCGATGTAAATCTCTAATGTATATTTTGCTTTTAGCTTGCTAAATTCTCGTTTACGCTATTTACTTTCATCAAAGAAATGGGAGTTGGTCAAGATGCAAGAGAATAAATATTTTAAGCCCGAGGCGGCGGACAATATCAGGAGAGAATAGTTTTGAAATGGAATTACTGGAAATTACGCACTCAACTTTTATTTATCAAATATTATTAAAAATTAATTAAAAGTAGAAAGATTACTTATTTGTTTGCATTCATAATAAGTTAATCCAGTTGTTAGACAATATTCATTCCGGCCATGGATCCATAATTATCAGGACGAAAGAGTGGAGCAGCTGATTTTACTTACATATATGTATATTCGAGTCAATTCTCGCAGCCTGTCTAAAACCAATAAGAAAATAGCATTAATTTTTTGTTGTTCTGTCATCGTCTTAATAGAGTTTTGCCGCCAGTGAACATGGTAAGGGTTTGGGGTTAAACACGATGGATATGAAAAGGTAGAACTTTTAACCACAAGTTATTTTTCTACGGCTCCAGACTAATAATATGGTATACCTGAAGCTTTGGTGCACTGTACGCGATAAATAAGGACACTCATTCATAAAACAAAAAAGTCTCGCACCAAAACCACCAAAAAACTTTATTCTTTCTTGGCAAGAGCTTTTCTAAAGCATGTTCCCATTTAACCTACATATGTATGTATATGACAGTGTCAAAATGTCGAACTAAAACAATAAAAATTGTCAACAGTAGAAAACGAAAAGAGAGGGCTTTATATATATACAAATATAATTTTTACTTTGCAACCGCTAAAATGATTTTCGGCCAAGCTCTACCTCCAATTTGGGGTATGGGACTTGATATTTTCCAACAATTAGAGGAACCTCATTCTAAGCTGCCTCAGAATATCCGCTGGTCCTTACCAAGCAGGGAAAATTAGTCGCAATCATGAGTTGTCATTGGCTTAAGGGCGACTCTTGTCCGGAAAAATCATGAAAAGGGGCATTTAAATAGGCAAGGGATTCCATTGACGACGATTCACGACCGGGTGGGAGTATAGAAATGACCACGGCAGAACTCATCCAAAAAGTTGAAAAAATCGACCTCGACGACGATCGACCGCTAAAATTGTTAGAGTATGCAATACAACTATTTTTAAAATCCTGCAAAAAAAGTGTTGCCATGACTGAGGACAGCGCAAGACGGATGCGGAAAACGCTCCTGTCCCTGCAAAAAAGGCAGCACTTAGAAAGGTCACGTGCATTTTTGGCCTTCTATAAAGAATAAAAGGATGGTAAAATTTTTGCTGGTGACGAAACTTGGGTTCATAATTATGAACTTGTCTTAAAACAAGCCTCCATGCAAAGACACACAAGAAATTAAAGTGTCACCTTCAGCTGGGAAACTCACGGCGAAGGTCATATGAAATTCGAAAGTAATATTACTGGTCTACTAGTCGGTTATAAAGAAGGTGTTTCTATAAATTGAAGAACACTACGCTTCAAAAATAAAGCAAATAAATAAAAGAAGCCTTTAAAGAGAAAAAGTGGGAAAAATTTACAAAAAGTGTACACAAAGAGGCTGCGATATTTTCAATCAATGGAAAGCCCAGACCTGGCCTAAAGTAATTATGAACTGTTCACAAAAGAAAAAAAGAGCTGCGGGGTAAGAAATCGGTCACCGATGATGAAGTCGAGCAGCTTTTACATATTTTAAAGATAAAGAGAAAATATTTTTTATGTGAGTATAACTGAATTAATTAAAAGATTTGAAAAAGTAAATTATCTTGCAGGTAAATATTTTGAAAAGGAATAATAATGTGGTGTTTTTATTTCAAACCCTTATCCCCCTTCCATGAACATAAGAACTTTCCCACATTATCATGGAAGCATATTTTTTCTGATTGCCAAAGGGTTAATCTAAATATCAACAAATTTAAAATTCTAAAAAGTCTTTATCAAACGTCAAAACATGAAACTAGAATAAATTTCTTACGAAAAACAAAGCGTAAATGGATGTAACAACAACTTTGGAAATAAAAAATACCTCGATGAAAAGTTCGTCGTGGTGGAATCATTTAATCGGAGGCGGAGTGGCAGGTGCGATATCACGCACATGTACGGCGCCTGTAGACAGAATTAAAATTTATCTGCAGGTAAGTAAAGAAACCCAACGTATTGCTAAATAATAATGATTATTCCTCCATATCTCTCATAGATCCAGACTCAAAAGACGGGAGTGATTGAAACTGTACGCCATTTGGTTAAAGAAGGCGGTGTGCTAAGTATGTGGCGTGGTAACGGTATTAATGTTTTAAAAGTAACACCCGAATCGGCTATCAAATTTACAGTATATGACGAAAGTAAACGGTTTTTGCGCGGACATGAACCACGATCATTGACAGTTGGCGAAAGATTTCTTAGTGGCGCTCTAGCGGGTAACGTTTCGCAAATGTTCTTCTATCCAATGGATGTATTGAAAACACGTTTGGCCTTGGTAACGAAGGAAGAATATATGGGTGTAAAGAATATGATAAGGGATATGCTTGTAAAGGAGGGAATTAAAAGTTTTTATCGCGGCTACAATGCATTCGCTGTCGGCATCACTTTGTATTGTGGTATTGATCTGACTGTTTATGAAACGCTCAAACAGAATTATTTGTGGTACATGGAAGAGGAAAGCACTTTAAATCCACTAATTATTTTAGGCTGCTGCACGTTATCGAGTAGTGTGGGGCAATTGGCAACGTATCCATTGGCTATGTTAAGCACACGACATATGGCGACAGGCAAATATAAAGCGTTCAACTAATATATATATCCTCAAGTTAACTTCATATTTTACTTTCATTACAGTTATTCATAAAGGTGATGAGGTGCTGAAAAAAAGGTTTTTTGAAAAAAATATGTTACGTTTATTATGGCAAATTAGTCGGAACGAAGGTGTGAGCGGACTTTATCGTGGCTTGATACCCAACTTCATGAAATCGATTCCAGCTGTCGGCATCACATATATTGTTTATGAATACACAATAAATCTGTTAGGTTACAGTATGACATAAAGTTTGAATAATTAGACGTATTTTTCTTCACGTGAATGTACACATGGAAAGTACATATATAAATAAAGGAACTTACAGTTTATACTAAGTCGCCTCCGAACTGCCGGTGGGTTTTTATGATGAGCCTTTATTTAATGCCAGAAGCACACTAGGAGTGCTTGACATTCTATAACTATTTGGATGTTAGTACTACACCAGGATTTGAACCCGAGCCTTCCGAATGGCAGTACGCAATGCTAACCACACGTCTCCCGCGGCCGCCATTAACGAAAATTAATGTTAAATTGTCAACAGTTCATGTATAATTTTTAAATATGAAGTATGCAATTAATATCATGGCATCACTACGTTTAGTTTATTATTCATATTAACAAAACGAAATGACATCGTTTCGTGAGTTGAGCTTCTCTAGTCTCCGGTCAAACCGCACATCACACTTGCATTTGCTCAACTCAACTCATAATAATGAGTTCGTTTGCGGTGGTCGTAATTATAAAAGGGTATATTATTCGAGGCATTGATTTCTTTTTCATTGGAGCTGGTTTCCACATAGCGGGTCCCGAACCCGACTTATATAGTCGCTACGCGGCTTGCAGCCGCACCTCTGGTGAACCGACACGGCATTTAGAATAAATCGGAGGGGATCCATTGAAGCTTTCTCTCTTTAACCGTGGCCAAATGCTCCACACGGTTTGGTTACCTTATCTGGCACAAGGGTTGCTCACGTTTCCAGAGTGTGCGACTTGGATGTAAGAGTAGGAATTAGGTATAGTCCCGCAACTTTAAAGGCAAACCCATTCATTTACCCTTCCATCCTCATGTTCACTCGGTACATTGAGATTATCAACCATTACGCTGTTTACACGAAAAATAAGTAGAAAATATTTAAATTATTGCGTAAATGTATTTCAAAACAAAACTGTTTTTTCCCAATTTCTTTGAAAACATGGGAAAAGTTCGGTTAAATGCTTTATTTTATATATGGGAGAATATAAATATTTAGACTGATAGGATATATGTATGTATATGTATTACATAATATATTAAATCTAAATGAATAAAATATATGTATATGTATTTCTAAATAAAGTAAACAGCTGCCATTTCTTAGATCAGATTTTGAATTTCCTGTTGAAATCATAATTTAATTAAATGAAAAAAATTAAATTATATTTTTTAACATAAAAAATAAACAGTTGAATATAAAACTAAATATAACTAAATGAAATGAAATAAAATAAAACAAAATAAAATAAAAAATAAAAAAATTAAAATTAAAATAAAATAATATAAATTAAAGAAAATAACATAAAATGAAGTAAAATTAAGCAGATAAAATAAAATAAAACATAAAATAATATATAAAAAAAAATAAAAGCAAAAAAATAACAAAAAAATTAAAATAAAAAAAAATTAAAAAAATAAAACAAATTAAACCAAAATTAAATAAAGTAAAATAAAATAAAATAAAGTGAATTAAATTAAAGTGAAATAAAACAAAGAAAATTGAATTAAAATTAAATTAAATTACACAAAATAAAATAAAATAAATTAAATTAAAGTGAAATAAAACAAAGAAAATTGAATAAAAATAAACAAAACAAAATAAAATTAAATTAAAAAAAAATAAAAAAAATTAAAAACAGTATATAATTAAATAAAATATAACAAAATAAATTGAAATGAAATAAAATCAAATAAAAAAAAAAACAAATAAAGAGAAATAAAAGAGAGTAAAATAAAAATAAAATAAAGTAAACTAAAATGAAGTAAAATAAAATTAATTAAAAAAATGAATAATTTTCTATGCATGATTTCTTACATTAAAATTTTGTTAATTTATAACGAGCCAAAAAAAAAAGGTAATACAAATACATATTTTCCAGCTGGGTTGTTCGATAATCACAATACCAAAAAGCATTCTTCAAGAAAATAAATGCAAATATTTTTAATAAAATAACAGTTTACATTGTTTACTCATTAATGAAACTTTATATCATACTGGAACCAAACAGATATAACGTGTATGCACAAACAATATATGTGACGCCCACGGTAGGATTTCATAAAGTTGGGAAATAAACTACGATATAGTCTGCCAATGCCTTCCTTTTGACCAATTTTCCACAATAATGTCATCATATTCTTCTCAACAAAGCTTCTTTTCTGTAGTTTTATATCCCTTGGAATAACTGTTAGACAGGTGAGAAATGAAATTACCTTTACTATTGTACAAGTAATTTGCATATGTTTAAGACCTGTTGCCATATGACGTGTACTTAACATCGCCAGTGGATATGTTGATATTTGTCCTATAGAATCTGAAAAAATACAACAGCATAAAATAAGCAGTGGGTTAACAGAGCGCTCCTTCTCCATATAATGTAAGTACTGCGCGCTTAAGGGTTGCATAAACGGCCAGATCTACACTGCAGTATAACACGATACAGACGGTTGTTTGAAATTCAAATTGATTGATAACTTATATGCGTTAACCTTTCAAACATCATGTTTCTGTCACATAAAAAAGTGATGCATAAAAGCGTAAATAAATACTTGGCGATTTTTAACTTTTGACTGAGCTCCTTTAGCAATTTGTGGTGTGCATCCAACAAATGGAGGGAAATATAGTTCATTCTAAGCCGTGTCCGAACGACTGATGTCTTTCTATGAGGGGCTTTATTTTATGTCAGAATTACACTCGGACGGCTCGACATTCGCTGCCAAGGGGCGACGCAATTAGAAATTTATCCTCATTTTTTAATTACTCGAACCTCGTCCTTCCGAGTGGCTGTACGCAATGCTAACCACTCGACAATCGCGACAGCACAGAAATGTACAAAGGACCGTATAAAGCGACGAAGATAATTTGCTTATGGTGTGAGAGATTAAAGCCCACCATCCCCAATTTATTGTTCGAATTCTGCAAATAATGATTCCCGTCCTGCTTTAGGTAGCAGAGGCTTTAACGGTGTCAACAGCCGATGAGTCGGCACTAAGAGTTTTCTAGAAAAAGATTTTGCAGAAGATTTATGATCCTTTGTGCATTGGTACTGAGATATGTATGTATATGACGACCTTGATATTGTTCACATCAAAACACAGCGACTATGCTGGTAAAGCTACAATAGGTATCCAGATGTATGAGTACAAGTGAAGTACTTTCTCGACATACAGCAACGCACTTCAAACGGATATGGATCTGGCTTGACTTGGTGCATCGAATTGGTGCTGAAAATCAAAAAAGGAGCGACAGGCGTAGAGCTAATGATTCAGCTGCAACCTCCTGAGCGGTGTCTTCGCCAAGAATATGGCTATTAATTAATTAATTTTTTTCTTTGTGAAGTGAGTTGAAATTCCTTTGATTGGCAAACTACTTCGAAAAAAGAAATACAGTTAAAATTACAAAATTTATTGTACATACACATGCATACATATATATAAGTAGGAGATTTTCATTTTACAACTAACTTTACGCAATAAACGACTGTTACATATATACTCTAGTGACTTTAACTCATAGACACCCCTAATGTCCGTATCGAATACTCATATACTATATAGCTTATACAAACTGCAGGCACAACTTTTAACAAATTTAACAAAAGACCACGATATAAACCAGCGAAACCTTCGTTCACAATGATCGCTTTGACTATTTGCAATGTCTTATCTCGACTTATTGGTCTCTGTGCAATTTTGGTGCGTGGTTCTTCCTTCTCGACAACTGTGTGCGAATAAAATATAATTATTCCGAGACCTTTTTCAAAGTACTACAAAAGACAAAGTCGGCACTCACCTTGAGTTTGCAGCCGCGTGCGAATCAACGAACAAGGATAAGTAATGATCTGACCCAAAGCGCTCGAAATTGCGCCACAGACAAGTAAAGTTAAATTATTTGGATGTTTATCAGTACGTTCACTATTTAAATATTTCTTTAACGTTTCATACAGAGCCAAATCAATGCCAGCGTAGGGTATAACACCCAAAATGTTCACGGTGTAACCATTGTAGAAACTGCGCATGCCTTCCTTCGTATATATATTTTTAATTAAATTCATTAAACCTTTATTTTCAGCCGTGGTTTGTAGTGCCAAGCGCGTTTTCATTAGATCAAAGGGATAGACCGTTGTTTGCGATATCGTACCCGCAATGGCGCCAGCTATGAATCGTTCACCAATAGACATTTCTTGTTGCGTCGTATTTCTCTCGATTCTGATGTAGTGTTTCACTTTTTCGTATAGTGTAAACTTTATAGCCGAATCGGAGCTTATCTTCATCACATTGACTGCATTACCACGCCACATGCTGCGTATGCCACCATTTTGTAACATATAACTTACGTTATCATAAATGGAGGTTTTCGTCGTTTGAACCTGTTGACGAAGATCCATCATTTATTCACCGTTATAATATGTGTTGTATATACATAAATACCTGCATATATAATTTTATTCTGTCTATTGGCGCGGTGCATGTGCGGGATATAGCGCCGGCTAAGCCACCAGAAACGGAGTGTCGCCACCAAACGCCTTCATTTGTCCTTACATCCTCATGTTCATTCGGTACAATCAGATTATCAACCATTACGCAAAATTGTCAAATGGCAATAAGAAGGAATATTATAATTTTTGTATAAATATTTATTTTTTAAATATTTTTGAAAGACTTTTCGAATCACTCATTCTTTTTCCCGAAAAAGAGCGTATGTCATTATTGTTGTATTTGTTATGACGTTTAGAAATAATAATTCAAAATTTACAAAAGAAAAATCAAGGTGAAATAAGTAAAGTAGAAAAAGACTTTGACACTGCCTTAGCTCAAGTTTGTATTTTTGAACTTGAAAACAATCATGAAAAAAGGAAAGGAAAAGCAGGGATATTTCAGGCAAATTATGCAATTATTGAAAATTAACAATTATTTTGAGAAATTATGTTTAAATATAATTATGATACATTTGGATGAATGTGGATGAATTTTACAAAGTAACTGTCGAAGTATGTGAATGTGTAGAAAGCTTCTAAATCTCAATTGCTACGTTACGCCTTTTTAAAGGGGAGCATTCAGTGTGAAATTTCAAGGAAATCAAAAAGTTCGATCATATTTTGGTAGATTACACCTTTAAAAATAACATATTAAAATTTCAAATCGATATCTCAAATAGTTTTTGAGTTATAGCAATCTATAGAGCAACCGCTCGGCAGCTAGAGGATCTCATTAGCTACGAGACGTACCTGAGGCATTTTGTTTTTAAACGTGTTTTTCTCGAAACAGCATTTTCCAAATTTGCTGCAGTGATTTCTCAAAAACAAATGATCCGATCCCTTAGAATTTTTTTTACATGTTATATACATAGTTCTCCGTACAATGACCTATCGATTTTTGATCTGATCAAAAAATCGAATTTCGGCAATATTGTCTTATCGAGATTTTTTTTTAGATTTAATCCACGGACAAGGCCGGAATCACTACAGCAGTGAAGGACCTTTTTTTGCGCCGTTGGAGGTCGACTATAACTTAAAAAATATTTAATTTTTTTCTTCAAAAATTTCGCTATATATGCTTAAAACATGTATAAATATTCTTAAAATTTTCTTAAAATTTTGAAATTATTGATAAAGTATTTTTTTTATTAAAAATTCCCAAAAATCACCTTTTTTTAGGTCATTACACTAGGTGTGCCCCTTAATATTTGCGAAAGCAGAACCGAGACTTTTCCACTCGCAATTTTACTGTTTCAAGGAAATTCTAATTTAAAATAATGACGAATATTTTGAGATCAATATTTTCAAAAAGATGTTTCGGTATAAGGAGATGCCCACTTATAAATTGCAAGAACTAAAAATAAATTGTTTGGTCCAAAATTATTGTTCTTTCTAAGAGCGAGTGTTTTTATGCTATAAGGGGCTGGTAGGAAAGTGATTGGGCTCATAGCAATCGTAAGGTGTTCAAAGACGTATACCATAATAGGTTTCAATAACGTGAAAAGAGAAATATGGAAAAAATCATATATCGTGTCTTTGTAAAGTTCCTTACCAAGCAAGGAAAATCGATTATGACTAATGAATAAGATATTATTTGCCTTACGGTGACTTCTTCCCGGAAAAAACCAAGATGTACCAGGGGCACAGTTTTTTTTTTAACCAAGGAAGGGAATCCCTTTGGAGTATCCGATAAAACTACGAGTATTTCTGAAATCGGGTACAAATCCTGGTGTCGTACTAACATCAAAAAGTTTAAGAAAATTAAGTTAATTAAAATTAAGCTAAATTATCTAATTGAGCTCGCCCCTCGGCAGGGAATTTCAAACCCTCCGAGTGTATTTCAGACATGAAATAAAAAAGCTTCTCCTAAAAACCATCAGCCATTCGGAAGCGGCTTAGAGTAATTTGTAGGTTGGATATCCGCAAATGTTGGCACAGTGGAAGAGCACTCGCCTGTTTAGTCAGGATCCGTTGGTTCGATCCCTGTCATAAGAAGTCTGATGAGGAGATGTGGTGATGTCCGAAACAGCTGTCACATATACGTTTTTTTTTTTGTTGTATAACAAAATATTCAATTCATACAAACAAACCAGCCCTGTAGTTTTCTTAATAAAACAAAAATTGATATAGATGACCGCAAAAACAATTACAAAAGTCGAATTGTTACTAGAGATGAAATTTGGGTTCATCATTATGTCGAAAGCAGACTCCATGCAATGAAAAAAGCATAACACCTCCCAAGTAGTTCAAAGGTTTAAGGTGTTGCGTTCAGTTGGAAAACTTTTGACAACGGTCTTTTGAGACTCGGAAGCATATTACTAAATAACTATAAAATAAAAAGTACAGTTTGATATTAGGGCGAATAAAAGAAACCATTAAGGAGAAAAGACAGTAAAGATGTGGTGATTTTGCACGGCCACGCGACCGTCCACGAGAGCCGCGGTGCGTTGGCTTCTCTGCTTAAGGATGGTTTCGATATTTTGAATTACCCACCCTTCATCCAAGGTCAGAACCCGAGATTTACCTGTTTCCAAAAATGAAAAAAATAGTAAGGGGTAAAAAGTTTGTCACCGATGATGAATAAGTCGGTTTCGGCGTATTTTTAAAACAACGATAAAACATTTTTTTTGAGAGTTTGAAGAAATTAATTGAAAGTCTTACAGGTGAATATGTTGAAAAGCATAAATAATATGGTTTTTTATTTCTACCCCGCGAGCGTAGACACAGTCCCTTGTACATTAGTTTTCGTCTATTGGGAAAACACTAAGAAAATATGAGAGCAGTTCGCTGTTGTTGTTATTGTTGTAACCGCAAAATTAATCCCCAAAGTACTTTTTGGGAAATGCTGCGGGAGTGACAGTCCTTGGCCGGATAAAAATCCGGGTCGTTCCGGTATAAAGACCCGACTGTCGCGGGAACTATTGGATTTGAGTCGGCCCTTACGACAGGCATGCCTTACCGCGGGTAAATTCTTGAGCCCCTAACCCCACTAGCAGTGGTTCTCAAACTGTGAACTCTTGTGGCTTATTTTTATTTGAGTGCAGAAAGTACAATACGAGTATGTACGACTCTCTAAGGAAAGTTTCACTTCTGTCGCGCTGGTGCCATTTTTTTTAATATTTTTATAAATATATATTTACATACTACTGAATGATTTAGACGAATGCTACAATGAATTTATTATTATTAACTTAATGATCATGCTGTTACTTTGTTTACATTTGTGAGGTTGCTCATACGCACCGTCGCTCATATGTAAATGTATAAACAAAGAGTGTGTTCAGTTGGTTATAACAAAGTTGTGTGGTGTTTGTGGCTTAAAGTGTCATTATATACATACACACATATATATATATACATACATAACTCAAAATCATATCAACAGTTGTTTTGTCTTTCGTGTGCAACTGTTGTCCATTCACGAAGCGAAGAAAAGCTTACTGGAAATATTTCCGAGCTTTTACTTCGTCATACGACATGGAACTAGGAGCAACACCATATGCTGCTAATCACATATCTGAGTCACTGTTTCTTTAAAACGGAGACAAATTCGACGGAAATCATGAGCAAGTGTGTGAAAAATCAAATGAATTTGTGAAAATTGCCTTCACAGGCAATGAAATTTGTTCGAATTATTGTGAAAAACGAAACGTAGACTGCTTAACTGTTAAATATTTCGTGCAGAACGAATAAAACGTGTGCAACGAGAACAAATGTTACGTGAAAAGTTCAACGCAAAGCAGCAGCGTGAACCGGATTAATAGAATTTTTGTTGTGTGTATTTTGGTTTAGATTGTTTTATTTTTTCCAACGAAGAGAGTGCAAACATTTGTATATTGAACATTGTAAAAGTATTCAAAAGAGTATTGGTACTTAAGTGAAAAAGGTGTGTTAAATAATTGTGTTTTAGTACAGTTAAAAAAAAAAATAATAAAGATTAAGCTATTTACCTTCATTCTGCTGGATATGCTGTGGAAAAATCGATTGCTTGCATTTTGATATCCTTTGTGCGTTTCGTGCAACCCAAAGGATTTACTCAGCCAGCGCAATCGTGTACGAGTGTGGCACGAAGCTTTCATATACATATATGTATGTGTTTATGTACATATATATACTGTTTCAATACTCAAAGTTTTGACATGTATTCCATTGGAATGTACAGAACACACACATATATATATATGTACATACAAACATACTGGAATTGGTAACGGTGGCTGTGTTGCTGTGTTGTTGATGATGTTATTGTTGTTGCTTGCTTAAAATTGTCAACAATGCTTTGACTTGTTATCATTTGCGCCGATACGCAAAAGTTAACGTAAACATACTGCCCCCCCACCACCGTTAATTCGTATCCAGCGAACGCGCATTTCCTAAACATAATTTAATTTCCCATTTTTTTGTATGCATATACATGAGTATGTACATAAATACATGTGAATTCTGATTAATTTTAAAACGAAATATACATATGTATGTATTTCACAGCTGTGCAGTGCGTAATTTTCGTGCCGCAGACGCAGCGTAGTATTATTGCAGCAGAAAAAACGCCAGAAATTGGAAGTGTACTAAGATGATAGTGATTTCCGGCGTAGAGTCATATTCTTTAAATGGTAAGTGAGAGATATGGTTTCTAATTGAAAATTAAATAAAAATATCATCATTGTTTTTGTTTAATTTATTTCACTTTGTATTTGGTATTTGGTAAGTTATAAGTAGGAACAACAACACTGAGGTCACTTAGAATAGAGCAAGCGAGATTCTGCATATACAGACATACAAGAATACTCATATATTATTTGAAAAAAGAAAAAAATATTAGAGAAAAAGATTGAGTTAAGTTTATTTTTCATTTCAATTTACGTATCTAAATTTTTTTCTATTATGCAAGAATTTTTTATTTAAATCTTACCAACGCTAAACATCAATGGTGGAGCTCCAGACTAACCAACCAATCAATTTTCTACAGAAAACCAATTTTTCTAATTACGGTCGGCACTCAGCTGGAAACATCAAGCACTCCGAGTGTATAGATGACATGAAATAAAGACTCATAATACAAATCCAACCGCGAAGGCCATTCTGAATATATTGTACGAGCTGCGGCTGAGAAGTTCGCAGCCTAAAGTACTTAATGAAACAAGTTTATAGTCATCGTGATATTTTTCCAACAAATGGAGGGACCTACAGTTTATCCTAACCCGCCTCAGTTTGGTATTTTATTTGGAGCTTTGTTTCATGTCAGAAATACGCTCGGCGGGTTGACATTCCCTGCGAAGGGGCAACCGTAATTAGAAAATTACACTTCTTACTCCCTTTTTAAATTTGAAAAAAAGGGAAAAAGTCACTGGGAGTCAGGTCCGGATTGTAGAGTGTATGGTCAATTTCTGTATTGTAATGCAGCTTTTCAGGCATACCTCACAACCCGAGCCATAATCTTCGACGCCGACTTTTCCACTTTGAATTTTTTTGGTGGTCTTTCCACTGGATCCACTCCTGTTTGGACTCGGGACTATACCGAGTAAAACAGCAAGACACTTACCACAACTTGGTGTAGAACCTCAGACTAGAAACAATACCGGGGTTACGAAACTTTAAAAATAATAATAATTATTATGATTTTATTATTATTGAGACTACAAATTAATATATTTTTCAAAGTGTTGTCAATCGAAAGCGACTAGTTTCTGCCATACTCCTGGTAATTTTCGAATACCAACTCTATAAAATTAGTCCTCTCTGTCGCTGATCCAACATTGAGCCTTTCTTCGATTTCTTTAAAAGATCCGAGACGATGACCCACCCAAATCATTTTGGAACCGTCGAAAAAGGTAGTAGTGGGAAAGAGCGTGGTCTCGAAAATACGTACTGTAAGGCAAGATCTAAAATTTCTGCGTTTTCATTTAGTTTTTGACCGTTACAACCATAGCATTGTCATTTTGTAAAATCAGCATTTTTACGCAGTGCACGGATCGAACGCAATAGTTGTAGTCGAAAATGTTTTGAATTAACGGTTTCACTCGGTTTTGGAAGCTCATATTACATTTTGAAGCTTCGAAATCAGTCTCTGCATGATTTATTTGTCGGTCACACTTTTTTCCCAATTAAAGTAGGAAATGAAAATTTCTCGCAAACACAAGTCCACAAGTCCGGACATTTTCGAAGAAGCAAAAAAAACAGTTTTGTTGTCAGAAATAGAGACTGATGAACATTATTTGTTGTTGACAGATGTGAAACTTTTCCAATGAAATAGGTAATCGCTTCCAAAATCGGTCACAACATGCAGGTGGAGTCATCTTTTGAGAACAGACCAAAACAATTTTTTTTCCCAATATCAAGAAATAATCAGGCAAGCATTAATAGAAAAAAACAATTGATTTATTGTATAAGTAAAATATGTGTGTGCAAATGTACACATGTACACATCTGCGTTTGTGTGTGTGATTTTCAACTTAAAGGTTATTTATTGCGTGCATTGCTTTGTCCTGCAATGCTTTGACCCGGTTTTTAGAACTTCATGCGCATTATAGCGATGTACAAGTAAGCGAAAGGAAGATGTCGGCATACAAATAAATTTAATGTACTCGTATGTATGCTTACGGTTGATTACTTAAAAACATACATACGTATTTATATATGTTATACTTAAAGCAGTTACTTGTTTACCAATACATACAAAGCCTACAATAGGTTCTCGTAATATATATTAATCACTTTTAAATATTTACGACGCCTTAGTTGATTAACTGTCTGACGATATATGCATATACATATATGCAGATATATATAACATATATATATAACATACACTGCAAAGAAAAATACTGGTTATTAACTAGAATCCAACTAGTTTGCACTTCAGCGCTAACCAGTTAATCTTCCATCGTTTTCGATGTCGTACGAACGGCTACTTTTCCGACCGACAGCCACCTACTAGTTGAATACTAGTTCATTTGGGAATGTTTAATTTCTACATCGCCAAAAATGAAAATGAAAATGAAAATAAGTCGATTTGAGAATGATGTTCTCCTGCGTCGTACACCAATTGTTGAAAGTGTCGATAAAGTATTGGAAATCATCGAGCCTCACCGACATGCGAGCACTGTTTCGATTGCTCAGCAGCTAAAAATTGCACAAAACCAAATTGGAATCATTATAAAATGCTGGATACACAATCAAAGCGCCACATGACAAAAACCTCATGCAAAATTGGATTACTTATAACAAACAACATGTAATGAACATCGTCGAGGTCGAAGTGCAGTGAGCCGGCACAAATAGTGTCCGTGCAAGGATTGATGACCAAGAAGGTTTAGTTGCTTGTTTGGTGGCATTGGTAATGAAACATTCACTAAGAGTTGCTACCCCGCGGCTTAGCTCTTCATTCGAACCTGAACGGTCAGTATTTGGAACGTTTGAAGGAAGTAGTCGCCCAGAACCAACCAGCTTTTTCCAAATGGAAGGGAATTGTGTTTCATCAGGAGAACGCCAGACCAAACACATCAACAGTAGCTCGCCAGAAGCTGCGAGAGCTTTGTTTTAAGGTTACTGGCAGCAAGTGGTTACCGCCTGTTCCTTAAGAGGAGCCTGTGAAAATCGATTCACTGCAGGGTTCTCATCGTTGACATACGAGTGTACATATACAATATGTATGAATATATATTTACTTACCTCACTGACCACTCCAGCGTCAATTAATTTGTTCGGCTCGTTTGTGTTTCAGTTCCCTACAGTTGCGTGTAATTGCAGTTCAGTAAACTCATAAAGTGTAGCAAGAAGTCGCTTTTTAGTTTATTTAAACAGTTGGTTGTATTCGAAGAACACGCACTTTAAGCGAAGGCAACTGTGCACTGTTGGCATTTTTGACATTGAAACTCTAAACTATATATTTGTAGACATATATATATATATTATAGAAGTCTAAGTGTATGCGCGTGCGGTGCGTATACCTTGCACTAGCCCTTTGTCTCCTTATGCTCAAGTGTCTGTAGCTTGTTGGTATATATGTATGTGTATGTGTGTATGTATTGTGGTGGACTCATTGTTAACTGGCTTATCCATGCATAAGCTCAGTTGACGCTTACTGACTCATAATCGATAGTGAATTTTCGTGTTTGCCTGTATGTATGTATACATATGTATATCCTGCGTAAGTATGAACCCATTGTATATGTATGTAGGTTATATTAATTGTTCGTAAAAGAATGAAAAGAATTTTTACAGACATCAAAAAAGAGACTAATATTTGGGTTTCACATTTTATACATAAATACATACATACGTGCATACATATGTACAATATGAATGCTGAAATTCTTGATATTAGTGGAATGCATGCAGTTTGGTTAATTGGAAGAGAGGCTCATGTTAGGGTTCAAATTCCCAGTAAGACAAAAATTATATGTTTCTTTAATATGCTTGTTGCGTTTAAATTTTTTTGAGTACAGAAATCGTTGTTGTTTTTTTGATTCCAATGTTTTCATAAGAGTTTACTAACAGTGAGCGCCAGGCAGATTAAATCAAAGCTTGGAATGTTTCGCTGAAGAGATGACCGAATGGACACATGTAGTCGTATTAAAGCGAAGAATACTCTTTCTGATCCATTATTGACTGGAAGAAAGAGATTTATGAATAAGATGAACTCGGAAGAAGTAATATCGGTTAGAGTACGCAGAATGAATTGCCAGTGCATGTACATACAAATTTGTGTAAGAGGTGATAAGAAATGTTTTCATAGAAAAAATAAACTTTTGGCGTGTGGCTAGAACTCTCTGCATATTTTTTCTCCCATCTAAATAATTGACCTTTCAAATATATTCTGACCACTATGCTGTCATTAAGCCACTCCAATGCAATCGTTCCACCCCAAAAGTGGCAATGCGATGCAAAGGAATCTTAAAAAAGCTCTCGATAGCATGCGAAACGTCTGTGGTTTGGGTATCTGGTTATGGGAACATTCCAGGGATCTACGCGGCTGACGAGCTGGCCGCAAAAGAAACACTGTAAACTCTGCACATGACTTCGAAATACATTTTTCCTCGGCAAAGTAGCGGTAGATTATTACCTCTGCCACTGCACAGCTTTCAGTGCGGTCCGTTTTCGTTTTCTCAGAAATTTCTTTTTCGATTGCCTTGCAGTGCTTGCATCTGTAGGCATCATTGAACTTCCGAACTTCATAAAACGCATCAAGTGGTTTGTGCATCCGAAAAGGTGAGGGGTATCTCCATTTCACTCTCAACATACGTGTAAGTACCACAATGGGCCAGTTGGTCGAAGTACACTTGATTAGAGCGCTTATACGAACGGCCTGTTTAGCTAACTAAGTACGTAGTTGGCGCTTTATAACTATTTTATGGATTTTCCGCCAGGATTTTCCTCCAATTTTTGATATGACTTGAAAATAACTCTGAGGATTTGATATTCCCTACCGATGGGCAAACGTAGTTAGAAATATTATTCTTATTTTAAGTATTATTATTATTTTTTTTTTATATTTTTGGATGTTGTTCTGGCCGGAATTTGCGTCGACGGCCTTTCGCATCGCTGTGCTGACCACTCGACTACTGCAGCCGACCTCTCCGCCATTAGAAATAAGGGAACGGATTTTTCAACAATTAAACCCCGGTCGTATGGCGTGTGGGTGTTAACATCAGAGGTTCCCATGCCCACGGCCATGGCTCGATTACCGCTATGAACGTATCCACAATCACTCGAAGGAAAACTATATGTTACGTTAATCGTATGAACGGAATGATACTCTGACATACGAAATTAAACGCAAAGTAATTCACTTTCCACGTCCAGTAAGTTTTGAGTTTCACAAGGGTTTGGATCGTTATTTTAAATTACAATAGATGTGGAGCTTTTAAAATTAAGAAAAAAACCCATGGCAACAAAAATAAATTAAGCATCCCTCAATCGGCATGGGTTTCATAGTGTGAATAGGTTCCATGGCATGGATGGGTTTCACAGTACATATAATGCAACTTTTTATTGCAGAGTCCTCTATCAGTAGAAAATTCAGATATTTCGGAGGACTTTTTTACTGGTTATTTATCTATCGGCGACCACGATAGCCGCTCCCCGGCAGGGAATTTCAACTCCGAGTGACATGAAATAAGAAGGTCCTCATAAAAATCCAAGTCCAAAACAGAGGTACAATAAGTTAACCTGCAAGATGGATACATTTTTCAGACCTTTCATATAATTATTGCATGTCCTTATAAGAAAATGCTTTCTCTTTATCTTTAAAATATAATACGCCGAGATTGGCTGCTTTACTTGATAAAAGATGATTCATTTTTTAACCCGCAGCCCTTTTTTCATTTTCAAAAAAAGATAAAAATTACCCCATGTTTTGCAGCGAAGCCAACGGAGGCATGAACATTTTCAGCCCTCATTTTGCGCTGATCTTAGCAATGAACAGGGTGCGATCCTAATGAGTCTAATCAACTTCCAACAACCCTCTTATTTTGCAAACGTAAAAACGCTCTCTCGTACTACTCAGAACTTCATTACACTACAAAATTGTGGGCTGTTTATCACGGCTGGGCTTTGAGCTTGAAGGAATACTATTTTTTCCCTTTTCAACTTCAACCTAACCTAAAATTTAATTTTTTCAGCCCAAAAAATAAAAATTAAGGTTTCGGCAATGTTCCGTAATATTTATTTTTTAATTTTAGTTTAAAAAAATGCTTTGAAAGACCGTTTCAAACTGATAATTGCGTATTCTTCATATTTCCTTAGAGTCCAATCATTTTTGATGTGAGGAATAGCATAATCGATAGTTTTCCCAATATTTTTATAAATTCTTAATTAAATCTGAAATATTGATAAACAGTGACGAATATGAGCCACACTCATGCCCGCCTATTACTTGCGTATTTTGGTTTTCAAAAATTCGATATTCTTTTAAGGGGACTCTTTAGCGCGTTCTCGAGTTGACAACACGTCATTAAAACGATTAGCCAAGTCAGTAATTTCAATTTTTTTTTCTGGTATCGTCATTATTATATACTATACTCACGTATATACAATTTTTTTTTGCTGGTAAATGTATGTGCATTTGTACGCGTTGCCCTCTACGCTGTTATTATTGTTATTATTATTTTCGTTATGGGAATTTCCATTATTGCAGTCTTTTGAGTTTTATCGAAATATTCACCAGTACAAAAGGTGCATAGCACAGTGCCAAGCGAACGATATAACGGTTGAACAGTTAATTGTTGGCATTTGGAGTGTTAACACTTCCTTCCTTTCGTGGTATTGTCTGGTTTATACAATTATTATTTTGTTATGTTAGCCAGGCAATTAGAGAGTGAGTAGTACAATGCATACATACACACACAAGCCTGCTTACGAATATGGTGGTATATATGTCAACACTTACACACATACACACACACACACATACATACACACAAACACATAAATGAAAATCAAAAGAAAAAATATACATTTAAACTTTATTTCTCTTGGTCTTTGGAAAATCCACCAAGGAAACATTCATTTTTAATGGCTACACTTTTGTTGTTGCCTAATTAAAAATGCCTATGATGTGTATTTGTATTTATTATTTTTTTGTATATTCTCTCGTTTAAGGATCCGTTGAGTTAACGACAGTTTTGGCTGCGCTTTTTGGCGTCGTCGCTTTGATGTTTTTATTTTTCCTTTATGTACATCGCAAATGGTGCTTTCACGCTCGTCACGGTCTAAATTGTTGCGATGAGAAGATAATCGCCTCCAAATATACGCAGAAAATGTGTAAGTGTGAGTATATCTGTATGTGCATAATAAGAAAATTCAAAAAAAAAAAGAAGTGAATTAATTAATTGTCTGGGGAAAAATAAAGGAAAAATATTTTGATAGTTCAACCAAAATCTGATGACAGCATGCTGAGTATAATGGCGCTTATAAAAATATTATTTAAAGAAGTTTTTAATTTTTTAATTTTTTTATATGCAACTTATTTTGGTGCTAAAAAAGTATTGCAGTTTTGAAATGCTACCAAAATATGGTAAAAATTAGCAATCTTGTTATTGGAAAATATCACATATATCTCGCCTTACAGGCAAACACATTACTCATACGCCCTGACAACCTGTTTCATTGTCATGAAATTTGCCTTAATGACTTAACCCAGATAAATGATTAAAGCCGCTGAATTCAGTATGGCTACGAGTAAATTGTATGAACTGGTCGTTGAAAAGTTGCCAGCGTAAAAAAATAATGAATAAGAGATTTCTTTATACCTTTCATGACCATATCAAATTTATGGTATTTCATTTTAGGACCAAACATTAATTCTCATTTCTGAAAAATTGTATAGCGGGGGCTATATAATACAATTTTCCGTTTTCGATAATACTCAGTACTCTTATTCAATACGTTATATGTGTGTAGAATACCAAATTTCTTGCTCTTAGATGCTTCTTTAAGGGATTTATAACACAAAATCCCACATCTTCGAAAGGGCCTCGTTCGTAAGGAGGTTTAGTCGTCGCATGACGATGCCCAGCTGTGAACTGCACGCTAGAGAAGAGAAGGTGAGCTCTATTGCCCACTGATTTAAGAAATGAGGAAAAATCGTGGCCGTTTCCCAACAGGATAACCGCGGTGAAATATATCCCACAAAACTAACGTCAATTCCCTGTTTTGCTTGGCCGGTATCTTTTGAATAGCCTCCGTTGACATTATGGCACAACTCTGGAAGACTCTCAACTATTGAACGAATGGCCACGAGTTTACTGCCATTCTTAATATCCCCTTTTCGAATCGAGTAGTGTCGATCCTTAACACATACTTGTTAGGAGATGACATTAAGATGAGGACCATAAGACCGTCACTAAACATCGCTTTCATCTACGCAGTTCTGCTGCTCAGGTGGCATACTACATTTTTGTCTTCCAGCATCTATGATGGCGTAGTTGAAGAAATGGGTCGCGCTTTCATACTTCTACGCAGTTCCGCTACCCCCACAGGTAGTTGACCTTTGCCCCTTGCCGTCATCAGCTTTTGAAGTGAGTTGTTTTTTTCCTCTAAGAGTCAGAAGCCTTTTACCAGTCTCTTGAGTCTTTGAGTTAATTTTGGGTTAAGAGCTAATTGGCCATTTGGTTAGGTTTGACTGCCAGCACCCGCTGTTTGCGCGCTGCTTGTCTAGCGGCACCGAAGAGTTTTCCAACTCTTTTGCTAGAATTCACATCTATTTGTTTGTTTCGTTCCTATTTTCCGAGATGCTTACTAGAAGCCGATAGTGTGGGCAGTCCAACCCTCCTTCATTACCAACTCGAGGAACCGCTACGGCGGAATGTAGATTTCTGTGTAGAATACAAAATTTCATGCTCTGAAATGCTTTTTAACGGAGTTTTGGTCAAAATCTCAAGACTGAAAAATCAGTCTTTTTTATGCTATAGTGGCTTGGTTGAAATATCTCGAAAATTGAGGGTCCAGGTTGCACACAAATAGACGGACCGACAGCCATGGGTAAAAGGCATGAAGTTTCTTGAAATAAAAAGCTTGAATAGGATAATAATTTTAAGTTTAACAGAAATATAATTAAATTAGTGCATTAATAAGGGATTAGTCACTAGTCTAAATCTCATGCTTATCTTTTAGCACGCAAACGCCGTTATGATAATACCAGCTCTGATTCCGAAGAGGATATTTTACGTCGCTTACGCTTACAGCAGTCACGAAATCTCTCAGCAAATGGTAACTTCAACAATTACGGCATCAATCAGCAGCCAACGTACCAACCGCCATCGCCGCCACCAAATCCGAAGCAAAGCTTCAATTACACGCCCAGCGAACTGCAGCGCGTAACCATAACTCCACGTTTTGATTCCTCCCGCGATCCGCTAGCCATAGCAGAACGAGGTAAAGTCGGTATTCCGTCCTCGCATAGTGAGTGCAGCTCGAATGATTCAGAGAAAGCGTCTGTGGACAGTCATACGGGTATCTTGACTGGTGATAGGAAAGGTAGGATGTTAATTTAAAGAACAATCTCATATAGTACGAGTAAATATAAAAAAAATTTCAAAATTCATAGAACGTCTTCAAAGCAATGGCGGCACGAATAAATCCAGCGAATGCAGCGCCTCCTCTTCGTTGAAAGAGTCGCGTATTGACAATCGGACTGAATTGTTGAAATCCAGTAGCAATAGCAGTAGTAGTAGATATCAAAAGATCTCAACAACCTCCGTGCGTCAAGACAGTTTAGATGATGTGCCTGATTTGCATAGCAATAACAACATTAACAACAACAACAGTAATAATAATAACGAAGATGTAAGTAGACATTCATCAGATTAAGTTCGTAGTTAACTGCTTTACATACATACGTGTACAACATATTTATCCCTCTTCATCCAAGGAACCACTTTTCGACACCAGCGACCTGCGTTCCATCAAGTCGGACGACACCTCCGTGCAGAACCAATTTTATGGCAAAAGCGGTAGCATTGAAATCTCATTGTTGTACGATGCACCGATGCGTAAAATGACTGTGCACGTGATGTTAGCTCGCGGTTTACCTACCTTGGGTAATGGACAGACGACGCATACACAGGTGAGTTTGAATCTGGAGATGAATTCACTTAAATTGATGATGTTAAAGGTAGAACAGCGAGTAAGTAGAATACTGCGGGCAGAGATTAAAAGAAAAAATCGGAGCTTTGGAGTTCATCGTTAACATCAAGTTCTGAAAACTAAACTATCGACTCAATGTTGGTTCCACGGTAGACGTAGTTATCTACAATCTCGAAGTCATGATTATAAACAGAGACATGGAAGCTGATTCGCGAATGCGACGTCTGTTTGTTTGATGACCTACTACCAGGTGCATATCATTTACTTCCTTATTTAGTCTGGAAAAAACAGAACTCTTTTTGAAACCAATGTTGTCAATATCATCGGCATACAACAGCCGTACTTTCTTATCGAATATTGTACCTTTAGAACTCACTGTAGCTCACACGATAAGGAGTGAAATTGTTTGAAGCCACGACTGGTATAGAAGAGCTCAGAGAGGTCATTTCCAGTCCTGACGGAAGTTTTTCTGTTGCCTTACGTATTGATCACATAAATTCCTATTCTTTGTCCGACAACAGTCTGTCCTTGAAACCTTTCGAAACCTTCAATCGTGAAATTTTCGAGCATTACCGTTTTCGCCTAGCTTTTTAAGCTATTCATACTCACGTATCTTGTCTTTCTTCGGATATTAGGCATTCCTAAGGCGGCCGCAGTAGATGGTTGGTAGTAAGACGAACTACCATTCTATCCTAATCTGGCAAAAATCCGAAATTATACAAATATGAATTTTTGTAATTCCGGTCAGCCCTCCGGATGTTTTACTGACATGAAATAAAATCCCCTCATAAAAATTAATCGGTCTTTCGGAGGCGGCTTAGAATAAATGTTAAGTTCATCCATTCGTTGGAAAACCATCAAGACGTGCAGATCGAAGGAGAAACTCGACCAGATATCACTTTGAAGCAGCACCATTCACACATTAGTTTTCGTAATTCTTCCGATCAAAATATTAAGCCTCTGCACCGCGTAGAAGTTGATAATTTATTTGCAAAATGCCTCACATTAACTACTTTTATGAACTCCATACTTATAGGTCCGCCTTCTTATGTTGCCAAATAAAAAGCAAAAGCATAAGACTAAGATACGTTCCGGCGAGAACCCACAATATATGGAGAGTTTTCTGTTGCACCGGGTTAATCCGGAAGAAGTTAACAATATGGGTCTGCGTGTACGAATTTACGGTTGCGAACGTTTACGCAAGGAGCGACTCATCGGAGAGGCGTATGTTAGTTTTGCCACAATAGATTTGGAGTTGGAGACAAATTTGTGGTTACCATTGGAGCCGAGAAGTACGGCATCGGTAAGTATTTTGCAATTATATGATTTACGGTATAACTTTTTTCTTATTAAAACCCACTTTTCTGCTCTTTTCTTAAGGTTTTGGGCTCCAATAGTGACTTGTTAAGTCTGGCAAGATCAGACAGTGCCGGTTCAACCACATCTATGCAACATGGTGGGGTGGCGGAATTGCTTTTAGGTTTAGGTTATAACGGTGTTACGGGACGTTTGTCCGTGGAAATTGTGAAGGGCAGCCATTTTCGTAGTTTATCAATGAACAAGGCGCCCGACACTTACGTGAAGCTATGTTTAGTTAGTAGTATAGGACAAGAGATATCACGTGCGAAAACATCAACGAGACGAGGCCAACCACATCCGCTATTTAAGGAGACCTTCGTCTTTCAAGTAAGACATTTCTTTATATTATAGATCTAATTAATTCCATTATCTCCATACGCTGCAGGTGGCACTTTTCCAGTTGAACGATGTGACGCTCATGGTTTCCGTTTATGCGAAACGAAATATGAAAAAGAATGAAATGGTCGGCTGGTTTAGTATGGGACTAAACTCGTCCGGACCAGAGGAGATAGCGCATTGGGCGGATGTACGCGATTTGGCCAAAGGCGAGCTCTTGGCACGATGGCATGTGCTGAGGGATCCCTGATTCGAGCAGTTGGGACAATCTTCACGACGCGCCAGTGCGCTGGGCAAGCTGGGTTTCGCGTCTAAGGATAAGTCCAAACCGAAGAAGCTCAAGGAAGAGGAGGAGGAGGAGAAAGAGAGCGAAAAGCGTGCTATTTGCAACGTGACGGACAAAGCGGTAGCGGTTAATATTGAAGCTGGCTTGGAGCTCGACTTTGTCTAGAGTATTGGTTAAAGCCAAAACGAACTTTTCTTGTAAAGTAAGCAACAAAATGCTTAAACTTGGTGTGTGCTAACGAAGCAACAGCCAAAACCCAAATAAACAACTAAACAAAAACATTTGTACAGCGAGGTAGTTTTCTGTATATAACGGTACAGAGAATGACAAAGCTAAAACGAGAATTTAACATTTGTGTTGTCGCTTAAAAAAAGAACGATGAAAATTTTACAAAAAAGAAAGCGGAAAAAAATCAAAGAAAAATAAAAGCACTTTAGATGAAGTGATAAAGTTTGATAAAATATGATAAAAAATTATTAAAAAAAAAATGAAAAGGAAATTATAAAAAATGATGTCACTTAACTAACTAGTAAACAAGTAAACAAATTACGCACATTAAATATTTTGGTAGAGAAGTAACTAACCAAAAGGGACGAGTAACAATGCATGAAACAAGTAACCTGATATGTTTAATAACCAACAAAAAAAAAAAAAAATATTGAATTTAAACTGGAATTTCTTACAAATGCTTTTAATAAAATAACTGTTACTGAACTGAGAGAAGAAGAGGCAGGTTAAATTCGTTGTTTTATAAGTAGTGTAGTGCAGGATTTTGATTGATTAATGCATGCCTACAAAGCAAAAGTGAATATATTGAATTTTGTGATATGCGAATGAGTATTAAATGTAAAAATCGAATATATACGAGTACGATATGAGTGTACAAAATAATTGTGCAAAATTATTTGTGCCGAAAGGTCAAAGATATGAAATTTTTTAAATAATTATTTAACTAAATTGATAAAAAAAAGGAAATTCTTCTTTAAAAAAAAAAAAAAAAAAAAAAATAACGAAAAAAACATTAAGCTTTACAGCAACCAATTTATTTAATCATAGTTTTTGTTATTTAATTTTTTGCTAATTTTAACAAACAGTATTTCGTTAAGCTGCGACTAATCGTGATTTTTCACAATACATAAACTCTATGAGTTGTAAGTTCTGCAAATTAAATATACAATTTAAATGCTTAAATTAAATTAAATTTGAAATTAAAAAATTTATCATATCAACAAAATGAAAACAATGTATTATTAAGTACCTTACCAAATTTTCAAGGCATTTGCCGATTTATAGATATTTTTTATTTATTTTTGAATGTCCTCGTATTTTACTACTCTTAACTACAGTAGTAAATATTATTTAAAATGCCTTAAAAATACTCGTACTGTTTTTAAATAAAATTTTTAAATCAACATTAGAAAGAGATTTTCTATAAACTCTACTTAACTACATAAGTAAGATATGTACATGCAACCCTGCGCTTAGAGTGAATTGAGAATTAGCGTACCGCTCAAATTTGAAATATTATTTCTCAATAGTTTATCAACACTAGAATGAAGGCTTTCTCAAACACAGCATGCCAATTTTAATATTCCAATCGGTATTAAGTTGGAGATATAATAATAATGTAAAGGAAACAAGAAAATAGAAATAATTATTATATATTATTTTTATTTCATGCATTCTTTTTCAATGGTTGTCATATGGAATATTATTCATGCATAAAAAACGCTGTTCTGCAAAAAAAAAAAAACGATTTCCCTTACTTATTGTTTTAAGGCGTTACATGGGTTTATGCTGTCAAAAATGTAAAATTACCAAAATTTTATTTATTTAAAAAATATAATATTTTATTTAAGGAATTTACTTAATTCAATCAAAAAAGAATTTGTTAAATTTATATTTTTAAATATTTTATTCAAACTATTTACTATCTTAAAGATATACATTTGAAAAAGAATTTCTGAAACTTTCAAAGAAAAATATCTTTGCAACGATATTTCCGGCGATTCTTGGGAAAAAAAGGTTGTCAGTAGAACTCATGACAAGATTATTTGAATTCAAAATGCTGGAATTTGGAAGAAGTGAATTAAAAAAAAGTAAAATTTATTTTTTATGGATTGCTTAAGCAAAGATATGCAATTTTTTTCTCTCAAGATTTGTTTTTTTTTTAATAGTCAATTCTTCGTATGTTGCTTATCAAAAATCTGTGTGAAATTTCATCAAGATCGATTGTGTAATTTTCAAGAACTTTTGACAATCGACTTTGAAACACACAGAGCCGAGAAAAGCTAGTTTAAAGCACAGAACCTATCTGCTTTCAAGCTTGTACCTACCCAAGGCTGTATCTTCGAAACTTACATTCGGATCTACTTGAAAATTTAAGACAATATTCTCGAGTTATTGTAGGAACTAAGAACATAATAAAGAAAATTTTATTTTTTGTAACTGTGAAATCCATGCAACCCCTTAAAGCAAAGATTTCTTTATATTCAGTACTCGAAACACGAATTCTACGCCAGTAAAAAGCAACACGGATTTATTGTGTAAATAAACTCAGCACTTAATTTTACCATATAACGGCCATAAAATTTTTTTCTCCACATTGCAGCTTTGAATTGAAAGCTTTATCTATCGTATTAGTTCTCGAGTCTACGGATTTCTTTCCTATGATCTGAAACTTTTAGAGCTTTTACAAAGTTTTTCCTGGTTACCAACTTTATGTGAAGTCGGACAGTGAAAGTTTTAGAGAAACATGTTTGAGACCAGTAGCCAAGTCTTTGTATTGTTTGTCTCACTCGTGATAAAATCCTACTTGCAATCCTGAAAATAAAACGGTAAATATTCTATATGTTCTGGAAAATTAAATTTTTTCTGCGCATATTTTCTAACGGGAATTTTGTTATAAATTTCAAAGTATATTTCATTTATTTCCCGCACTTTTTTTGGTTTTCAATTTATCCAACTATTCTCTTTTAATCACTTAAATCGACTCAAAACGTTTCCTTCAGAGCGGTATTTTGAGCTTGTTGAATGGCCAGAAGTCAGATGGAGCCACAGTAGGTAAAGGCGGTAGTTGTGGAACCATATATGTTGAGTTTTTGGCGAAAACCACTGAAAGTACAACCCAGTGTTTGATTTTAAGAACCAAATGAGAGACTTATTTGCTTTCAGGCACAAAACGTCTTTCAAATCAACAAACCCTCCAGCTGACAAAATACGGTTTTGAAGCATCATTCCTTTAGTTTTGCAATGTATTGCTCATCAGTTGGTTGGTGTTTTTGGTTTTGCTGCACGTTGATCGTTTTTAGTGATTTCTCTGCCTTACTTGATTTGTTTGTACCACCAGGGAGTAGAAAGGAGAGGAAGTTTAGGAGTAAGAAAAATGTTGTTAAATGAGACTCAAAAATTAAATCATCTGGCCCAATGACAGTAAATTCCATAGGAAAAATTTTGAGCTAAGCTGCTGACCATTCCTCCTTTTGCTTGAGAAATTTTAGTGAAGTAAACTTCGGGTGAGAAATGAGTGATGGTGCGTGGTAGCGGAGGGGATTTTATTGAGTCCACTGTTGCTGCAAAAAGTATTGGAGCGAGACAGAGAGAGAGAGCTTCATGGAATTCTTGGCACCTTTAAACCACTCTTGTAGCAGGCATACATCTGCCGAGCACTTCCAGTTTAGCAACGAATGGGCAATAAGTAATCGCCTCCCATTACAATTTTCTTTAAAACGCACTTGGTAGGGAGTAATGCTGAACTCCAAAATTTCAATCCCTCTTATTTATAAAAGTTTCTCCTAAAACGCTCTTTTCTCGTCTGAAAAACGCGCAAAAATCTCCTAACTCACAGCAAGTTATGGCTTACCTAAAAGCCTCTTAGGCTTTCAGTGAAACTTGTTCAGCGTTTGTTTTTCTTTGTTGTAAAATCTGAAAAAATTGTTTCAGCCGAAAATGGGCACTCAAAAATTTTTAATTTTTCCTTTCCTTTTGTTTCGTACGTACATATTTACGCGTGTAGTTGAAAGAGAAATTAGTTCGTTATTTATATCTAAATTTGGCGGCTTTAATAATAATAATGCCAATTAATAACAAGCTAATTAACGGAAGAGTTTTTTTGTTAGAAAAACCCACGCGTGAACTATAACGGTGCTCATTTAGCCCTTGAGGTAATGAATTTTTGCGAAGAATATTTATTGGAGCAGAAAGAAATATATGAAAAATGAAAAATAAGGATTTGTTAAATAAATAGCTCAAAAATTTATTAAAACTATATAAATTAACTACTCATACGCATACATATACATACATACATACATAGCATTGTAACTCAAATATGTACGTATGCAGATGTGATATGCAAAATAGCCAAAGCAAAAAACAAAAAAAGCAAAAAACTAAAAAAACTACAAAAAATATTTAAAATAACTTCAAAATAAAAAATACACAAAAACAAACAAAAATTATACTAATTATAAATGAAAATTTTATGAAAATGGGAAAAACTTAAGCAAATCTAAACAAACTCCTTTTTTTAAAGACATAAATTTTAAGTATTTGTATTTATTTATATTTATTGAGCTATGCTTTTTAAACATACCAAGAATAACTCAAAATACTATTTTTCGTTCCTTAGAAAAATTAAAAAAAAAATCAAAATTAAACAACATACATACATACGAGTATATTCTCAAGAGACTTAAAACGAAAAAAGAAACAAACAAAAAAGTAAAAAAATATAAGCAAAATATTAAACAACAACATCTAAGTTAAATATCTTTTTATACGGAATAAACAAAGTAAACATAAATACAAATTAAAATATTAAGAAATATTACATATTTATTATTGCATGACATATAAAACAATATCAATATATTTACGATTAAGGAATTTAGTAATGTTTTAATATATAAATACATACATACATATATAAATAACATATGTATGACTAATGCAACATTATGTGCTATCGCCAGCTCTACGCACCGAAGCTGATCCACATTTTATCTGGCCAAGAGCTTTCAGCATTTCAGCGGCCTAACCCAAGCGAATCAACGAAGCAACACCTCGCTGACTCCACCATTTTTCCATTTCGGTTAAATCGGCATAGAAAGCTTTCACGGCGTAGTGCCATCTGCACCCTTACGCATTTTGTTTTCACGGAACTCCCTGCAGCATGACTCCCATTCTATCCAACCAACCTCACGAACTCCTGATTTCATTTCCGTGGACTGTCGTTCGTTATCTTCATAAAGCTAACTGGTTAGGATTCACTGAAAACAGTGAGAAAACCTTTAGGGCTCTCCCCACTCCAACTGACGTCATCGCAGTTGTTAAGTTATCATCCGTAAACGAAACAAGTTGGAGGAACACTTAAGAACCCGTAACCTCCCGTATGGGGAAGCCAAGCTCTGAGACACCCGACGAGACTCTGACCGGGTTATGGCGCCATACACCAGCGCCGCGACAGAATAAGAATGCTGATGCTAAAACACCTAAGACCAGCGGGAGCAGATTACCTTACCAAGGTACTCTATCTGATAATAACCGATATATAGAAAATGGGCAGTGTGGTCGTGCCACTCTAAACGGGGAACCCAGCCAACAAAAGAGAGTCATATCGGTCGATATCTCTCCTTATCCCAGTAGCGAAGACTCTTGAGACCTTGCTGCACAGCAACATAGCTTCCGTAAAGTGCACCGGTCGAAAAACCGATTTTAAAATTGAGAACTAGCGAGACACTGATGAAGAACCTACAAACATGCTAGCATGCCGTCCTAAGTACAGGGACGGTAAACTTTCTAAAGTCTTCGAAGCATCACTTGCACATGGAAACACGACTACAAGTGCTTCTTGCAGCATCACATACAAGAACCGCTGGTACGAACGGCGCACCGACAGGCTTTAAACGGCATTCACCGAGCGTCCGTTAAAACTTACTTGAACTCGCTTCCAGTGAACGGCATTCTCAGAGTCCAATCACCACCTATTACAGACATTGCCTCGAGACACCCGTGTAAGACCAGCACTTTTCAATATCTGGGTATTGTAGTCGCTTAAATCCTACCTATCCAGACTTACTCCGACATGCCCAACGGATCTTCTGCATGCACAGAGAGCCCGCTAGATGCTAGTCACCTCTTTGCATGTTTCTTAAAACCTCATTCTCTCTGGTTCGGACCAGACTCGTCGAAACAACTTGTTGCCTAGTCCTCTCTCGTTGACTTAGACTAATCTCGCCTACTCCCAAGCGCAGTTGGATAGCCGTTTCAACAACAACAACTAATTGTGAGTTGAAAATATTTCAGCTTAAATATTTTACGTTACTTTTTTAAATTTGGAATACCACAATTTGGCTTAAGTATTATTGTAACTTAGTACCTTGACAAGTTGACAAAGAAATATTTGTACAATGTATGTGTGTATTTATTTAAAAATAAGTGAGTTTGAAGAAACAGTTTAAAAAAATGTTAATAAATTTAAAGGATACGCACAAAATTGTACTTGAAGGATGGACGGTAATAAACTAAAAATAAAGGAAGACAGTATTGCATGAGCAAAAGAAATAACAATAAAAATTTACTAAGAAGATAAAAAGAAATTTCGAAAAAAAAGTATTAAAAAATTAGTCAATATCACACAAATTTAATGAAAATTTCTACAAATTGTTGCTAAAAGTGGCCAATGAAAACGAAATTTTGTAGGCAAAAGATTTATGCATATTTTTTCTGAAAAAGTAAAGAAACTAAATGAAATTCTTACATATATATTGAAAGCGATTTAATGAAATGACTTGTTTCACTGAATGCTCTATGCTATATTTTTGGCAATTTTTCGTATTGGTCAAATCTTTTTAGAAGAGAAAATGATGACAAAAGTATGCTGACTGACGGTAATTTAGTTACGATTCTGTCTGCAAAAGAATTTCGAAGGTATTAACGTTGAGCTCAATGATCTCATTACAAAGTTGTACACGAACTATAAAGTACATTATTAATGAAATTAAATCATTAGAAGGTTAGTTTAAACGAAGTAAAAAAACAGCAAAAGAAAAAAATGGCAAGAGAAACAAAAATAAATAAAATAAATAATTTTTAATCTTAATAATAATGAAAACCATGAGTACATTAAAGCTTTAATTAACAAATTAATTACAATTTTTAACTTATCAATGTTGAATGTTGCTATTGAGTCACAGCACATTTCGAAATATACATATATGTATGTACATATACATAAGTAAATGCATTTGTACGCTAAGAATACAAGTAAGCACTTTTAACATAAAGTGACCACCACCACCAGCGACTGAGATTGGATAGCTTTCTCAGTCGCTGGTGGTGACTTCTTCTTGATATTCACAACAACAGCACTTTTTGAGTATAAAATTTTTCATGTAAAAATAACAAAAATCTTTTGATAATCAAAACTCCAAATAATTATATTTGAAGGGTCTAGACTCTGGTGTTTTTTCAAGAAATGACGTATGCTAAACTCAAGCCGCAGCAGCGTATGGTTAGAATGAATGAATATAGAGAGAAGCTGCAAGTGGTGGAGGTGTAACATTTGTGATTGGTACAAGATTGTGACCAAAAAACCTTGCATCACTTTTTCCTTTGCATTATATGTACATATGTATGTATGTATGTGACTCAAAAATAAAATTGTTTGCACGCACATCGTCTAAAAATTGTCAAGTGCGTAAGTATTGACTTATTTTAAAAATAAGATCAAATTATTTTTATATTCAAAACTATAGATGTATTTTTTTTAATATGAATCATCAGAGTGAACTACTAAATGTTTTTTATTACTGTTATATGCATATCTGTGTGTATGAAAAACAATATTTGTATGTATATTTACATAGCTATTTATTGTAAGTAGTGTACCTATTTGAATTTATATTTATATATATAATTAAGTTCACATATTTCACAAAAATTTATTAAATATGAAATCAGCACTAATGATACCCTAGACTCTACCTAAGTACGTTTTTTTTTTTTTTTTTGATAAAACACATTTTAATGTTGCCCTCTAATTACCAAAAGCCTTTAACCAAAGGCACAGAATTAAACCAAAAAAAAAAGATAAAAAAAATAAAAAGAAATAAAAATAAAAAAATTAGGTTGCTTAAAATATTTAAGAAAAGAAAAAAACAACACATTGTATACATATTTACCATAAAAGAAAACTCAACTTAATTGTGTGCGCGTGTGTGCATGTGAAGTGCCGATATTTGTTGTTGCTTTACAGGATAAATTGTCCTGCTGCTCACTTGTACTGAAGTGTGTCTTGAGACTGTCGTAAATTGAAACGAAAATCAATTTTTTTTTTATAAGCAACTCTTTATACGCGTAATTTCTGCTTTGTGCTATGCTTTCTTATATTAGTATTTGTAATTTATTTATGCTAAATGTATTTATTTAAGAGTTAAGCATTTGTTCAAGAAATTGTTTAACATATTACTATCACATTAATGTTAGCCAAAAATGCCTTTAAGTTTTTATTACGATTAAAAACTGCATAAAAAACTACATAAAATGCATGCAAACACAAATGAATATAATATAAAGCAGAAATGTAGTATGAAGCGATAATTTAATGAAAGTTAAATAGTTAGTAAACATTTTTTTCTAATTAAATACAATTTCGAATTATTCTGCACAAGAAGAGGTCACCATAAAAGATTTATGCTAAATATCTGTTTTTTATATAATAAATATATATATATATTAGACATAAATGTTTCCATGTTCTATCAACTGTTACATGGAACAAAGTGAGAAGTAAAAGTTAGTACGTACTTAAAAATAGTAAAATAATTTAAAGTAATTTTTTGTATTTAATATAAAGAAAACAAAGCAAAAAAAAAGATTTTTTAATCCTTATTATTTCTGTGTAACTTACAATATGATATTAGAGCCCTTAACGAACTAATGATACAAATTATATAAAAGAGAAAATAAACTAATAATTTTGCCAATGGAATGATAATAAAAAGATGAGAAGAAAAAAGTCCTTAAATGTGTTGTTATTAAGTTTTGGTAGCGCTGGGTGGGAGGCATCATTCATTCACTCATCACTCATTTAAAATCGATAACAAATTCATTGACTATTCTTCAGCCACTACTTCCAGAATATATTTTTAATTTCTTTTATTATATATTTGGGATCGCAGTTGTAACGCTTACAACGCTTTAAATTTAACAATTACATTCACATACTTGCATAAATGTATTCTATATGCATGTGCTCATATCTATCTTACAATGAAATTTCCTTACTTATTTATAGTGCAGTTTATAACTAACAACCGAGACTAACAATTTTAATGATTTCATTTTATAGAATTTAGTTTAGTTTTGTATGCAGTCGATTAAGTGCGCCAGCTGTAACTGCCTCACTTGCGACGTTTTCGACGCATCTTCTTGTATGCATTACTGCCGTCATCATCATCGTCATTTAGAGATTTAAGGGTAGTGCTTTGCTCTAACGATTGCTGTTGGGCATCCCACTCTTTGCGCAGCTCACTGAGCATACCGGGCGTTAGCAAACCTTGGGCTAATAAACGTTCCGTCAAGCGGCCACGTGAACTACTAGGCACGCGAGGTTCTGTAAAATGGTGTACAAATATATATAGATTTTTTTCTTTTTTATTATATCAATTACACTTACCACGCAATTGAGTTGAGCGCCTTATGCTATATGACATATCGCCATCGGCTGCACTCTGACTGGCTTCGGTATTTTTCAATAAACGTGTAATTTGAAAAACTCCTTGTTGTATTATATCGTCAAGTTCCTTTTGGGCGATACGTACGGACATTGCATCCGGAAATAGATCCATAAAACGATAACTAAGCCATAAGTATAAATCCATAACATCAAAGACCGATTCCAAGTGCATAAGATCGATAATTGTCTTCGGCAAGGCAAAAGGCCAGCCACAATTGCGTGTGATAAAGTCGAATGTGATTGGTTCATTACGGCTATACTGTCTGGCAATCTATATTTTTGGTAGTAGTTGGTATTAATATAAATCAATAAATACATATATGTATATCTGCATACCATGTATGCACATATATATTTATTATTTGTACAAATACCTTGAGGAACATAGAGCATACGAATGGCATTTTCTTATTAATAGGGGAGCAACAAAATACATAGCGTGCTCGTAGAGGCAGGGGAACGTGCTCAATCATCTCGGCTAAAAATTTAAAATCTTCAATATTGCACATGAAGTACAAGGAGTCATCAACTGTGCACAGATTTACGAATATATCCTAGAACAGCAAATAATTATGATACCAAGAAGCAAATATATTTAAATTCAAGTCACAAACCATTAGATTACTAAGTGTTGACTTCGGTAAATGATAGGCATATAGTTCTATTTGATCAGCCGTTGGATGCAGACCCGCTTGTTTTAGTGGCTCAGGTTTCTGAGACAATAGTTTACGTAACGTCTGTAAATCCTCTGACCTAAAAGTAGTTACATAACCATGCTCCCATTGAGTACGATAACGCCCGGCGCGTCCAGCAATCTGCAAAGCTGCGGATATGGATATAGTATCAATTTCTTTTTCTCCCTTTTCGTTCATTGAGGGTTTAATTATTGAGTAAAAGATGATACGCCGTATGCTCCTGTGAAATACAATGTAAATAAGTGAAATAGTAATGCATATATCTTAAAAATTACTTACAGATTAAGACCCATACCAATCGCGTCGGTAGCAACCATCACCTTACAGCTGTTATCAGGATCATTGAACTTTGCTGCTTGCGCTAATTTGGTGCCTGGTGGTAGTCCACCATAGATTACAGCAACTTCTTTACCTCTATAATATAATATTATATAGAATTCCAAACTTATTCTTACTGTCCTTTTTTTCATTTCGGTACTAAAAATGTTTACCTTGCTTCAATTTCGCGTGAAACTGAGTAAATATCGTTTTTACTGAAGCAAACAATACAGTCACCGGGTTGCACATTATCCAGACTGCCCAGCGCTGAGTCTTCAATAGTAAGTTCGGTCAGTCTGTCGTAGTTATGCACCTCCACAGTCTCGTTTGTAGTTTCACATATTTTCTGTAGGAGTTCCAAAGCACCAGACTCACCACAAACGTGCACTTCTTCCGCTATAAGGCCAAGAAAGGCGCGTGTCCAGGCCCAGCCCCGCTGGGGATCCCGTAACTGCTGTATTTCGTCGATAACAGCGACTTCGTCTGTGTGAAAATAAGTATTTCAAGATCAATTTTATTAATAATTATTTTCAGAGCTTACAAGGCGTGTTTACTGATGTCATTTCTACAGTACAGGCAACGTGATCGGCTGGCGTATTCTCACTGATACCATATTTACGCTCCTCTCCCGTAACCAGATCACAAGGTGTGCCCTAAAAGGCAAAATAAATTTTTATATATATAAATCATGAGATATATCTGTCATACACACCCTATCGTTTGATTTATTGAACACTTCAGTGGCTAATAATTTTAATGGCCCACAATATACACCCGATTTTGCGGTCAAAAAACGCTCCATCGCATGGTATGTTTTTCCGGAATTTGTAGGTCCGGCATGAAACACAATTTTTCGTGTTATTGCACGTGCACTTGGATACCAATTGGCAGGTGTACGCAAATCTGAGATTTTCTTCAGGTCGTCCATACAGTCTAAGTGAGGAAATATGGTCTTAGCGTGGCGCAGAAAATAGGGAAATATATCATCGATGTGACCTGCATTATGTAGTATGTCGCTAATAGTTATGTGCAAATCTACTGGAAGATTTTCTGCCTCAATACAATAGCGACGAAATGAAGCAAACGCCTGTTGCTGTAAATAAGCTGGAGAATGGGTTGTATAAGTAAGTTTTCAAAATAAATTTCATCATATATTATATACACTTACAATCCAGTCCATTTTCAATACAAAGACCTTTAATTTCCCGTTTTTGGGTGAATTTGTTAAGAATTTTCAACAATTCTGTCTTGTCTAGTTTGCCCACCATTTCGGAACCTACGTCATGTTCGTCAGCATTTGTTGGCACCGGCACTGGTTTGAATAGTGTGGATACATGCTGTGGACCAGTTTTTTTGTTACGTGCTTGCACGTAACTACTAAGATGCACATATTTAGTGGCAATCAGAGCACTAGCACTTATTGGTGAATGAGTTGGAATTGTACGCAGGCTGAGATTCCGCGCCAGCGTATTGAGTAAATTAACACCGGATCTAGAATTTTGCATATTTCACACAAATTTTTGCACCTTACCAATATAGTTAAAATGTTAAGTTTATAAACTAATTGCAAAATTAATTAAAAATATACGAAATTGTCATCACGACTCTATTAGCCGGGGAGATCGTGATGCAATTGTTTGTGCGTGCGGATGGAATTGAAAAACAGCTGATGAGTACCTAACCTCTATTTTGATAAGGCGAATGTCAAAGAACGTGCGAGTGGGTACAGTACGTATTAGATAATGTCCAATCCAGAGAACGTAAAAATAATTTACAAGTTTCAATTAAACCTCTGACCATTTCGAGCAAAGGACGAATATGACGTATATATTGTAACGAATATTCCAAGCAAGTCTCAATGATTACCCAAATCGTCCGGGTACAAACAATTGATTGCTAAATATAAATCCCAAAATTCGTTTTCAGCTTCTTCAACTCTCTATAAACATTTATTCTTCTGTAAATAAACAGCTTACACCGCTTCACTTAACACCGATTTTGTCACTGTCGAGCTCCAAACTCATATGAATATGCTGGTGCGATGACCGCCGCTCTTATAAACCTAATTTATCCCACGTATCTCTAGAAAGATAGTTCTCGTTAACGAATTTTCTATACAAGCGCTGTATAATGTGCTTTAGCTACCGACTTCCCCTTTTCACCTCACATTTGTATTTAATATTTACCGCAATATGCTCTTTGCAGCTTCTTATTAACATTTGTTCTTTGTCTTAAGTGTCCGAAGATTTTCCTAAAATTTCTGTCTGAAAGTGTACAAAGTCATGTGTAATGGCAGCCCTGAAAAATTATCAATCCGTTGGATCAGCTGTTGTGTTTGTTGTTGGGCAGAAGTTCCAGACAAAGAATACTGATAAAAATAACAGAACGCGAAGAAGACATAAAAATGAGCTTGTCAAAACGATTTGTCAATTTGCAAAATCTGAATTATTATTTACTTCCACTTTCACATTCAAAAATTATCGGTAATTGGCTCAGTTCCAATTTTCACCAGAACAGTGCCTACAGTAGTAAAATGTCCAAATTTATAGAAGTTCCAATCCAAGCCGAGAAATTATTAAAGTTAACTCGATCTACAGTGATACCAAAATTGAATGCGACCGGCAGTAGCGGTAAACAGCGCCATAAAGGTCAAGCAGGAAGAATTGGTGTAATTGGTGGTTCCTTGGAATATACAGGCGCTCCATACTTTTCAGCCATAAGTGCTATGCGTGTGGGAGCAGATTTGGCGCATGTCTTTTGTCAACGTGATGCCGCAGTTGTAATCAAGTCTTACAGTCCTGAATTGATAGTACATCCATTATTGGATGCAGAAGATGCTATTGAACAAATTGCACCATGGTTAGAACGTTTGCACGTACTAATCATTGGTCCGGGCTTAGGTAGAGATCCAAAAATACAAAAGACCGTTATTAGCCTTATTGAACATTGCAAACATATAAATAAGCCTCTAATCATCGATGCTGATGGACTATTCATACTCAATGAAAATATTGATTTACTCAACGACTTATCTAATGTCATCTTAACACCAAACGCAATGGAATTTCGACGCCTCTTCAGTGATGATGTTGATGTTATGAAACAACGTATGGCGAGACTAGGTGCAGGTGTAATCGTACTTGAGAAAGGTCCTCAAGATAAAATCTATATACCAAGTACATCTGAAATTTATACATTACCAGCTGGAGGATCTGGTCGACGTTGCGGTGGGCAAGGTGACTTGTTGTGCGGATCTATTGCAACTTTTTTTCATTGGGCTTTAGAATCTAATCAGTCCAATGCCGCCTTCGTAGCAACTTTTGCGGCTTCTTATCTTGTAAAACAGTGCAATGCTGCTGGTTTTGAAAAATGGGGTCGAAGTATGGTAGCGAGCGACATGCTCAATGAAATTCATATCGTCTTCCGTAATGTATTCGAAGAGACAAACTAGCATGTATGCACTTGTTGATAGCATTTTAATAATGTTTCGTTGTTATTTTATAAAAAAGTTTAAGTAACAGTTTCTAGTTTATAAAATCAATATATGACATACAAACTTAAAGTGTAAACATGCGTTAATTTATATATTGACAACGATGATATTAAATTTATACTACAACATCACCGTTGGTTTCGCCAGCTACGGTGGGGATGAGTTGGCTGCAAAATTACAAGAAAGTGCAGATGCATAAATATATTTACAAAAAGGGCAATGTATCGTTTTACTTTCTAATAGATGTAAATTTTAGAAATCAATATTTACTCAATGTTATATTAATTCAAATTATACAGTTCAAAATACATATTAACAAAATACTCTGTTATGTCAATTTAAAAAATTTTAATTATACAAATATTTGAAAACTGATATACTTGCTTTTATTTTGGGAATCACCGAAAGATATTAGATGGATAGTGTTAGCCCCTAACCTGCGGACTAAAATCCAATAGTTCCCGCAACAGTCGGGTCTTTATATCGGAACGACCCGGATTTAAGAAGAAATAACCCGAAATCTATATGCATGATATCCCTTATGGAAATGTTAAATATCTGTTGCTGACATTCTTATTTTGTTCTTACATGGAGAATTTTTATTGAACGAAATAACTTTAAATAAATGTGATGATCAAACACTCCAAAATTTCTCAAGGCATTTTAGTCATGTGGCAACACTGTATTATCCCTTGCTTCTTCCCGCTCAATTCTAGCAGATATTTTGTACAACAAACTCCATCTGGAAGATTAAAGTGTTAAATCTCACGCATTTACCGACAATATTTATTTAAATTTTGTTAATTTTTTCCCTCTTGTATAAAACTCACGTCAGACCAAAATGACTAACACAAATTCAAGCACAAATCAACAGAGAAACGTGGAAAATGCAGGAAAAGCAAAGAACCCGTTGCAGTCTGTGTTGGATTGCTTTGAATTCACAGCAAAGAATGGCACAGAATATAAACTTTATTGCCGCGCCAAAGGTGATATGGATGCAAAAACATTAAAATGGGCCTTTAAGCTAGCCGAACGCAATGTTGGCCCATTTTATAAAGCATTACAAATGGGCTGGCAACCGAAGGTAAAGCAGAACGACTTGAACAAAAAGTGGGCGCGATATTTAGTAGCAACCGATAAAAGTGGACAACCCGTAGCGTATACCATGTTTCGTTTTGATATGGATTATGGGCACAGTGTGCTTTATTGGTAAATATAACAAACAACATATATTATCGATAAACAAGCTAATTTTTTCCTTTATTTTATTGCAATTAGCTACGAAATGCAAATAGAAGCGGACCACCAACGACAAGGTTTGGGAAAATTCATAATGAACGCATTGGAACAATGTGCACGGCACTGGCATATGGACAAAGTCGTTTTAACAGTGTTAAAGAATAATGACAATGCCTTGGCATTCTTTAAAACTATTGGATTCAGTTTGGATGAGACATCACCTGACATACTGGAAAAGGCTGAATATGAGATATTAAGCAAAAATTTAATATAAGTTTACCTAGATACCGTAGAAATATTGACAAAGTTGGCTAGTTTTCTGCAATTTAAATATATTTTATTTGAGTATATTAAGTAATTAACACAATCTAACTATACAAATCCTAATAGCGGTTGGCATGTTCTTCCATATATTTGGCCATGCGAATATCTTTTGCGCTGAGACCACCAACATCATGAGTAGACATAGTAACTTGTACTTTATTGTATACATTAAACCATTCTGGATGGTGATTTAATTTTTCTGCTAGCAGTGCAACGCCCGACATGAAACTGAAAGCACTATTGAAATCCGCAAATAAATATTCTTTGTAGATGGCATCACGACCGTTTACTACCGACCAACCAGCATCCAAAAGTGGTTGAAGTAACTCAGATCGTTCTTGTTCGGTGAGTTTTGCCTGTTTGAAAAATATTTAATTAGATTTATTACTAAATTTGTAGTATAATATATAATTTTTGCAATAAATAATACAGAAGTGAATAATTAGGCGTTGTTGGTTTGACTTACTTTTGTCCCAGAAACACTTTATAAATATGATTTTTTACGCTCACGAACGGAAACCAGTTTGGTTTTGGTTTGCAGTAAAAAAAAACTTGCATATACGTTTACTATGTGTTAATTATTGGATATTATTTTTTATTTTATGTTCCCTTAAATAAGTCTAACAATGAGCTGCATTACTGAGAGCTTTAATGATTGTGTACATTGACTTTCACTTTTTCATATGATTTAATCTTTATTGATCTTTATTTTGACCTCACGATATACCACAGATAAGAGAATAATTGTAAAATAGTACTTGTTGCACTAATATTGGTACTAAGCCTATTAAACAAATAATTATAAAATGTACTTTTTTTTGTTATGCTGAAAATTCCAACAAGTGTTTCTTCATAAATTTCCCCCTTCTCCCCTTTCAATATGCGTATTCCTAAACGAATCACTTACCATTTTCTTCTTCGCTACAAGGGTTTTCTGCGCAATAAATGTGGAGTATCGGCTCGCCTCTCGCAATGCTTTTGGTAGACTACTGCAAAGTATTTCATTGGATTTGTTTAAAACTCGTATTTGTTTTTATGTATACGCAGCTCAATTAATCGTATCAAGCGTTCAGATACACAAATATACATACCTACACAATAAGCGCGGCTGCCAGTGCCGTGGGGCACCCAATGCCTTGTTATCACATAAGCGCTGTGGAATACTCACACTTGTATGATTAAAACTATGTATTTGCAAAATAATAGGTAACAACTTCCTTGATTTTGTATTTATTAAATATTTGTTAAAACTATACATTGTTTTTGTTATTGCTTGCAGCTGACAACAATCAATACGCCGGTCAGCTGTTTAGGGCTGCCATGGGTATATGTGTATAGAAACTGAGTACTACAGTGGCTTTGCAATGTTGGCCGCTGAACAAGGTTTGCATTTGAATTTAAAATAGAAACTCATTAATTTTACTTATGTGTATACATATATAATATTACTTGCTGAGATATTTTCACTGGTATTATCGTCAGTAAATATTAGTATAACGGGCTATAAAATTCGTAAAGAAAAATAAATATATTACTTATGGCCGCCTTCGTCTTCATTTTCACCGCCATTCCCATAATAATCATAGTCCAGTGGTAAGCCATTTGGACCAGCATGTCTCGGATGTTCTGTTGTCGTGCTATGATAATCCTTTTTCGCATCTTTAACATCTTTGGAATATATTGTTGTTCTAAGCGATGGCACAGCTGTTGTTCCCTCAGGCTTAACGACGGTCTGGTTGTTTACTCTGACCGTTTCGACGGTAGTCACCTCCGTTTCTAAAGTTTTCTGTTGTTCAGTGGTTAAAGTGCCATTCGCTGCGTTGGGCTCTGTAGTTACGGGAATACGCCAACGTTTGCTGTAACGGCTCCGTACGAAAGGCTTAGAAGTACCCGTCGCAAGCGAATCTTCTGAAATGAATAACGGGCAAAGTTAATAATATTTCGGAAAGTAGCCTATTGAGTAGTACTTCGCACCAATTGCTAGCGTTGTGATCAGTGCAATCACTCCGAGTAGAATAGCGCACTTCATTTTCTCTAAAAATTCACCGTGACAAAAATTAAAATCAGCTCAATTTCACAGCTTTTATATGTCTGAGTTATATGGATGCACTTTTGTATTAAAATTAAACCCGCTTTTTCCGCTTGTATCTGCTTTTCCGAAAGACATCTGGTCTGGTATCGATTTGTTCGCACTTGAAACTGAAAGTCCATTATCTCCCGCGAATGCACTCGTACATACATACATGTGTACTTGGGTGGATACTCGAGTTAAAAGCGAAAGTTTCGAATTCTTATCTTTTGTCATGTGTGTGCAGCAATATTTATCAGAATATTCTTTTCGCTTTGTTTTTGTATTGTAAATATTTTGATCCTTTGGGAATTTGAAACTGATTTCGAAAGTTTGTTAACCTTATTGAAATGATTATAGGGATTTTGTATCGTGTATTTACATTATACCATAGAAGTATAAGGCCTGGGTAAGCTCTAAGTTGATCTCCCTCACAACCAAGTTTAAACAAATCCTTCGCTAGGAGAAAGAGTTTCCTACCTCTTGCCCCTCACACAGAAATTCCATAGGGTGGAGTGCTATCACCTCTGCTCTAGAACTTTGCGGTTAACAGCACTTTGAACCATTCACAACTGGGCTATTTCAACAGGACTCAAGATTACAACATTAATACTGATAAACCAGATTTGGTTATATTCACAAGAAAATACAAAATTCCAGGTTGGATTAAACCAAAGCCATTTTATAACTGCAACCACGTTTTTGAGCTTTTTGAGCATTCCACAGGCAAATTTAGTAGCTAAAAACAGAGAGTATCTGACTGAATCGGGATTTACGGGCACTGTAGTACAGCGTTACCTCCAAGTGGACGAATAGACTACCTAGTAACGCGGCTGACTTTCCGAAAGCTGCTGTCCGCTAAAATAGTGGCGAATGGATCTGCGGCTTCAGAGATAAGAAAGTCATTTAAGTAAGCTGTCAGTATCTTCCAATCCGAAATATTTGCTATAGTATCTTATTGCTGGAGAAAATAATAGGAGATGAAGAGCTGAATAGAGAAGGTACAATATTGCCGTTATTGGCCTAAACAACCGCGCCGTAATTTCTACTTTCTCCAGACTGGATAAAGAAGCGAAGGATATATGTCTGATAGTGAATGAGGGCAAAACGAAATATCTCCTGCCATCACACAAACAGTCGTCGCACTCGCGACTCGGCAACGGCAAATTTCCCAGACGACGGAACGATGAGCTGTACGAATCAATAGCAGCGACTACGCTGTCTAGGTCATGTGGTCCGGATGGATGCGAATACTCCAGCTTTAAAAGTTTTCTATACTGCATCGCCGGTGGAAGCAGAGGAAAGGGAAGACCTCCACTCCGTTGGAAATTCCAGACAGAGAAGGACCTTGACGCTAAACAGCAAAAAGAATAAACGAATGCCGCAATGTTGTTAAATCGGCTATAATCGTGTAAGCGGTGTCTACGTCAGTAAAGCAAGTAAGTAATGACGGCAGAGCTACAGCAGAGTACTGGCTTTCAAAGGAGAGAGTTGTGTGGAGAGTCAAGCGGTCATAAAAGCCTTTATTTCATGCAGCACGAAGTCGGCTGTGGTCGCCCTATGCAAGTGGGCAATAGAAATGCTGTCTGATAATGAAGATTCCGCATTTACTGGATGCTAAGCCACCGGCATTGAAGGCAACTGGCTAAGAAGAATATCCTTTAAGTACAGGGCGAAAGAATGAACCAACCAGTTCCGTACAGAGAAGTGACGCGAATGTAAGAATTAATCTTATTTCGTCTGGTGAATCGATAGTTCCTATAGCCAAGTGCTGCAGACTTGAAAAAATTATGTACAAAACTTATGATGCTTAACTTGCAAAGTTTTTCTAGCGGTAAAGCGGCTGGAATACAGGCATGTGGTAGGACGGGGCATTGCCTTTTGGAGTCGGATGTTTTTAATACAGGAAATGTACGGAGACTGTAGAGCACGTAATCTGTGAGCGTCCAGCATTCGGCAGACAAAGGCACTGCTTACCTAGCACAGAGAGGCAACAAGACCTTCAATCAACAAATGTCAAGGGGCCAAGAGGACTATTTCAAACTGCGAAATGAACAGCAATGCTCTTCACACTAGAGAAGAAAATAGTATGTCAGCCAGTTCAAGCTAACCTAACCAAACCTTGCCTCTCATGTAATTGTTTATGTTGTCATAATCCCCAATGCCGTTTACGGGTAGAAGGCATCCATAAAGCAGGCTATTTCAGCTGGGAGATGAGTGATAGGTGGCACGGCAAATACAAATATAATAATTCGAGAACTGCGGTCAACTCAGAGCATCCAATATACATACGTCGGTGCGAGTCCTTGTTTGAAAACATTGCTAATGAAAACAATATCTGAGGTTCCATAGCCCTGAGAACCATTTTACAACATTATCCGTTGATCTTAAAACGTCTTTATGTGACCCAATGGAGTTTTCATTACCAAAATAAGCTTTTTCGGGTTTATCGTAAGATTTTTATGATATCCACCGATTTTTCTCCAATAATCAAATTAATATTAAAACTTTCCCATAGTTATTTTTTCATATTAATCAAGTTTTAATGACTATAATAAATCCAATAAAACATAAACGTATGAATTCAAAATTAAATGCGAAAAATTAAAATATTTGTTTTTACACAAAATTTTCGTTAACAATAAATTAAATTAAGTAGTTCGAGTATTTTTTCTTTAACCAATAATAACTTATAAGAATTTTCCTATTTTTTATATGCGATTAGCGAACTTTAAGCCAAGCTTTAAACAATAATTCTTACTAAGCACCCATGCGTCTTATGATTGCTGTGCCTTAGCGCCCGAAGGTATTGGCGGTGGCGGCACATCTGGTACGGCGCTATTTTTATTTTTCGACGCATTCTTTATGCTATCAAAGTCAACGTTCGGCGGCAATTGTGGTAGATTTGCCGGTTGGGGCTCGGGCTCGCTAGCTGCCGTCTGCTCGGTCTGCTGCTCTGGTGGATATTGATCCGTTGGCAGCTGCGTTGGTGGAGTTGGTGGTGTGACAACTGGTCGACTGGGTGCAGCCGTTGGTGGTGTTTGAGGTTGTGGTCTTGGTCCACCAGCTGGACCGGCACCCACTGCAAAATGTTGATGATGGCTGGGGAAATATTCATAAGGCGGCAGATATTGCTCACGATAACCAGTGATGGGATCATAGATGAGTGGATACTGGTTGTAAGGGTACGGTGGTAGCGCCACTGGACCATTGGGACTGCGATTGGGATATTGCTGTAGAGGTATAAGCGATGGTGGCAAACCGAATTCATTCAAAGGGATTGGTAATTTCTCATTCGGCATTTGTTTAGGAGGATTCTGCTCGAGAGGTGGCATATATGTGGGATTTCTCGGTGGGGGTGGCTGCGTCGGCGGCTGTATGGGTTGTTGTTCTTCAGTAGGTGGGGTGACTGTGGGTGCTGCGTCCTCTACCGGTGAGCCATACTGTGGCGGTGGTTGCTGTGCAGCTACATTAGGTGTGGGCAAGAGCTGTGGTATACTATTTGGCGGCGGTTGGTGCATTAACTGTGGCGGGAAACGTTGTTGGGGTAGTGGATAGGGGTACTGTAAATGAATGAAAAATTATTTATAAATGTATATTGAAGTTGTAATAATTGAAAAATATGTGCAAATCCAACTCACCTGTTGTCTTGGTGCCAAACCAGGCACTATTGGCTGACCGAAACGCACCACTGGCGGCGAGTAGAAACCATACGGGTTATACGGGCCGAAGGGATAATGCGCAAGTCCACTCTCGTGTATTGTCGGTTGTATAACTGGATAGGCGCGGCTAGAGGTTAAATTATCATCGGTTGTTATAAGAGCATTGTACACTTTTGGTGTGCGACGCAGGGCGGCACCACAGATGGTGTAAAAGTTGATGGTGATTATTAGGGCGATCAGAATCTGTAAGATACATGAGAATGATTACATAATTATAGTCGTTATGTATGTGTGAATGTTTATGTACTCAAAGATCGTGGAAATTCATGAGAGATTTTAGGTATTTTATTTTATAAATATGTATGTATGCACATATATACATATATACTAATTTCTCATGTGTATGCATTTCAAGTGCTTGCAGACATTTATAAGTCAAAAATCAACATCAATTGTTTGTGAGTCACCCACTCGCACCTCTAGCAGCGCTTGCTCAAGCGCTGATATGCAAATTGCTTTTATCTGATTGGTTTGTTGTTGGCTTGACCATTGAAATAGACATGCGATTGTAACTTGGTTGGGGTTGGGCCGTTATGGTAATAAATCAAATGTAGAAAAACACTTAGGTTCAATTGGATTTACGAGAAAAACTGAGTTTCGAGTGGTATGAGTGGTGTTAGCGGGGCAGCATGTCTGCTTGAAGGTTTCGGTTGCGATAGTTTTTACAGCTTTTCAAATTTCGAATAGTATTTTTTCTGATATCAAAAAAAAAGATTAATATTATTTTTTTAAGAAAATAAATATTTTATTTTATTTCATTTAACCTTTTCCTATTCCATTTAGTATTTTGTTTTAATTTTATTTGATTTGATTGAAATAAATTCTATTTTATTGTATTTGAAACATAAATCATTTTGAGTGTACAAATTAATTCGGTGCGTTTTTTTTTATTGGAAAAAGAAAAAAATACATAATACAAGTATTGTTCGACGACTATTTTTCGACTACTTTTTTCCTTTCTTCTGGTAATATTAGAATACCATCTCTAAAAAATGAGTACTCTCCATTATATATTGTGCATCTTATTTTGATTTTTATATATATTATAGTAATTAATTTTTATTAATTTTATTTTATTCAGTTTTAATCTAATTCATATTTCACTATTTAATTTAATCGGTTTTATTTCTTTTTATTTTTTGTGGTTTTTATTATTTCCTATTTTTATCATAATTTTTTTCCCGGGAAATTTTTCGGTTAGTGTAAATAATTTTATACATACCATAATCAATTGATGTATTTTATTTACTTTTTTTTATTTTTTGCTTATACTATTTTAATTACTTATTTTTTTAAATTTAATTTAATGTATTTTTTATACTTATTTTTATTTATTATTATTTATTAATTTTAAGTTTTTGATATCTAATTTTATATTGTTGTATTTTATATTGTTTATTTTCATTCTAAATTTAAACTTATTTTATCCAGCTTTTTCAACAATATTTATTTAATTGTGTTTTAATATATTTTATTGTGTTATAATTTACTCTATTTTACCTTTCTTATTTTTTTATTTTAATTTAAATTAATTTTATTTTCTTTAAATTTAATTTGATGTTAATTATAATTATAATTAATTTGCTTCCGCCGTTTTTTCCAAAATTAAAAGTTTTAATGCGAAAAAGTACTTACAGATATATTATTCAAAGTATTGTCCTTCGCTAGCGACAACTTTCTCCCATCTTTCCGGCAATTCTCGGATCCCGGATCGAAAAAAGGAGTCCTCTTTTGGCGCTATCCATGAAGCAGTCCATTTCAGCGTTTCCAGGTACTTTTTGACCACTTTTGTGACGTGAGGCCGAGCATTGTCGTGTTGGAGGATGACTTTGTCATGTCGCTCTTGATATTGACTTTTAGCGCGCGACTAAGGCGCATCAGTTGCGTTCGGTAGCGATTTCCTCTGATGGTTTCACCAGGTTTTAAGAGCTCGTAGTAAATCACACTGTCACGGAAACGGCGATGACAATTCGTTAGGCACTGTCCATACTCACTTTAAAGGCATTATCATCTATGCATTTCCACCAGCCTCAGCTGGTACAGCCACCTATCGGAAAACGGCGGAAGCAAAGTTGTAAACCTGATACATACATATGTATATCATTTTATATTATTGTATTTTATTTTGGTACAATTAATTGTATTTTTCATTTATTTTTATATATTATTTTAATTAACTAATTTTTTTAAATATAATTTAATGTATTTTATTTTATTTTTTATGATATTTTTTTTATGCTGCTGTTTTAAATTAATTTTGTTTATCTTAAATTTAAACTTATTCTATTAAGTTTTTTCTGCAATTTAATTGTATTTTAGTTTGTGCGAATTAACTTATATATATGTTTTTCTAAATTTTATTTTATTTAATTGAAGTTCATTTTGTATTATTTTAATTTAATATATTTCATTTCTTTTTTTTAATTCTTGGTGTGGGCATTTTTGATTAATTTATTTTATTATACCTCATTTAATTTTATAAATACAATTTATTTTGATTTTCTGCTTTATTTAAATTAATATAAATTAATTTAAATTTATTTATTTTAGTTTTTCTATTTATTTAATTTTATTTTTTAAATATATTATTTTAGTTGGCTATTTTTTAGCATATTTTTTTTAATTTATTTTAATTTTTTTATGTAGTTTATTTTTTTTTTTTGGTTTTATCTATTTGTTTTAAATTATTCTTTTTTCATTAAATTTTTTTAATTTTCATTTGTCTCATTTTATTTTACTTTTTTTATACATTTTATTTTTTTTTTGTTCAATTTTATTTCATCCGGCTTATTTTAATTTATTTCACATTAATCTATTTAATTTATTTTAATATTAATTTTGTATAATTTGCTTTATTATATCATGTTGTAGTATCTCTTATTACATTTTGTTATTATACTTTTTTTTCTCTCAGTGTAAATGATTTTCCATCCATTCTTCTCATTAGCTTTCTTGCGATAAGCAATATGCAGAGAATGTAAATGCAATTGTATTATATTAACGTTCTCTGCAATATGTATGCGAGTATGCAAAAAATGCTTCAAAATTACTCCATTGTCTCGCACGACAATTGCCTGCCACTTAAGTATGTATGTATGTATGTACTATGTGTAATATATTATAATATATATTTCATAAAAGTAGTGTCAGCTTTTAGTTTTTATAAATAAATAAATTCATAGTTTATACATTATATATTCCACACCCCGCGTCTGTTGACCGATCGCTGTCTGTTATTTGTGTAAATTACGTTTTGTTTATCTTTCCGCATTATTTATGTGCTTGTTGAGTATAGTAATTGTAATTGAAACGTAAGTAATGAATTAGTTAATGACATTCGGTTAACAGTAAATGCATTATGCAACAAAAAAGAACATAGGGAATAGATATTTATATGCTAAAACAATTAACACGTAGATAATGACTCGAGCCAGAACAAAATAAAATAGCTAGAAAGAGTGAAAAAAATATTATATATGAATAATTAGTATAGTAAGTACATCTGGCATATAATTGTTTATTAATTGGTTACGCTTTTTAGGTTAGAATATTTTATAATCGTTCTGTCAAAAAGCTTTGGGTCTGTCAGCAAAACTTTTTTGAGATTATCCTTTAACTATCGCCTGAAAATATTTTGAACACACTTACATATGTACGTACAAATATAAATGTATTGGATTTTCTTTACTAATACAGCTATAGAGTAAAAATCAGAAAAATAACAAGTTTATTTATTATTATTATTTTTTTTTATTTTCATGATCGTTTCTCCTACACAATGCGTTAGAATTTCGAAAGATAAAGCACGTTCTAAACTTGAACTTCGACTTCTTTAATTCACTGCAATTTAATTTCGAGCTAAACCGGCAGTCACATTATGGTAAATTAAAACTACAAAGAGCGGTAAATAAACTTAACAGCTGAGTAATGAATAATAGTAAAAGGTGTGATTAATTGCGCGAAAAGCAATATAAAAACTGTCCAAAATTAGTTCCAAAATTAATGAAAATTTCATGACACAAATTATGGCATCTCAATTTCACGTCAGAAAGTCTGCTTTTTTTTAATAGGTTTGTAGGGCAGATGACAATAGCTCTGTTCGGTGACCTGATGGCTAGTAACAATTGTTAGTAAATTTTACTGAACTCGTTCGGTGAGGCAAAAAGACAATAAAAATGCAGAGAGAAAGCGAAATTTGTAAATATAAAGTAAATTGTTAAGATAAAGTAAAGATTATTAGTATGAAAACAGCCGATTTGTGATCCTATGATCACACGGACTACATTGAGTGCCACTTCACAAAGAGGCCGGCTATATGCATTTATCTGGGTCAGTCACTTTGCTAAACCAGTTATTCCAAATAAACTTGCAGCAAATGATCTTGTCATTCTGTCTTCTAGCAATAGAAAACTCGCTGGAAAACCAGCTGGAAAACATGTTGAAAACAGGGCCTGTAAGGAGCTCCTAATTTGGAATACCTGCAGAATATCTATTAAGTCAAAATCATATGGAGCACTTGTCTGGTGAGCGACGTTAAAAAATAAATGACGTATTAAACCCTTGGAACAGTTTCAACGTACCTGTATACTTGCTATAGCAGGCGCGATGAGAACTGTTTCTCACAAAGGCTCTAAAAGTCATCCTTGATATCATGGCTAATAACATACAAGAGATATATGAAGTAGCTGGCCGTTTAAATGCCATGTAGGTGTCAACTAATTCTTGCACGGAATAATGTGATCTAAATGTGAGGCAGACACAGGATCAAGGTTTTCCGGTGGTCATGCCAATAATTAAGGTAGCTTCAAGCGCAATGACTACAACATTGAATTCCAAGCATAAATTGTGGACATTACTGAGGGCCATATGTGATAAGGCTTCTGTTAGACAGACAAGCGGCAATGAGGGCAATTAAGTGCCTCAACATAAGGTCCAAATGCATTAGAGCAGGCAAAGCGGCAATTACTAGACTATCCCGGGAAAATACAGTGAATATCCATTTGTTCCATCTAAGACGGATGTATAAGGCAATGAAGAGGCGGAGGCTGGCTGTCACCATCGGTTGCTTCAAACTCTTCAGCGTCTTTAAAAATGTGTTTAAAACAGTACACCATAGAGGCACACTTACGGTCTACCAATGTAGGACGTGCCAATAAATTATTGTGGGGCAGCGTAGATAGTGG